TTTATAGCCTATCGTATGCGGAACGGAATATCAGACCTACAGGTTCGGTACCGGTACTGGTAGCTCAGTACGTAAGTACGATACTGGTACTGGTGCCGGTACCGGTGTCTTACCACAATGAAATTACCGTAACTTATTCTTTCACGGTCCTACCAGTGCAGTAATGCAAGCGTTGTAGCACTTGTAGCCTACTATATTTGTTTATTTTGATGAGAGTCTACTGGAAACAACATAAAATTTGAAAGGGAAGAATTGTTCTGTGATCAATTATCTGTCCTAAAGTGTAAATAACATAAAATTTGCAAGGGAACAACTGTTCTGTGATCAATTACCGTATATGGCCTACAGTGTACAGGTAAGATGCTGGCTGACTGCTAACCGGTACTGGTAGCTCAGTACGTAAGTACGATACTGGTACTGGTGCCGGTACCGGTGTCTTACCACAATGAAATTACCGTAACTTATTCTTTCACGGTCCTACCAGTGCAGTAATGCAAGCGTTGTAGCACTTGTAGCCTACTATATTTGTTTATTTTGATGAGAGTCTACTGGAAACAACATAAAATTTGAAAGGGAAGAATTGTTCTGTGATCAATTATCTGTCCTAAAGTGTAAACAACATAAAATTTGCAAGGGAACAACTGTTCTGTGATCAATTACCGTATATGGCCTACAGTGTACAGGTAAGATGCTGCCTGACTGCTAACTCGGTACCGCTTGACACGTTTTTAAAAAGTCGCTTTTCTCTTCGAATACTGGACCAATTGCTTTGAAATTTTTAGTGGTTAAAGATAAAAATTTTCTCCAGAAGGCTATTACTTCTTTTTTCGCTATGACGTCATCAAAATTATGTGACTCTACGTGTCCATATATTTGAGCATAGCTCTCTTGTTTTCGGAAGCATGGACTTGACGGTAGTGGTAGTTACTTGAACCGCCCTACAGCAGCAAGGAGTCAAGCAATCCTTTAACCATCCCACATAACCATCCCCGCATGGTATTGATAATTTTTTATTTTTCTAATTTTTTATTATTTTATTGACATTTTTTATATTTCAATCAATAGCCGTTATATAGTTTCTGTAAGCGTAGACACACTACTCCAATGCGTCAACTAGTATGGTCTCATTCTATAAACATGTAATGTGAGTAATGATAGTTTGCACCGAACTTTAATTTGATTAGTTTGTTGACAAAATAACCAAAAAAAACCAAATATAAAAAAAAACGAATAACCAAAAGAGATTTTCAATGTCCTCGTTGCCAGCGACACATTTAGCATGTTATCACAATCAGCTGTTGTGGGGCTTTATCTTATGGCATTATGAATTGTGACCTATTGTATGTATTGACTAAATGAGACAAATTGATGCTAATATCACAATATTTTATACCATATATTTTACACTTATTGTGGGTAACTTCATCAAAAGCCGTTTTGGAGGTTCTGAGAGTTATTTTGAAAACCCTAACTCTAACACACACTTATAATATCATAATATGTATATATATATCTAATTGGCTGTACATGCATATGATTTGGCAGTATTTGTACATCACCAAAATGGCTGTATTTGGATATTAATTGGCTGTATATGGATATGACCTTGGCTGTATATAGATATTTAGTTGGCGCTATATGCATATTTAGTTGGCGCTATATGTATATTTTTGGCTGTATATGTATATCACGTTACCAACCCCACTCAAGTAAGTCTGTAGAGAGATTCTTTTAGATATTGTTATATAACCGTGGCTGCTTTTATCTAGCCTTGTTCGAAACAAAAGACACGAGTAAGCGTCGTATTAGCCCTCCCCCCCCCCCCCCCCCCCCTCAAAAAATAAATTTAGGCTGGCTACGCTCTTGGTATAGGCTTAATATCATATATTCAGAGGTGTTGATGTATTTGGTAGCCATTCATACACACGTATTCCGAAATACACTTTCATCAACGATTTTCCTTAATGTGAATTTTCTCTCGCTTGCTAGACATTTTTATGCACTCAAATTTGTTAATGACATCATTTTTGTACAATGGACAGTATTGAACTCTTCATGGGAAAACTTTCCGTTCTTCCCAGTTGATAAGGTTATTTCACAGGGTGTTTTCACCTTGTCGAGCATGAAATGTTTGAACATAATGAGGGTAAGAATTTATCAATCACAATACCACTACAAATACCACTGGGATAATAAACAGTGGCCCATGAGTGCTAAACGCCGTCGGAAGGGGACCACGTGATATAGAAGGTTGGGAACCACTGGTCTAAAGTTACAGTTACAAGATCTTGCAGTTGGCAAACATTTCAATCAATCAGGCCATTCCATCAACGACTTTTAGGTAATTGGAATAGAAAAACTATATCGAGATCAAGTATACCGGCAAACAAAAGAAACCTATTTTATTAACAAATTCAAAACATTAGAACCTTAAGATATGGATAAATTCACAACTTATGCTAATTTGAACATTACATTTAATTGTCACTTACACTTGATTTCTATTTCACAGTTTAAGTCATTTCATTACATTTCGGAGTTACGGAATAACAGCATGAAATTGTTTAATTTTCTTTTTAATTGTCACTCACTACACTGTGGGTTATCTATTGATTTTAAATCAAATTTAGCTTTTCTATTGTTCTGGCACTGTCCCAATCCATTCCATGGTCGCATCCATATCTGTAAGATAAAGGATACAGATTCATTCGATATCATGATCCTGCACTAGCTATGTAGCCTGATAATTGTAGAGTTTTCATAAAATCTAACGATCAAGTGGTAAAATTTATGTCCATATCCCACCACAAACACTAGTGGTAAATGAATTTGATTCCGGGTAGCATATCTTTTTTACCAATGACATTAAAAAGACATTTTGGGTCAGTCGTACAAGCACCTTTAGGATAGGATTTATCTGATGAGGGATGATTGCAGGTGCAACAACTAAATCATATGGCGAACCACAGTCTCTCGTACGATTAGCATGCTATGTCGGAATTAGTTAGCCAGTTACACTTTCCTTCGTCAATCCGCGTGGCAACAGCAGATGCGATGCTTTTTGTCAATGTCATATGCATACTAATGACATTAAAAGATAGATGGCAAATATTGACATCTTTATTCCCGAAAAAAAAAGTGGTAAAATTTATGTCCATATCCCACCACAAACACTAGTGGTAAATGAATTTGATTCCGGGTAGCATATCTTTTTTACCAATGACATTAAAAAGACATTTTGGGTCAGTCGTACAAGCACCTTTAGGATAGGATTTATCTGATGAGGGATGATTGCAGATGCAACAACTAAATCATATGGCGAACCACAGACTCTCGTACGATTAGCATGCTATGTCGGAATTAGTTAGCCAGTTACACTTTCCTTCGGCAATCCGCGTGGCAACAGCAGATACGATGCTTTTTGTCAATGTCATATGCATACTAATGACATTAAAAGATAGATGGCAAATATTGACATCTTTATTCCCGAAAAAAAAAGTGGTAAAATTTATGTCCATATCCCACCACAAACACTAGTGGTAAATGAATTTGATTCCGGGTAGCATATCTTTTTTACCAATGACATTAAAAAGACATTTTGGGTCAGTCGTACAAGCACCTTTAGGATAGGATTTATCTGATGAGGGATGATTGCAGGTGCAACAACTAAATCATATGGCGAACCAAAGTCTCTCGTACGATTAGCATGCTATGTCGTAATTAGTCAGCCAGTTATTTGTTTTCAAAAGCGCGGACTTGATTGTGGAGGATGTCGTAACCGACCAGCAGTCGTGTGAATTACCCTCCGTGGGAGGAGAGCTGCAATTCTCTCGCACACAACTATCCCCGCATGGGATTAGAACCTGTGAAACTACCAGGGTGATCAGAGATGGGTGGCGAACGTATTCCTAGATAAGGAATTCAATTAAATTCTGGTTATTTTTTGCATGACCACTAGCGTTAAACTTTGGTTATCTATTCAACTTTTCACGCTTAGTAAAAGATTACCTGCTAACTAGGGAAACAATACCTTATGACAATTGATGATGAATTCCTTACACAAGTCAAGTCTGCAAGTAGGGTAGGCCTACGCCTAGGCCCACCAATAACAGTAGTTTGCCATCTGCTTTCCATTGAAATGAGGGACTCATGAATATTTAAAACTTATAACGGCACATTATCACTCACCATCAACGAAGTGCTGTCCGCAAACAGTGAAACACAAGCGAGATGACTCCTGGACTTGACACCAAGCAGTCCTGCCAATAGATGATATCCACATTGCGCGACGTTCCGGATCTTTCGAAAACAGTGGAATATAACTGAAGATCCATTCCGTTGTCTATACTATATGTACAGCAAATGGAACAATACGAAATAGCCATTTTCTACAGCCAAACAAAACAAAAACGTATAATCCGACTTGCAACTGACAGGAGCCAGCTGGACGTTTTTGTTTTTTTGCCGTCCAATAAACAAAGTCACGTGACCCGTGCAAGTTCTCTCTTACAGACAACCTTGTCGTCACACTGTAAAATCTGACTTCAATTTTAAATGTTTATGCAGTTTTGCACTCGTTTTGTTGTCAAAATTCCGTTTTGCATTTGTAATTTCACCGTGACCAGTATCCAAATTGATGAAAAATGCATCTTTCGTGTTGAGAAATTGGTTTTTCTTTCTTTTTATTTTATTTGAGCTAAACACAGAATAGTCAACAACGCACAAAATCATAGTATACCGAATATTATTTTTTTTTGTGCGACAGTGACACACAATTACTATTTTGCAACCAAAAATATCCCATCTGTTTTTATATTACTTGCTTCTGCATGCACAAAAAATCCTGATTCGCGGAAAAATCACAGCTCGACGTAATATAATATATCCTGAGAAAATCAGTAAGGCGATGTACGTACGTACTCAAGTTCAAATGTTATAAAAAAAAGAGCATGGTCGTCTGATAGTGTACTCGCTATGTACGATGAATGCATGTAATACCATTAGGCTGATATCTATCGACTGCCAGTTGATGACCCCATATGTTGACAAATAACGCTACAGTGTCGCATATAGAAAACACAGCCTACAGAGGCCTATCTTATTTTGAAGACGATAAGACGACATGTGAATCCTGACACTTTACTTCAAAAGGGTCAAAATAATTGATTGCTTTTCACGACTATCAAAGCCTAGTCAAGAATTAATAAATACAATATCAATTACATACATACAATTTCATGATATTCACGAAGAATATATTGCTTGATTAGTTTGTTCCCAGTTCAATGACTATGCCCAAATAATAGACTATATTCAAGAGAGGTTCCAATTTCATTGTTAATAACAACACCATATCTCGTGGTATGAGTACGCAATAACACCCCATAAGTCATTTTATACGTATAGCTAGCTAGGCCATAGAAAGTTTATTAGTTTGGGTATATCAAGCAAGTAATTAGGGTTTTGATAAAATTGAAGATGAGTAATCAAGTCTGCATTAGGACTTAAGAAAAATAAGCACATGATTAGGACGCCAAAGGAAAGTGGGCGCCACAAAAATTCCCATAATGGAATTTTTTTAATGGCGCCTTTAATGTTTAATGAAATGAGTCGCGTTAATTAGACATTTCAGATTTCAATAGGAGCCTAATTGAAATAAATGTTTGCTTATTTTTCTTCCTCATATTAATCTTATACGTCTTTATGAATGTTTGTAGGCATGAGTACTATTTCCACAAAATATCATGTAAATTAATCGTAATTTGGACTTCAATCAATAATGAACAGATAACATGGAACACAAAATTCATTATTATATATAAATATATCGAGACAGTGCATATACAAGAGTCATATTACAAAACCCCAAATTAGCATTAAAATCTCACATTTGTAAAGTCTGCAGTCATCACATTGATATTTCGGTATTTTGTTATACACATGATCAGCAGATGTATTGGGTCCCATAACAAGCCATGTTTTTTTTATAAGATTCCCAACAATTACATTTTAACATAAAACCTAGTAGTATTTCACTGATGTTTCATTGGCATACAATACGCAGTTAGATTCCGGGGCAAAAGTCTCCCTATTTTATAGCGAGTCGAGCTACTCGGTATTGAAATTCTGATATTCTTTTTCCAAATTCTGCACAAGTTCGTATTTTTCAGCTCCATCCAGAAAACACGATTTTGCCGCGTTAATATTCTGAAAAAAGTGAATAATGTCGCAAGTTATTTTTTTAGTCGAAATACAATGGTAAACTGGTATTTCGAAATTTTAACTATTTTTAATATATATTCTAATTCCAATACAGATTCATACATGAAATATTCGTTACCAAAGTATGTAAATCTTTTGTAGTCATCCCCCAATATCTGGTTGCAATGTCGTACTCATCCATGAGAGTTGATTGGAAAACTCCAGGATCGTCGGTATTCAATCCAAAATTTACCCCGTCGTGAAAAAACCTAAAATGCGGATATGCTCCATAGAATATATAAATCTCAACAACAAATTTAAAAGTAATCGCAATAAGTCACGTCACCTCTTTGCCGGATGTTTGTGCCAGTCCTCGGTAACCGATGCAGTAGAGAAACTTGAAATTGGACAAACTTCGAAATGAATTCCTTTTGTTTTTGCTATTTCATAAATAGATTCATCTTCCAGTACTCGATATCCATGGCCGATTCGATCAGAATGTAATTTTTCTATGGCCTGCGAAAATTCAGACAACGGCGATGCTTAGTGACTAACGTTTCTTTTTTTCACAACAATGAGTATTCATCGGTTTAGCGTTACATTTTATTTTTTAAAATAACGTGGATACGAGAGGCCCCATTTTAAAAATTCTGATTCTTGCGTCTACAATTGGTGGACACAGGGAAAATATCTCGCAATATAAATAGGACTAGTTGTGGTTGCGCACACATTCGTTAGTCACTCTGTACGAATTTTGGGCTAAAGCATTTTGAAGAATATTATTAAAATGAGTTAATGAAAACCATATATATACCAAATGAACTTCCGCCGCTGGTCCTCCTTCTCCAGCGTGTACCGTGGTGTGAATTCCATTCTTTTTACAAAACTGTAAATTGAGGTATACATATATTTTATATATTTACTGTAATAACTTGGTGATGATGTTACAATTTATTCACTAGAAGTAACTCAATAAAGTATCCACGTATTCTGCGGGTCTGTGTCACGGACACTTTACTTGATATATATACTGTATATGCAAAATTTGTTTTTTTAAATCTGCCAAAATCAAGCCACTGTTACATTAAGCGAACCGAACCTGGAATATTTCCATGTTGTCTTTTAAATGATTTTCCATTCCTTCTATATCGGCAACGTCAAATCCAACTGTTCCTTCGTTCGCGTATTCCTGGCATAGGTGCGCTGTTTCAATTCCCCAGTCTGGTAATAATAGCATCAATTGAGTGGCAAAATTCTTTGAAAACGGACAGGTGTTTGGTAAGCTAATATGACAGACAGACAATTATACAGTATTTTTTCTAATAATAACAAATATACTTACGAGAATACTCGGCGATGGTGCACAATATAGTTCTGACTTTGATCTGATGTTTTTCTCCCGATTCTCTGACAGCTTTGTTTATTACTTCCACAACATCTTTGGGGCGTAATCTTCCTCTAAAACAAATAAAAAATCACACAAAATATGTGTTTTCTAAAAATATAAATATTTTCCCAATGGTTCCATTACATTTGAACCCACGACAATTGCATCTGCATGCTATTGCACCTATGGAAATATTTTTGGTTCTACGGATATACTTTTAAAGCAAAAATACACAATAATAAACCTCTTAAACATGTACAGACAAATTTACTTCTCGGGAAAATAACAGTCCGAAATAGATCCCATTACCTTTCCTATTCTATATCAGTCAGACTTCTGCTGCTGCATTACCGCTGATAGAGATTTTACATTTGGTTTATATTTTGTAAATTTCAAAGGAATACACGAACTACTGGTTTCATCTTTTAGGCTACTCCTATTACGAGACTTAATGATGTTCATAACCGAGAACAGAGATTCACAAGCATATGTATATGAAAACATGGAGAGTAATGCATTTGCAAAGTTTTTGAAAAATGGAAAATCTCGGTAATGGCATCCCAATCACGCAATAGTTCGTTTTCTCCACTTCTCTCTTGTATTCCCTTCCTTAATCGCTCATATTCCTTACAAAATCAATTCATAACAGTTCATTCATAACATTCATACCGCGCGGGCCACTCGGAAAACTTCGGCGAGCCAAATGTGGCCCGCGGGCCACGGGTTGGACGACCCTGGTATAGCCAAATGAATACTTCGCTCTTATCGACAAAATTTCTCGAGAGCCCCCTCATTTGTTATGTCATAATAAATTTCTTTGTAGCCATAAGTCACGAAAGGACAAAATGAAGTTAAATAAAGAACGGATCATTAACAAACGATATATAATGAATAAACGAACACCGAGTTTCATCAGATAATTTAAAGTCTCGAAACTTTTTATCTAAATGAGAATGATCTCGTTTCTGAGGTCTTGCTTGCGTGCTTAATAAATGGGTTGCCCACCCCTGACCTATACTGTATGGTAATTTTAACTGATGCCTTATGTTTCGGGGAGCCTATTATCATAAAAGGCTCTCAAGTTGCAGTATAATAAAAAAATTTTAGTCACCTTTCTTTGGCGAATAGTAATGGATCGACATCACAGTTTGCCAAAATATGAGGTGAATATCGAAGTTCTACATAAGTTACTCCGTCCTTAGCTCTATCTTCAACAGCTTCTTTGGCTATTCTCGATATTGCGTCTGCGTCACCTCTGATGAGATAATTTTATGATTGCCTACTGTGTTTGAAAATATCAAGCCATATCAAATATAAAAAATTGTAAGACACAAATAATTAGGCAACAATATTTAAGAATTTTTTTACGATAATAAAACGACGTTATCAGTCAAGTCGTTGACAGATATATGTTGTACCAGTTGAACTCACGCAAAAGTTGGAAGAAAATTGAAAAATTGGCTCAAACATTCCTTCAACGAGCATCTCTTCTTTACATTTATATATTGCTGTATTTCCTTTTCATCGTACGTTGGCAGTTTAATGTTGCGATTTCTGCATATAACAACCAGTCATTTGTACCTTGTGAAGTTGTTAAATTACATCCAATGGCATTGGGTATGGTTATATATCGAAATACGGGACTGGCTTTAGCTTCGTGTTTTATCAGGTTCGGCTATAGCCTATCTCATAATTTTGAATATTTTTGATCACAAATTTGTTCTGGGCTATAATCATAGTCTAGTTTTGCGTAATTTTTCACAAAAAAAAAAAAGATATAGATACAGGAAGTCTGTAAAGAAATCACACTGTATTTTTTCAGATTCTTATATTACAGATTTGGTAGACTATAGTATAGATGTGGTAAAGTACAGTATTCGTATTTGCTAAAATCTTCTGATTTTTGCTGTGTTGGGAAAAGAAAGCTGCAACAAGTAATGAGCACACACCTTGCTAATTCCAGTATTGTTCCAGTCCGAAAGCACCCATCAAGATGACAATGTAGTTCAACCTACAACAGCAATATATACAATTGGGCATTTACCTTGACAACCTTACGACAAAATGTCGTCTCTAAGTCCACCACATGAACTTATGAACAGTTTAGAACACCAGTTCTTGTATTGTAATATATCCGAACTTACTTTTGAAAAATTGTATCTTTTCATGTTCTCGCACATGCGCACCAAATACTTTGGTATATATAGGATGTATTGTAGATAAATATATCAACGATACTCTGACAAAAGCTACCACCATATGAGATAAAAACATATAAAATGTTATAATTTATGCAATTAGCATTGAGTGTTTCAAAGGTTTATTTTACGTCAATATTCAGGACTACTACACTAAACATATTCAATAGGCCATGACGTATATCATAAGCTTACACTTTAACATTTGCCTCAAAAAGATAAAGTATACATTCACGTGCTGTGCTAAACTATCATCTTCCCTAGCTGTTATTACAGTGCATACAATTGAAACCTCCTTGATTTTATTCCATTTGGTTTTGGTTTTATTCCACTTTTCAAAAGTTTTATATATTCAATTTGACTAAACACCACGACGCCAACCGCGTTATAAACACGATTTACAGATATTTAGTGGACAATTGCAGCGGTTATCGGTCGTTTGTGACCCGACCTAGGCATCTTCATAGTGCACTCGGGCGTAACTAAACCAACAATTCTTGAAGAATGCCCTAACGCGGAGTTAGCAAGACGTTTCGAGTCACACAATGCAAATGTCAGCTCATTAGGCATGATACCTAATGACCTTCTTAATTTAATTCAAAATTATTTTTGTAAATATTTGTTCCCGCTTTGAAAATCTAAGACAGTGCTTCCCAAACTTTTTTTCTGGCAGCGCTTCCTTTGAAGACATTCAAACGCCCGCCTGCCTGACTGAAAAGTAGAAATAAATTTAATCAGACCACAGAGATATATATTTCCAGTACGGTGACGATGAGTCAGACGGACGAGCCTAGTGAAACGCAACCAGTTCATCAATATCCAGCTTCATCTTAGTTAGAAACAGTATTATATATTGCGGGTTCCTCTTGCCATCTAGAAGCGTGGTCATTGCACTCAAGTATGAGCACGTGAGGATATTTCAATTTGGTTTAATTCAGATCGATTAATATATGAAACACTGGGTTGAATTAATATGAAACACTGGGTTGAATATCGCTTGCAGTGTGACGTTCGGCCTCAAGAATTCCATGTTCGTAATATTACTGAATGGGTCAATTCCCAATTCCGAATCATTGTGTAATTCTTGAATATGCTTGCTTTTACGTTAACCTTACATATGTCTCTGTCACTGATATCGAGTTGTTGCAAGCTTGGGAATTGGGATTTGGAAAAATTCCCGTCTAGTTTTAATTTCACTGAAACAACACGAGCCTGTTATTGAACCCAGACTGTGACTATTCCACTTTTATCAGGTTGATTTTGTCTCCATATAAAAAAAATCAAGTCATTGCTAGTCATTGTCATTTATAGAATATATATGTCTTTGAGGTAAGCGACATCATGTTATGCTACTACGTCTACAACATCTTTCTCGAGATTCGGATCGCAAGTTGGCAGGAATTCAATGACAGCATCAAAAAGTGAGTAAAATCAGTCAGTCACTAGTTTATTTTTTCACCAATGAAGGATGAAGGGAGTCGCGAAAAACCAATGCTGCTTACCGAGCAGCAACACGCATCGTGCTGGTGTTAGGCAGTTCCCCTTGGAAAGCCATCTCACTCCGGTGTGGAGCATTGAGCGCTGAAAGGCTTCATCATTCTTATTGCATAATGTTTGAGTGGGCCTTTATTTTATTTACTGCCTTCATAACTATCGTAAAATATAGCAAAACGATCCACCCATATCGTGTCCAATAGTAAGATGACAGCTAATATTTCCGATGGATTACAAAGTGCATCGACAGCACATTGGAGTTTGCTTATTTAAAGAAAGTAATTGAAGCGTCAATAAACGTGATCCATGCACTAGACTTGAATTATTACGAAACAATATAATAAATTGATATATTATTACAAAACAATACAATAGATTAATAGTAGTAATCGTATATTGATTATATACTTGACGTCAACATTATACCTTAAATACCTCCGAGGTTTCATTTGTGCTACTTGTTGGAACCGAAAGCAGATTTCAAAATTTTTTGATTCACGAATTTTACATGTTGCTGTTCCTTTTCCAAGCTATAGTACGCCAGTGGTCAATCGTAAAATGCCCAAAATGTGTTGTATATTTCTCATACTGCGTTCTAATGCATGGTAAGTATATGAAGATAGCAACTTCTTACCTATTACGACTTACAGACAGCTTTTCGGGAGAAATTTGTGATTCAAAAAGGACGAAATGATGGTTGCATCATGTTATTTAATTTACACTTGAAGCCCATCAACTGACAAACTATTGCCAGCAAAGCCGACAGGGATGGTATAGCATAAGCACACACCATTTTATTTTTCGTTCCTTCCTGAACTTACTCGACGGGGCTCCCAAAACAGCGTCACTAACACTTCATTTTATTTTTTCTCCTGTCCTCCGCTCCTGTCTATTCCAAAGATATACTCTGGGTCCCGGAATCGCGTTATTTCGCTTGTTGATTTTTACTTTCTCTCTCCGCTGTCTTTTTGTCTACTGAGCGTCCTTTGTTCGGGCCTTTTTTATCCTTGTTAACTTTTTTCCTCCTGCCATTTTCTTTCTCACTATCTTGCTGGCTTTTTAGGAAGCTAGTCTAGTCGACGATGCCTGTGTCTCTATTGTGTCCACTTTCCTCTCTGCTACTTTGTATTCGCGTCCTTCCTGAATTACCCGGATTGTTTCATTCCCAATCTTTGACTTTCTTGTTGTTTCTCTACATTTCTTCCCTGTCTTCCACGTCTCTCCCCTATTCCTTCTTCATCTTTTTATTCTGAGAAACAATGAATGTACTGGGTCACTATAAAATACCGAAATTCAGGTTTCTTCATTGTCCTTCTTTAAAAAACCAACTGAGTAAAATTCGATAAACAGCTTAGGAACAATCGGCAGTCTAATTTGACAGCATCATTCCACAGGCACGTTATTCATGCATTCATATATGCTGCGTCCATTCTTGAGAAAACTTCAATGAAAGTTGGGTCGGGCTTCCCTCGGTAAGGTGGGTACATAAGCTCAAATTGATGATACGACTTTGCGTGGGATGTTGTTGCCAAATTAAGCTGTCGATTGTTCTTAAGCTGTTTATCGAATTTCAGTCTGTATCGACAAAGTAAACTGCAATTCTAACTCTTATTTACGTGCGCGTACAAGTACGAGCAAAAAGATGGAACACTTCTTCAAAACAGAGTGTTTTTTCGAAAAAAAGAAAATTGGAGAAACCTGAATTACCGTATTCTATTGTAAACAATATTTAAGTAATATATACATTCATTCGGTATTTTTCACAATAAAAATGAATATATTTAAAACCTTTTAAATTCAAAGTAACTACGATTGAAAACGATTGGTAGCTATTATTTTGGAACCTGAACAACTTTACGTAGATGCAACCGATAGTCAAAATTAAACATATCGACAAACTTAATCAAGCGGTCACGGACGCAATACCGTGTTTCCCCGAAAATGAGACTGGGTCTTATTTCAATTTTCTTCCGAAAAATAACACTAGGGCTTATTTTCAGGGGATGTCTTATATTTTCATTTATCAAAAACAAAATTACAAAGTAGAGAATTACGAGAGTTTATTACAAAATATGAAAACTGATATCCACTCACTTTTAAATAACACGTTTCTATTCAAAATAACTGCAGAACATAGACTATCAATCATATAAAACGTGTAGAAGAGATTGCTTTCGACTGGGTCAAAAAAAATTTGCGTTATTGACTAGGTCTTATCTTAGGGGGAGGGCTTATATTAAAATCATTTTAAAGATTCAGGCTTGGTCTTATTTTCGGGGTAGCTCTCATTTTCGGGGAAACACGGTAGGACTGATGCACATTATCTCACATTATCGATTTTAATCGTTACTTATCGATTTTATTCGGTAAGTATGTTGATAGGTATTTGTTTGTCTGTTTGTCTGTTAGATGCACGCGATATCTCACGAAAGCAAGATTGAATCTGCTCCAGATTTTGCATGTGCATTCATCTTATCTCGGACCAAAAGCCTATTGATTTTGGGCGAATTATGTCGTATAATTAGCGAGTTATTAATTAATTAGTGATGGGACACAAGGTGTCACTATGGAGTAAGAGCGCTTCGATCGATAAGTCTTCGGTCTCTGACCGATATTCTCGTTTTGTTCATTGTTATTTACGGGAAAAGGAGAGAGTAGTGTACAGTGGCAAAAGGCGCCACGCCTCCTTTTTTTGGTCTGGTGGATACGAGAGAATATTATGTCAACAACAACACAGCGCAATCATCGAGGTTCCTGGAATGACGTTTAGACCGAGTTTGTAGGCAGGCTTAGCGTATGGCAATATGGAGCTCCTGCTATTTGTTCAGGTAAAGCGTCAAGGTAACATATAGCCTACTTGTGTACTTCAGTACTTGGTTTCTAGATCATAAACCGAATTATAGTACAACAGTATTGCAAGAGTTCTGGCAGTCTCGGAACTAATAGATTTATGAAAGCTTAAAAATACAGTCGTTCAGTTATGCTGTAGTAGGCCTACAGTTCATGCTTTAAGGGGTTTTATAATTTAGATTATTCTATCATATAGGCTGATTTAACTTATGACGTAGTTTTTTTTGACTGCTTCTGTCCTGATTCGGGCGACATGCCACCAAACGAAAGCGATCGAGACGTTGATCATTCAAATAACTATAACTTTCCAAAGGTGAGTAATATTTAATTATCCATTCTCAATAACATTAACTCAAGCTGGTTTAGATTTGAAATGTTATAATGCGACGTAGCTTAGCCTTTTCATACGGGTTGCGTAATATTTAGCCGGTGACTGTCCGCCATCATTTGTGGAAATTGTGCAATCTTGGATTTGTATCTTTCCCCTTTTTATGTTGATTCCTAGAACCAAATTTATCGATGCTGTCACAGGGCATAGTGAGTTTCCCATAACTTTGCGTAAAGTAAAGTCACTAGTGCACGACAGTCAAGAATTAATATTTGTACTCGGTTTATCAGTAATCAATACCTTTCCACATTTGGGGGCTCCCTAAGTATGCGAACCAAGATGGCGGACATCGGAATGTAATATGTGTACTAGGTTAGGGTTAGGCCATAATTTTAGGTATAAATACTACGGGAGGCTCTTGGCTAGTCTTCGAACTGATAATAGGACTAAAATAAGGAAAATTCGAAAAAAATTATGGCCTAACCCTAACCTGTTACCCATGTTACGTTTCGATGTCCGCCATCTTGGTTCGCATACTTCGGGAGCACCCACATTTGAGTACTTACAAATAAAATTGATTTGTACAAAGTTCACAGGTGTCAATTTTGTCAAAAAATTACGTAACTTTCCGCAGAAAAATGCGCGGAATCGAAACGCTCAGGCACAGTGACTGTATTGCGTCATACCAGCTGATGGAAAGTACATTTTGGCTATTTGATCAATCGTTACTCGTGACTGTTATTTTTAGAAAATTTAACCAATAACCTTTGATTTGTCTTCTAGGTGAAGGGTTTACTTAGAGTTTATATTTACTTTTACATATTCATAAAAAAATGAATTTTTTAGTTTGTCATATTACAGTAGAGCAATTGTAGCAGTTTCCGACGACGATTAAAGGGTTAACAATTCCCACTCCAGTATTTTTAAATTTGAAATGAGTTTCAACTCGTGTTACATAAATCTTTGTTACAATTCTGGTACATCGCAATATTTAGACGAAACGTGAATAAATGTGTCATGAATTATGTGATATAATACGGAAATAACATCGTTCCCAATTTTCAACTCATAGATTTTAATTCTTTCAGGTCGAATTACATTGCCATCTTGATGGATGCTATCGATTTTCCACTATTGCAGAATTGGCAAAGTAAGTAGGTGTATTAATAAAATTACCCGAAACAAATTTATTTAAAGATATGTTCCAACTATATCAACATGAGAAATTCCATGCATTGGATAAGTGACTTATGAAATCATTCATAGTTTGTGTTGCAAGTAGGTTTACATATACTTAGTTATGTGTTTGTTTAAGATTGATCAGATAGGTATGCTTTATGGATGGCAATAGGCAACTTGAATATTTTGAACCTTAATTACTCAATTTAAAATGACTTCAACCAGCATACAGTATATCTATTTAACAATATCAATCTTTGTACATATGTAATCGCGAAATTCATGAAAAATGGTATCCATGTCATTGATTTCGCAATGTGGTTTGTATAATTTTAAACATTCACAAAAATACATAGCATTTTAGGGTAATTTTAATTATAGGGAGAATTGGGTGAAATAAATCGAGTTGGTTGGTATATAATAAATTCAATTGTTTTGCATATAGAAAACGAGGCATATATCTACAAAAAGATGAATCAGAATTGAAGAAATTCATCACAGCTCAAACAAGATGTAATTCTTTGCCACATTACTTAGAAAAGATTTATAACGCAACTCGAACATACGCGTAAGTAGTTTTCATTCAATTTTTTCCAACTATTGTAGCCGTATTTTGACGTATCTGCATAGGGTATACAAACAACTATTCAAATTCCATTGAAACAAGGTTCGGGTGGGTGAATATTTTCATATGACATTTTTTCACGTCTTTCAGTTCTACTTCGAACAAGAAGCTGCACGAACCTCCACGATCTTTTCCGTTCAGCATTCCCTATCCTGGAAAATTTCTTTTCTGTATAGGCTTCAAATACTCGATTCTTTTTTACAGTGAAATGGTATTCCTTCGCTTGGGTTGCCATCTGCTGTAGGTAGTGTTAACATTGACTCACAATAAAATATGTTTCAATTATACTAGAATCCTACAAGTTACAAGCATATATTGTGCTTGCTACCAACAGATATATTTTTATCTGTTCAATCATTTGAGAGGTTAGGTTGTTGTAGGAGAGAATCTTCTACGTTATTGTTTTTTAATTAAAATTTTTAATTCGTTTGTACTTGGTGTATATCGGTATGCTACACATGCACAATGTCAATATGTAATATTGAAGGCTTGGCAGTTTTATTACTAGCAAATTGTGGTTTCACTTCAAGTGTACACAATAACACAAATATGCTTGTACTACTTACTCGTCAACTCAACACCACGCCCGTAATGAAAGATTAATGTATTTTGACAGTTCTTTTACTATTACCAAGAGAAACTAATTGGTGAATGGCGATGGAAACTATTCGATAGCTTGGCGATTGGCTCATCGTTCTAAGCGTCAGGAATAGTTATGTGCGAGAGGATTGCTGGACTCCTCGCCGCTACATGGCGGTTACGGCTTCCTCCACTATCAAGTCCATGAATCTGAAATAAATAACCGGCTAACTAATCCCTTACTCGCCGACGAATTGCGAATGCTACAGTTGTCCTCTCTAGAAATCAATTCACAATACTTAACCCCATTGTTAATATTTCGAATTACACAATGCTACATTAAAATTCAATTGACTTTTTATTCATATTCCATGCAGTGGAGACGAAGACGGGATCGCTCGAATCACGAGAGAAGCGATCGAGGATAAAGCCGCAGACGGTGTGGTTTATTTAGAACTCAGATACGCTCCACATCTGTTTGCTAATTGTGACGTTGAACCCATGGTGCATGCCGAAGAGAGGTAAATATATTGAAATAACCTTGGTTGAATTATAATCCCTCGGTTGGCAAATAATGCGCTATTAAGAACTAGCTTATTGTCGCGCCTGCGAAAGGTTGGTATCCCTAAATACACCTGAATATTTATTTTGCTTTTATGAACACATTTGGTGTCGCATGGGCGAGACTAGTAAATATTTGCCATATATATATAATTAAAATTATTGACGAGTTATTCTTCAGCCAAGTGATTAATTAGTATTAGCTCGTTATGGCAAAGTATATTGGTGCCATATACGGCGCACTTGCCCGAAAAAATTGCTGCCTTCAAATAAAACTCAACTTTGTGATCGTTAATGTGTATTTTATGCCCTTTTTTGTAAACATGAAGGCATAAGAAATAAAGGCAAAAGGCCAACTCTCCTTCCTCATCTATGCCTGATTTTCCTCAAAAATGCCGCACCGCACCTTTTGGGAACTGCGGGTGTATATGAACACTTATTAACATATACGTATGCCAAAGAATTGACGGACTAATTACAGGGTGATGCAAGTAACCGATGATTGGCTACGTTTTTCAAACATACTCAAGCTTCAGTATTTAACATACCTTCGATTCTCATAGCCTACTTACTCGCTTCGCGGATAGTTTGATTTTACCTTATGCATTTTTCTCCAACTTTTTTTTAACATGAAATCAAAAGTAGCCACTGTTACTGGTTCCTAGCCACCCTGATAATCTACATTTTTTCAGGGGAAGACTGCGCCCTAAAGATGTTATGGACATTGTTAATAAGACAGTGAAAGAATGTGAAAATGAATACGGAATCAGAGTTACTACTATTTTATGTGCTCTTACACCGTTCGGTAACTGTTTGTTTTAATGTGATTTATTTCGTTCAGGATAATTAGTGGAATGACGTCTTTAGAAATTAGGCCTTAATTATTAGGCTATTCAAGCAAGGAATAGAGTGGATATTAGAATGTTGTTCCGTTCAATGCTGTCCCACGCTTTTCCGAATCGCGTGAATCTCACTTCATAAGAATACTCTAACCTTCTACCAAAGTATTAGTATCATGTATACCTAATGGGACAAAGGTGAAACAAGTGTTACAGGTGTGGCAAAGTGGGATAAGTGTACTAAATAGGGGACAAATGGGTCATAACGTTTTTGAGACACCGTCATGTTAACTAGGTTTTTGTGTTATGTATAGTATGGTTTACTTTTGGAAAAATGGGCTTCCTGGGAAATTGAGACACTTTTATCTTTAAGTGGCAAAATTGTGAGGTGATTTATTCGGTAATTAAAAAGAAATTTGCTATTTTTGCAACAACAACAAAAGCATAAACGACAACAATTTAGCAGAGCAATCTTCTCATTCGTAGCTAAAATGTATCGATCATTGCATTGTTGGTGGCTGCTGACTTGGTTTACTTAAAATAAAAATTAACCTTTAGTGAACTCTTGTTTTATTTCGGAAATGTTTTTATTATTGAGTTTGATGCGTGCATGACGTGACGATTCTTTTAATTTTATACGTTTTTATAACAGTTCAACATTTATAACAATTGTGATACCTCACTACTTTATACATTATACCTACAACTTTATATATTTCAGAATGGGGAGAAGAAACAGCGAAACTATGTCAGGAATACGAATCACATGGAGTTGTTGGTATCGATATTGCTGGCCCAGAAGGATCGGAGGATTTCCCCTTACATTGTCAACGCGGATTTGAAGTAATATTCTGTGACTATTTATATCAACCCAAAACTAAGTATCAATGATTAGGGTTTTGGTTTCGAATCACATCAAAATTTTAAACAAAAAATAAACATTACAGAACAAAAAAGATGATCCGTAAAATGACGGTCTAGTGATGAAAGCGAAAGACTTAACTATGATTGCATCACAGGGTAAAATCCCGGGCTCGAATCCCATGCCCACCATCCAACCCAATTGTAATAATTAGCTGGCACTACCGAACCGGCAAAATCACTTCCCTTCCAAACTTGGCTGTGGCCGATTGTTCTGTTCCGTGTTCTTAGCCAAAGGAGTATAAATACGACATATCAAAAATATTTATAATTGAACTCAACACATTTAAACGTCGGCGAATGAGAAATTGCCTCCTTCCTATTTATATACATACATTTTGTGCCAAATATACGGCAATATGTTGACTTATCCTCAATGTAGTCGAAGTGTGAAATTAGTACCAATTTTCCCGAATTTTGTACTATCTATAAATAATATACATAAATTTAGTTTTGTACAATTAGGATTTAAAATTGTTGATTTTCATTACTGTTATAAATATTGAACCTAACAGGTTACAGCGATCATCGAAACGACTAAAACTTGTCATTTCCTTGGTACATTTCCATTTTAAAGAAAAGTGCAAAGTTCTTACTTTTTATATATTTTCTATTTAGTCGTTTCAAATACTTGTAAAACGTCCAAGCTTTTGAATATATCCGGTACTACGATGAAAATGTACACTTTTATCTCTAATCTTTAAACATCTTCAGTTTTGTAGAATAAATGGAATACATCGAACAGCACATGCTGGCGAGGTTGGACCTGCAGGTCATGTCAAAAAAGTGAGTCATCGTTCATCAAAGTGTTGATTTTGAACCAACACTGTAGCAAAGCAGATCTACCTGAGATCATAGTATAATTAACAGCATACATTTGGCCAAGAATACTCTCGTGTATATTATTTCATTTTTGCAGTGATATTAATCATTTATCACCATCATTGTCATAAACTAAATCGATTTTAAAATAATATTCTATAATACCAAGTCATTCGGATATAGCCATCCCAATTATCCAACGGCCCTTTGGGATATATGGTTGGTTTGGGTATCCTGTACCTCATTACTACTTCCCTTTCCTCTCTGCCGTCCTGTTAGTGAATTCGTATACACGGACTGCAATGATAATATAGTTGAAATTGAGCCAGCTATATTGCGGACGTCTGAAAACATTTCATATTAAAATTCGTAGAAATGGGATGAAAGACCTTCAAACCCTTCAAAAAAAACTTTTTTGAATAGTTTTGAACAACCTCGCGAATTTGTGTTCGTTTTTGTTTACTTTTTTTTCTCGTACAGTATAACGAAATAATTTTGTTTCAGGCGATCGAACAGTTACATGCGGAACGGATTGGACACGGATACCGAATGTTAGAGGACGATGCATGTTATGGAATTGTAAAACAACATCGAACACATGTCGAAGTTTGTCCGATGTCAAGTCATTTTACAACAGGTGCGCCTGAAGACTGGAGTAAACATCCTGCAAGAAGGTGTGTTGTGTATACTCTTGTACCTAAATGCCACTCTAGATCAGGGGTATGCAACATTTTTGTCGATGGGTATTATATTCAACTTCAGACATCCAGCTGGACCACACAAAAAATTTAGTTTTTCTATGTACACAATGGTATTACAATGATATTGATTAGCCTTACAGTAAGGAGGGCGCCGGGCGAAACGGCAAACGATTTAGTGCGGCGACAAAAGCGAAAAAAAAAATGTATTTTTGTACCCGAACAAGGCTCTGCCCCAGTAGGAAGCTTCTATGATTTATTAAAGGAACCGGTTCGGCATTGCTTCTCTTATTTATTACACCCTGAGTTGAGTTAGTATAATGCTTGAAGCACTCATAATTTATCAAATTGTTAAAAGAGTCGGTAGAAAACCCCACTAAATCCGATCTTCATAAAACCCAATACACTTCAAGCGCCCGTTCAAAGCATGTTCTAGTATAAATGATACAAGCGATATCTTTTGCTTTGAAAATGTTGAATTACATATATTCCCTAAAGAACACTTTGTGACTTGCGCTATGACGTGAATACTAGCAAATACAGTACGATTTATATATAGTTGTGTTCAAACGAATACCACAATTTTTGCCCGATGAGAGCATCCATGTTATTACTCGACGTGTACAACAATCAACCAAGTACGGTACTCCCGTAGAGTGTGAACCAGGTTAGGGTTAGGCTATGATTTTATTCCGATTTTCCTTATTTTAGTTGTATCATGAGTTCGGGGACTGTCTGTGTTAGCCAAATGAATATACCCCCATTCCCATAAGCTTCCGTCCCTTTACACAACTTGATGTAAAGCAGGCGAACAAAATTAGTTACCTCCATATTTGTACACACACTTCTGGGCGCGCCATAACTACAGTAAATTGATTGCCTTCGTAAGTCGCTTAACAATTTAGGAGATGAGCTTTCTTTGGTGATTGTTTTCACATCTTCATAAGAATATTTTTGCACTTTTGAAAATTTTCAAACCACTGCATGCATTGATTCAGATTTCACGAAGACAACATTAATTTTTCACTAAGTTCAGACGACCCAGGTGTCCATTTGGCATCTTTGATCGGGGATTATGATATTGCAACTACTATGTGGGGATTCACGACACAGGATTTATTCAAATTGGTAAGAGCTATAATAAAATTAATAGCTGAAAGTTTATTTGGTCTTCACAACGACGGCGTGTTTGAACGGCGTCAAAGATGTGCAGCAATTAGCATTAGAAATATAGTCAGTTTCATTAAACAATATATACAAATCGCTGATTTCACAGTTTCATCTTGCTTGTTATTGTATTGTACTTTGCTGCTTTTATCATATTTACAAAGGCAGTAAAACATTGTTTTGTTATGGAACATGAGTCATTCTTGCTTTCAGCAATAAATTCCAATTGCATCAGGAATATTGTATATGGTTACACCACATATTGCAGATGACTAAGTGTTGGTGAAATATTTGTTTGCGCAAAAAAACACTACAGATGTGTTGAAATTGTATCCGTGAAGAATATCATATGTTCAACTTTTGTATATTGTAATATTTGTATCCTAATAAATATGATCATTAATCATTATTATATTGTTAAGCCAGATCAGCCTTGTTCGCGCATTATATGATCAAGCACTATAAATAGTTTTTTGCTTACTCGAGCAAACAGTGGTGGAGTGGTGGTTAAATGCACCACAAAATGAATGCTTATGAAGCGTATTTTGCAGTAAAGCGAAACGAGTGATATTGCGCAATAGGCACTGTTTGTACAAGATATTTTCGAATTTTTTATACGACGCTATTTCGCGCCTTTCGCTTCGAACAAGGCCCAGTAGCCACTGATATGTAACAGGCTACTATTTCCGGTACGGCATTCCTACCCCCCCGTATTACACCCTGGGCGGTGCTGTGGATTTGTAGTCTGCGATGCTAACACAGTCAAGTCAGCGCTTTCCACCGCCCTCGCAAAACGTTTATGCTGATAAATCATTAAATGAACATAATGATGACAATCAAATCCTTGTCTATTAGCCTAGTGGTCAGAAACCCCCGGGCGTCGCTGCCGGGCTGTATATTTTGCCAGGTTAAAAGCTTTTGAACATTTTTGTAACGTTAAACGTAATTTGTGTGGGGTGTTATATGGAAAAAAAGATTGATCGCATGATTTTTATCTTCACTTGATGAAATTATGCAAGCTACGTAATAAAATACAATCAAAAAAACAAATTGTTCAACAGCGAAGAATGCGATTCTCTATCTTTTTAGAGTTCGGTTGTATTGGCAAGTATGGTAAAAATATTTTTAAAAACTTGTGAAAATTTTCATTTTAAAACGGCCCACAATACGAAAAAGGTAGCGGACTCTTGCATTAGCCAATGCATGAGATAATGTGTGTTCTTTCATTTCAGAACTTGAACGCTGCTAGAAGTTGCTTCTTGAATGAAGTTGAAAGAAAACAACTGGTATCAGATCTTAAGCGAGAATATGCTAATTATAACGACATCGTCGTTGAATATGACAGCATTACATCATCTTAAATTACTGATTTCAAAGCAACTCATCTATACTATAGCCTATTTCAAACAGCTAATTCTAGATTGAGTTCGTTTTAGAACTTGCATCTTTTTTGTAAAAAAAATTGTGATTTGGCAAAACAAAAGCACGTCTTACTTCAGTATATGCGATACATCAATTGAAAGCAAAATTAGTGATTTCATGAAAAAAAATGTCAAAGCTATTTTCAGCTCTTTTGTGAATTTATCCATGAAATTGTCCTCGAGAACATTTCGATTGAAAATGTGGAGAAAAATTTAAAACGTAAAACGAACGTTTACAGTGTAATTTACTGTATATTCTATTATTATTTTTTTTATTTTAATCTTATGAAGTTCCATTGTTAACCTGGCAGTATATGCGCGTTATATCTTCTATCTTTCGTTCCACTAAAGAGCAAATATTCATAAATTCGATTTAAAGAGGGATTTGACAAAGAACAATTATGTTATACTGTGTTTTATTATTTTTGATTTGATTTTAATCTCACGAAGTTCCACGTTAGCAATTCTAAATCTGGCATTATGTGCATTTTTATATGGGTTAACTTACTTCATATTTAAAGAACAAATCTTCATAACTTAAACTCAACTCAAACTTTTATAGGAATATAGATTTCTTGCACTTTGTAGTATATACACACTCTTTATAAGCTTTACTGCATAAATGTATATTGGTTCAATCATGTGTTTAATGAACTATTTACTTTGCGATTGTGTCATTGCCAAGTATGCTCAAATTTCCGAAAGATTTATGATCAGAGTTAGGCGCGTATAAGCCGTAATTCATAGTGCGATCAGAATTGTGCGTGTATAATCCGCCCCCTCAGTTCGGCAACTCATTATTATTTGAGTTGTAAACTCGGCTTATATGCGAGGATATATGCCTGTCCATCTTCATAGAATTATATTAAAAAACGTTTATTTGCTCAATTTTCCTTTGAGCCAAAAAGATCCATACAAATTTATTATCCTGTGTACACATACCTGTCGAGAAGTAATTTAAAAATTATAACTATGCTCGTTCACAGCGGATATCATATGCTATGATAAGAAATTTCAATTTTTCGTTTTCCCTGATGCCAATGCATATGGTATAAGAAGGCGCACCTATGCCCAAGTGTCTCCCAATAACGGTATTTTTTTCATGGTATGTATGACAATATTCTCATGATCTTTTTAATGTGTTTCGACACTGAAGTCTTATATGGGCACTGTATGATCATGCTTTTCATCATAGTTTGGTGTTTTTTGTTTCCTTTTATGATTTATTACAGATTGGTGTGTGTCTTTTCGCGAATGCGACAATTTGAAACTGTTTTCAGAATTTCGTTGAAAATGAGAATATAAATATATCTATATATATTATATAAAGGTGTCAATCTGTCTTCTGTGATGTGTATTATAAGTAACCCAGGATCGACCGGGCGTTTTTTTCCGAGTATCAGTGTCGTATTTTCACACCTCTCGAAATTCAACTATCAAACTCGTCGTCGGAGTCAAAAATTTTTATCTGACCTAAAATAAGGCAATGCTAAGTACAGAGACATCGATCCGATATAATTTGCCTCAGGGCTTAGACGCATGCAGCATGACTTGAGCTATGCGATCAAGTTACACTTTGATAAATATGGTAAACAACCGCGTAAATCTGTCGAGACAGTCTATTATCCTTTACTGAGGGGGCGAGCGGTTTTCCAAATGTTAACTCGTATAATTAAATATCAAGGAACCGCATGTGTACGCACGTGAAGTAAAATGCGAATCCATATAGTTTAGCGAGTTCACTCTTTGTTTAAAGAAATGCCATTCGAATCATCACATAAATGAAAGCTAATTAATTGTAGCCAAAAATCTTATATACAGTAATAGGTATAATTGAAAAATTATCAATAAATCAAGATGCCAATGCTCAAATATATGGACAAAATGGTCGTACATCGGCAACGGTAAAGCTGATTTTGTTGAAACGATCGGCGTAGGAGTTTGACAAAATAAAATGTTTTTATAATTAACAAAAAAGTGTTCCCACTAATTAAAACAAAACAGCAGCATTTTAGATGAAATATCGGGTACTATATGGAAGATAAATGTAATAGCGTTTCATCTTCAAGTAGTAATATATAATTTGAATTAGATCGACCCATTAATGGCTGGAAAACCCGATCGTTTCCCAATAACAATTTAGCAAAATTATGCGTGTCCAATTATTAGTAATTAAGGACGAAAATCGAGTTAGTAATTGTTATTAATTTCAGACAGAATGGTTTATTATAGCATAACATGCAACATTAAAGCAGGTAAGCATAATTGCTTGAAATATGTAGATACTGCACACAACTCGTTCCTATTTGGGTATTCTTTTTGCTCCGCAAGTATAAATTCTAGATAATGCCGGGTTTTTCTTACTAATTTCTTACTGTTACTTCATTTTCTATATATATATTCCACAATTTAGTTTTATATTGATAAACACAAAAACAGAACACAATATTCTTACCATAGGAGATATTCAAGGCCAAGTGAAGAAATAAACATATTGTGTATTGTTGTATTTTTACTTCAGTTTATAACATAGTTTTTTTGGTAACTCCGTGTATATATATAGAACCACCTTGGTTCTGGTTTGACTTAACAGCAACGGAAACTTATAGTTGACAGTTCATTCATATGAATTTATTGAAACGACCTAAAACATAAGCAGCGCTGCACAGAGCAATAATTGTGATGCCGACAGAAACATATACTTCTTTTGTACTTCGTTTCAACACAGCACTCTTCCAAATAACTTCTGTGAGCTCACTCTTAACGTTGATTACGGGAAACGGGATACGTGGTATTGGTTTCTCCAGGAAATCGCATAATGGTTTCCAACCTTCTTTGCAGTTGAATATAAGCAGACGATCTTTAGGACAGCTCTGTTGTAAATTATGAATGTAAAAGTCGCTTAATATGAAACATTGACGAGAAATAAGGAACGAGGTAGACGTATATCTCACATGGTTCTTAAAGATATACTTTTTAGTTTTATTTACGCAAAGCCCAAATACTATACTTGACGATATGAACAAAACTAATGAACTTCTATGAAAACCAGAATTTTGGTAAATGTGGCAATTGATTCAGGATTAATTTTAACCATTTATGCAAATTATATGTACCTCGGATTATTTGCACACGCTCAAAGTGGTAACCAATAATAAGTAACTACTGTTATATAAAATAAATCATCGTACGTGTACAACATGAGCAATATGTCTTCTATAACATTGTTTCATTGCTAATCCTGCATCGATTGATTCTTCTATCGTATTATAACCGGTATAGTGAACGCCAAAAGGCAGCAAACCTGATTGGGATATAAATATTTGTGATCAATCTAACATGAAAACGTCCATTGCAAAAAAGTTATTATGGCATTTTTCTTACTCAATTATTACCAGAAAATTAAACAAAATCCCCCAACAATATATTGATGCTTGTTTGCAAGTGTAAGTTAACTGTTTTTCAGTCAAATTTTCAATTGTGGTTATAAGGATGACTTCAATTTCTTGTCTGAGGTTTCTTTTCTGGTTATCCTAAAATTATCCTTTTTCAACTTGTTTTTTGAAATTTACTAGTCGTCGCTGCTTGATTGCTTGAGACAAAAAAGTGATTTTGAGAAGTGCACCAGAATTGATCGATCAACGATCGACCTTGGTGATTGTTTCGTTTCAGAAAAAAAAAACAGCTTGATTCTATTTAAAAACTCAATAATAATTCAGATAACACGAGGCGATCGCGCGACGTATAGCTAGCTGCATTGTTTCAACATGGACTAAAGCCCCTCTTTGCGGCTTTTCCAAGTCATAAAAAACCCTTTACTGGTGTTATATGAACCAATTGTTTCGCTCAATTTTGTTCGAATACTTGAAATATTAGGACTTTTCATAAATATGTCTTCTTCAAAGTATCAATATAATATCATTATAATACCTTCGTTGCACTATTCTTTATTAAAACATATGTCTACGATGTTCCCACTACATTGGGTAGTTGTTTAATCCATTGAATGTTTTTTTCCTATACTAACATTATTGATCCTTTAAATATTATTTACCTAATTACAATTTATTCTGTAGTTATTCCAATTTTAAAGAAAGTTATAATGCAATGCTATAATAAAGAAAATTCGATTCGAAAATAAATTATTCAAAACTTACATCCCTACACCTAACCCCTATTTTGATTCAAAATATTTAAATATTTCGTAAATCTGCCTGCCATTTAAAAATACAGATATATTATTTTATATATCATCTTTTTGTCACTAATTTTTGTTCACTGCAGCGAAACGAAAATTATTCGAAAAAGAAAATGATCATTGAGGTATTTGGTTTATATATATATACTTAAAGTTCGGTAATTCATCTAAAATGTGTGAAAGTGTGACTGAACTACTGCAAAAAGTTCAATTGGTGCGTCACGGTTAACACACTGCTGATTGGACATTGTTACGGAAACTGTGAAGTGAAGAAAGAATTGTTTAGAGGTCAAAGGTTAGATCAACACCCAAGAGTGTGACGAATAAAAATATTTAAAGCTGAGAAGAATTAATGTATTGTTGTACCTGCGTTAAAAGCAAATCTCCAAAATCTTCGCCATGTTGATGAGAGATAATTGTAATAGAAATGGTGCTTCAGATTCCGATGAATTTGCCTTGAAATACTTTCATACCAAATATCATCCGCATCTCTCATCATAAGAATGACCTGTTAAGAGATATTACAGATTCGATGTGCTTAATCAGATATTTGATTCATTATACCAAGCTTTTGGGTGATAACTTTTGACTGATTTTCAACTCGGCTGATTAAGACCCGCTAAGTTTAATTTTTCAAATTATAATTACCGGTATAGCACAAATACAATTCCGCAATTTGTATGAAATTTTCGTTTTCTATTTTTTTTCGACTATTCTTAAAGTGGCGCGGCGGTGTGTCTCATCGTGCTAAGCGTTAAAAATACGCTCGCCACCGCACCACTGATTACTCTGATTGGGTTCGCAGGTTCGAGATGGGTATGCGCGAGAGAATTGCTGGACTCCTCGTCGCAGTAGGGTGGTTCACGTAACTGCTGGTCGGTTACGGCTTCCTCCGCCATCAAGTCCATGCTTCCAAAAACAAATAACTATCTAAACCCATACCCGACATGGAATGGTGATCGGACGAGAGGCCGTGGTTCGCCATATGGTTAAGCCGTCTTATCGGCTTTCCTCTCCCCGGGATACATATGTAAATTGTATTGTATTCTAAGTCACTAAAGATTGAGAAAATTTGGTCTTTGCTGGGAATTTACATGAGTACATAAACTTTATACATAAACATAATTCATATATATACGACTAACAATGGACAGCATCGTGAAAGATTGCCCATTGCAGACTGTTAGCGGGGTTCATGCAAACGTACTTACTTTGGCTTCGGGAAAAGACTCTAAAGCTTCCTCCCAGAAATAATAGAATGGTCCATCAATAACAACGTCGACGTCATTGTACATTTTACGGAAATCGTCTACTGTCCAATCGTCACTCACGAATCGTTGGTATTCGGCATTATAAAAGTCATAATTTTCCATAAAATCGTAGACAACGTATCCAAGTTCTCGAAGTGCTGCGTTAACAGACTTGGTGCCACATTTTGACATTCCTGCACAAATAACTTTCATTTTTCCTGCACGATTATTTACAATGCAAAGTCTAGCCAAGTAGAAGAATTAATTTGGAAATCATGACACGACTAACCTCTTTGAAAAAAGAAACGGATTAGAATACCGTATCGCTATGCAGATAATATATATACAGGGTGGCCCAAAAGTAGGTATATATACAGTTATTTCATTTATTTTTTATTACCTTCCAAGCAGCTAGTAAACTAATGTAAAATTCACACTAGATTTATTATCTAAAAAAATAAGCAATTTTTCTGGTACTTAACAAGTAACATAAAGTGAACTGCAAGAAGCTTCAAAGCATATAAAATAGTTTAATAACTGTATACCTACTTTTGGGCCACCCGGTATATAGCGCGAAGCGCAAAGATGAAAAGTGTATATTAATTCAAAAAATATCAGTGTATTAGGCATTATTGAAATGACGGTAAACTTAGCAAACTGGGGTTAAAATATACCTGTACCTGAATCCTCTGCTGAACTGCTGTAACATATTTTCAAGTGAAATAACGCAGGCTGTTTCTTTTTACTCAAATTAGGTAGTATTTATATATACTTTATGTTTTCCCCCGCTTTCTGATTCCGTAATCTGTGTTTTTGTTACATTGCTGGCATGTATATATATATATATATATATATAGACTATATCATATATATAGTATTTTAAAATCAGCATCAACTTATATGCATATACTGCAAAATAGCATGCTCCAATGGTCATCGCAGAATTCACAGTGATGGTATACGAATTCCCTAAGCGTGACACAAAAAAAAATATGGTTCAAATTTGTCCAACTAATCCGTTGATTTTCGTCATGGAACTACAGAAGATCTCTAATTTGTAGGTAACATTTAAGATCGGAAAGTTATATTGACGTCCATACAAACTATTGCCCCACAACCCAAAACAACAATACCTCAACGCAGCTTATCAAATTTTATTTTTTTATTTAATTATATTGGTTTTCTATATGTAATTCCTTCATGACAATGAATGTTTCTGCACGAATTTCCATTGCTTGATGCCTGGTGTTATAGTTATTGCGTTGACTTTGAAAGAGACAGATAAGCCATTCCACGCGAAAGATTATTCTGTATGAGCAATCACTGATGCGCAAGTAGTTTATTGTTGGATAGAAGGAAGAAGATAGAGTTTCGGCTATAGTGATGGAGGTAGAAATTCGACCCGTAACGGGAATCTTTTTTTTCTAATGCACTTAGTATCAATTAACAAATGACTAGTAAGAGGTGTACCGACTGACGATAGTTGTTCATAGCAAGTGGTAACTGGAACACATATACCCAGTAGTGGGATTCAGCCGGTTCTATAGAACCGTCTCACGGAATTTTATGAGATCAGCGAACCGGTTGGCATTACTGAAAAAAACATGACTTTTGTAACAGTACCGGCTGAAAAATATGACATTTGTATGATGGAACCGGCTGACAAAAAATTTGAATCCCACCACTGCATATAGGCTACCCTATATTATGAAAATAAAATCACCATATACAATTGCAGGATGAGATCGGCAGACAGATGAGTAGATGAGGGTGGGTTACAGGACACAGTGGAAAATCAGCTCTCACGCTGATACAATATCCGAAATCATGCATGTGTTTCGATGTTTGACTTCGCCTTTCGGTGAGTTACGAAGTCCCCGCGAACGGACAGCGGCCGTGCAGAGCGACGCAAGCCATCGGGTGAAGTTGGTTTTGGGACGTTGAAAGCAGAGTTTTGCCGTTTCAGTGTTTTCCTCTTTCTACGTTCCAACAAGAATAACGGCTGTCTGGTGTTTTTTTACTATAGTCCATTTTGAAATATTCCTAACGTTGGCGAGTGGATGTGTCTTCTTAATCTTGACACGGCGCACTCTTAAAATATTTGGTGTTCGTGGGAAACAATGGACCATGCGCTACAGTGCATGATTTGTCAATACCCCTAACTCAAATTCTGCATTAATCTAACGCCCATAGGTAATCTACAAATTCATCTGGTTTTGTCACATTTAGTTCACATCTGTTCAAATTTAGATTTTGACGAGAGAAGGATCAGTGCAACGAAAGTGTCGACCTAAAACTTTGCTTAAATGGGAACTTCACCTTGCTTGGATATAAAGAACTAGTTCCATGTATAAAAAGTATTATACTTTCCTCTTACAACAATATGTGCTTATAACCTCTAAAAGAAATACCCAAGTGCATGATTCATTTATTTTTTTTACATTCACAACTTCCTCGGACTTTCAAATAAAGCGATAAATAATATCAACATGAAATCGAACAATGTAATAACCATACAATGCAAAGAAATCTACCTACAGCAAATTAGACAGTTTAGCTATTGTAAGCAAGGTTGTATATGGACAGATGGTGACTATCAAACTACACCAAGAGGAGTCGTGAACACTCTAAATGTTCATTTTTCTACACAGTCTTAATTGCTTACAAAATACAAAGATGAATTTTATGTTATTTGGTAATCTGGTACTGCCACCATCGAGCAGAACTATGTTTTTTCTTTCGTCGTCAATCATCATGATAAACCTTACTTAAACAGAATTGGCATATGCAACAAGAAAGCAATATTCAAATATACGGACAATTTGTGAAAGCCATCTAAGTGATATAGTATATTGATATTTCTATTGTCCCAGTGCTACAGATACAAAGGACAGAAAACATAAACAAGCCCGCTCTGATTTGGAAGTTAAGGAACTATAATGGAATGCTTTAAATATATATATATTCCAAATGATTTCAAGTTATAGAAATTCAAAAAGCAAAAATATTAATTGGAGAATTATCCACAACTTGGGACTACAAGATACGACTTGGCATAAGATTTATATAAACACAGAATAAACGGAATAGACCATTCAAGTCCAAAGCACAATCCATGGATCCATTGAGGATTTTAAAACTTCCAGAATATCTAGAAACTGACTTGGATTATATCGCAGAAGGTAGGCTGAGGAAACTACCATATTCAACAGATTTATATGATGCATCCATAAGCTTTGGCAATTGGATGTACAAAACTATTGGAAATGGGCTCAATACGACTAACAACCTATGCAGTTTCTAATTCTCAATGTCCTACAGAACAATCACTGAGCGTGTGTTGAATAACAAGGATCTTACTGAAGATTCAGAAGCTGAAACATATATTTTCAGTACTAAAGATAACAATACTTGAATTTTTTTCTCAAATTCACGCATTTTTATTATATAGTATAGCATAGTCACCTTACAGTGACAATTATTTATACATCTAGTAAATATGTAGTAAATCGCCAAGTATCAGATCGGTAACCATATTTCATTAAACATAATAGCTGACTAATGAGGCAATGCACATGTTTTTTTTTCTCGGTATATATTTCAATATTAAGCATATATACGTGAATGTCACCTGTGGCCCAAATTAGTTGTAAGAACGGCGTAATTAGTAAGAACGGCGTAATTAGATTTTTTGGGAGGTTGAATATGATTTTGTCTGAATCTGAAAAAACGAACTAAATAAATTCAAAAATGTCCTTTTCAGTATTATTTGATAATTGCCTTTTATTGCGCTTACTTCTCCAAAATCAGTCATCTACATGAAAAAATATTTCCAAATATAGACCTGTGTTATTTCTTGGTCTTCTTTTGAGTCAAGTTTATCTTGTCACCTAAACTTAGAGCCATCCCCTGGAAAATATAAAAAATTAGCATTATGACAAAATAATCACCCAGTATACTATATATTCTGCCATACTGCTAATATATAAGGGAATTTACATTGGATGTATTGATAATGGAGTCAAGTATTATTATCAAAACTCCATGGGAGTTGGATTCAATATTTCAGATTTTTAATGGAGGTAATCAAGTAAAAATTTCTAAGAGCATGAAATTGACTAATTTCATTACGCAATTAAAAACTTCATAGGGCATTTCTCATTTGTGAAGTCCTTAGATTTTAAAAAAGAATCTATATTCCCTGTCAGTTCTATCAGTTAATTCATTAACTATATTTCAAGCTTCATACCAATGTAAATTTACATTAAATATCCTAATAAATAGGCATAGACAACAAATTTGAATTTACAAATTTCTAATACAAGCAAACAGCCACGAATCTGAATGGAAGAAATAGTTCACAAAAATTTATTGGTATCAATTTAACAAGCAGATTGGGGACCTATTCATTGCATACCTGACTTTTAGCACGAATCCTGATATGTCCTTGCACTGGATGATCTGGTTCTTTATCTGAAGGTTTCTCAATACTAACATTAGCCAAAGCACATTCACCGAATATCGATTTTGCAAATAAATTAGCTGCCAGGAATCCACAATCACCTCCAAGAACCTAAATAATTACAAATGAGTCTAAGATCAACCCTAGAAACAAAGAAAACTATTGATAAAAGTCGGGTGACATAGGATAATAAGAACTTTAATAAATGTAGCAGGCATGACTCGAAAGTAAAGACAGCTGAGTTGAGACAATAGCTGAAGTGTCTGAATTGTCAAGTCTTTTAATATAACTTTTAATCGATTAAACAGTACAATTTCAGAAAATTTAAAGTGACCTGTCATATTCATTTCTTTGAACCTCTCTAATTTTTTGGGGGTTTGGAACCTAGAATGTTTTTAATTCGAACTTCACAAAATTTCACCCAAACCCCCATTAAAATTTTTTCTAATTGATTCTTTCATACTTAGTGAAAAATTTTCAGAAAATATGGCCTAAAATTTGTGGTTTGAATTTCGCGAGTGGAATAATCCAGTCCCAGACACCTATCTTTTTTTCCACTGTTTATGATAAGATAAACATGCTAATCAAATGAAGAACCAGTTAAAATACAATGGAAAATCAAGATAATACCTTTTCTGGTGTAAGACATTTCATATTGGTAGATGTGATTATATGGCTGAGGAAATCATTTAGACTCGATAGATTTGTATTGACTGTAACTTTGTTTTCCCATTCAAATTCAGCCCACATTTGCCTGTTGGAGAAAAGAAAGTTTTGAAAAAAAAATCCAAATTTTGGGTAAATAAAACCAAAATGGTGATATATGCTGAATTAATCGCTTTATTATTTAATATTAATTAAGGAAAATAGAACACTCGACGTTGAGTTATAATAGGTAATGTGAACAAAAGAAACTGGTTTAGGACAACAAAATTAAAAATTGATATGAAATAAAAAAAGATCTCTTTCAATAAATCAAAAATGAAACTAATGTGAAAATACTTCATTTTTAAATGAAATAGAGATTTATGTGAAATTTGGCGTGGTTCTTTTACAGCCACAAGCAAAGGTCTTCACGGATACCACTCACAATAACTGCATTGGCAGCGATTTGTTTAATTCTTTGACTGCATTGCATTTATTCTTTTGCTTCCATTTGTTGAATTTTTACTTAAACATGGCAAACAAAATACCCGACGGAAACACATCAAAACTAAAACCGGGTATTGAGCAATCTAGATCAAAACCTAACCTAAATTCAGAATCTGAGCATGAAGCAGGTGTAATGTAATCCATGATATCGATATGAATATCATTCAACACAACACAATTTCTGTCACTACCAGCTCCCGATACATCATAAACGATGTTGCCAAAAATGATTCCATTCTCTGTGGAAGCAACCTGGAAAAAAGAAAACAAAAGTAAGATCACTTCTTCTAAGTCTTCGAACAGATATGAATCAATGCTAATTGATAAAATAAAGACACTTTCAGCTAGAAAATAGATTTAATTCACCATACCCAACAAACAAACCAATTTTCAGCGCAAAAATATATATGTAACAACTTAAAAATACCTTTCCCATGTTGACAGTACAATTCTTAATCAGATTACACTAAAGCTCAACTAATTTTATTCACAGTTCCAAATGATTATTGTTCTTGGATAACTCGATTACATTATATCAATGTTATTCATAGGCCACTCATAGGCAACTGGGAACATTGTTAATTAAACTAACTTGTCTGAACAAATCTTTAGCGATGCAATATTAAAATCGTGATTAATTAATCACGATTTCTATTTATTTCATTTTTGAATTATTAATAGGCATTGGGTGTGCTAAACTATATCAAATCTCAGTCTTACATCAAAACAAAACAAACTTGACATTTAAACTGGCTTGCAGACTATATGAAGAGTCCAAACTACTCCTCAGTAGAAATAATATAAAAATATACTGTACTGACCTTTACACTTGCTTTAATGTTGGCAAAATCATGAGGAGCAAGTGTGAGAGGACTTGGTTTTTCAACAAGTTTTAAATCGCCTGAAAATGTAGAACAATACAATATAACATTACAAGTTAGATGCCCAATTAAGCTTTGACAATAGCTTGATGGAAATAACTGGCAAATATTATGGATATCACAAACATCAGAGCAGTAGTTGTGACTTCAAAATCTTATAGTATCACAAGATTACCGACTGGAGCAAACATTTGCAATTCAAGCAACTGTATGAATTTGGATTTTTTCAGTCATTTGCCACCAAAGTCAACAGTAATTCTTAAAAAGTTAAAATATTGCTTGAATCTGTGAGAGAAGCAATGGATTTTGTTAATAACATAATCCTCACCTAGAGTAGCAAGCTCCAATGTGCAGTTTTGCAAAGTATCTGTAGTTTGGTTAACAACCAGCACATCCAATACAATATCGTATTGATTAATATGAACGTATGCTTCTGCATATACTGGATCTGAAAAGCCTGTCAACTGGGTGACCTGAATGGAAGTTAATAAATATAGAAAAAGCACATAAAACATTGCCCTTAGTAGGGATGGCCAAAAAAAATAATTAATGAATATTGGTGATATTTGGTATAGTTAATCTTGATTTCAAAAATAATTTAGCATACTTTCGTTAAATAAATTTCATATTTTCAAGGTTTGACATCTGATGGTCGAACATAAAATATATCAACTCAGTTTCACTTCCTATACTATAAAAAGAGAATAATAATCAAAACAATGTTTATCTCCAGCGTTCCCATAACCAAATTCAATTTTTATCAATTTACAATGATTTATAAAAAATTCTTTGTTGAACATAATCACATTTTAAAATGAATTTAATATACTCCATATTCGAACATATGATTTCATTTTAAAACTTTTTGAATAGTGAATTATTTTGTTCTTATTTCATTGTGATTAGCATCAGACATCAGGTTCGAAGGCTTTTCCCCATGCGCTCAGTGCGTCGGAAGAGGGAGCCTCTGTTGTCATCATATGAAATCACAAAATATCACAACCATCATGGACTTCATTGGAAGTAAAATTATAGGAATATCTTTAAATAAAATGTAAAATATTCTGCTTATCAACTTGCCCACAAAGAAACAAAATATTGTGATGCGTTTAAAAGTGTACTAAATGAAGTAAAAATAAAACTGGTTAGGATATATGAAGAACTGACTTCATGACAAAATTGTAATTGAAACGTGACTTTATCACCCTATATATTCAAGATAGGAGTGCATTATTTAACATTTTCTTTTGTTATCATATATTATTACCTTGTTTAATTTTGAAGCAAGAGGATCCCTGGCTTCTTTCTTCTGAGCTGCAGAACCAACAGCTGCGCTTAAACTTAATTCAAATTGATCTTCTAATGTTCCTGATTCAGTCTTTTCAAGAAGTTGAAGGAACTTGATCGGATCATCGGGCTTAACAAAAGTATATTAATAGCTAAATTTTCCATTCGTATTTTCAAACATATAACATAGATGAGTAGTAACAAGAGAGGGACATCAAAATGTGGATTTCTGATATTTTGCATAACTTCAGTTTGCCTTTTTAAAATAAAGATTTTATTCCCAGTTAAGCTAAAACACTGAGCGAACGCAAAAGAAATAAAAATGTTAATTTAATTTAACTTGCACAGGATATTAACGATATTAAAGTATATTCGCATACGCAATGACACATAACAAGACTTCCAGCAGCAACATCTTCACAAAGCAATTAAGTCAAACATTCAATTCTAACCTGCACAGAAGTAAGAGCACTTCTATTCTTAGCAGCGGCTTTCTGTTTTTGAGCTTCTTCTGCAGAACGTACAGCAAGTAGAGAGGAAAGTGATTCACGACAACGTTCGTTAAATATTTCAGTCATGAGTGGCAAACAATCCGCCAACACCTTGAAAGAAATGAAAGAACATTAACAATATAAATTCACTGTCAACAAAAAAATAAACAGAACAATCAATGCAATAAACTTGAATAAAATTATAAAAGTATCGAAGCCTAACCCGATACCCAATCCGAACAAAATGAATATGACATCATAATGTTGTAACACTTACCTTCAAACAAAGTGTAATTCTTGATTCATCATCGTCAGTGATAGATTTAGTAGGAAGTCCAGATTTACCGAGATGTAACACACTCGACAATATCAACATGCATTGAGCATTGAATGACTGCAAAAAAGTGGGTTTATGTAAGTAAAATTATTTTCAAAAAATTAGTTAGAGTGGAATTGAATAAATACATGAAATATATATGATTGCAAGTTTCGTTCTCTTTATTGAAAGAAAAAATACAGTATAATAGTTTGTCATTATCTTATCATTCGGAAAAAAGTCAAGCACAAGAGTGGGAAGAAATGAAGTTCAGGCTGCAGGAAGGAACACTGCCTTCAAAAAATGATTAGAGTTCGGTCAGGTCAAATTTCTCAGCCTCACATGGGGTCACGAGCCAAGAGCGACACCTTTGCTAGTTACTATTTGGGATGACAATATTAATTAGGAGCCAATTAGCTGTGATTTGCTAAATTCTGACTGTAATTTATTCAATTCTTTTCCTTTCAATTGCTGGGGCCACAGATCATGAAAATTTGAAATTCACTGGGTTGAGTTGTGTTCAGACTACCGGTATATATCTTTAACTCTTTTTAGTTCTAAGATATTGTATATACAAATTTGGCACACTAAAAATTGATGATCTTCACTTACATTTTGTTTCCTAGGATCAGAGCAAACCTCTCGAAATCTCAAAGCAAGTTTAGTGAGGGCAGTAGCAAGCGAGGACGAGAGAGAAAAATCCCCATTCATGAAAAAATTGAGCAACGGTGGTCGTTGCTCATCCTTCGATTTTGGTCTGACTGCGACACTGAGTGCTGACTGAGTAGCATATGTTCCCATCTCTGTAACTTTCTGCTTCTTTTGTTTTTCCTTTTTCTAAAACGAAAAAAAAGTTGATGAGACTTTTTGTTATTTGTTCAATATTCAAAGAATCCTTAGGTAGTATTACGCACAACTTGTACTTTGGCTTTTGCATATTTTAAATAGTTTATAATGTGCCCACATGTATTACAATATTACTAAATAACTGAACTATATTAGTTAAATTACAATGAAATCAGAGACATAGTTCAGTATTTCCTACTAGAAATCAAAATTTTTTCCCTAGAGAGAGATTTCACCTCGATTAGGTACACTCGGATAAACATAATTTCAACAACATACCTTATCATTAGTTGATTTTTCCTCTGATTTTTCTTCAGGCATTTCTCCAGCAGCCAATTTCAATTCATTTTCAACGATTGGAAGTTCACCGACGCATTTTCTAACGTCATCCATGAAATGCAGAATCCTTTCGATTCCATCACAATATTCACCCAAGATCCACAACACACCACGCATTATTCTGCACAAAATAAACAAAAAAAGCATGAGTTTGATTTTTATCAATCAGCTAACAAGCATGAACAGGGTACAAAAAATGGTCACAATGAAAAAATATTAAATAAATTTTTCAGAATCACACAGGCCTGTGAAGTCTGAAGTCCCAAAGATGACATGCTTTTATTGCTAGGATATGAGGTTAGAGATAAAGTTGCACTTTCGAACTCCTTGACAGAGATGCATTTCTGAATTCTTGGAGTAGAGAGTCAAAATTTGAACGCTAAATCTATGACCCAAAATTCTAAAATAAATTAAGCTGACGCAAAGATCTTGTTATAAAATTTATTTCTCGGAGCTGTCATAAAATTCATCGCTCCAGATGTATGTCTACCAATATGGAGGCAGCTAATTGTGTTCGCCTATTTTACATCAAATTGTGTAAAGGGACTGAAACCTATGGGTAGGGGAATATTTAGTTGGGCACCACAGACAGCCCCCGAACTCTTAATATAACTAAAATAGGGGGAAATCTGAATAAAATTATGGCATAAGCTATAACCTTAACTGGGTACACATACTACGGCAGTACCTAAAAGTCCACCAAAATTTTCATGATTACTTGAATATTTCTCAACGATCAAATTGTGGCAGAATGTTTATCATATTGTATTTTGGAATCCTCCAGATTTTCACGATTGAGTCATAATTTTTTCGCTTGCCTTTAGACTTGATGAATACTGATGTTTTTATTTACATCAATCAAAACTGAACGAATCAACTTATACCGGTATTAAATAATATAACATGTGTTGATCTTGATTGCAAATTTTAACTAGTCAATGATGAAAAATAAGACTGCAAATTAGCAATACTCAATGATTGATTCTCACTTCAAATTCCTGATAGAAGAGAATACTTCGAGTAGCTTATCGAGTATGAGAGATTTATGTTGATCGTATCTTTGAACAGCTTCTCTAACAAATACAAGAACATCACCAGCCGCAAGTTCATTGCTGTCACTGAGAAACTCCATCAACTGAACAAAATATTTTTTCACCAGGATTATTGCATTGAAATCTACAGAGGGTGCATATATGGGTGTTAAAGTTCTATTAAAACATGTCGACAACTAATTGGACACAATATGAACCTATGAATCACTTTGATGAATTATTGTTGCTGTGTTGGGATAGTGAAAAAATTTAGTTTCTTCACAACTAACAGAATTCAAATTTTCAGTACTTGAAGACTGAAGACTTCTACTAGGCCCGATATTTTATCCCTAATTTTGCTGTCTTCAATAATTCAGGAAAACAGATTTACATGAGCACTACTTCACATTTGATAGGGTACAATTCTTTTTATCATCTGGCAGGGATTTTGATGACAGTGCTGTAGTCATACGACTTTGGCGTCCATATGTTTGAGCATTTCTCTTTTGTGATTTGGAATAATAATAATAATATCAATGAAGTTATATCATCCCATTATGTACGTAACCAAGATATAACTTACCACTGGAATAACAACAGAAGAAGTATCTGGAAACTTGATGGTACATTGATGCATGGCCCGAACTAATAACTGTCTGTATTTATCAGTATCATCATGTCCTTGAGCACTGGTCGATTTTGAAATCTGATAGAAAAAAGATGAGACGGAATTTTATTTGGCGTATGATGTTCTTGAAACCACAATAAATGTTGGATTTAGCAGTGTGGTGTTCGCGCAGACAGGTCGTTCAGAATTTGGTCACAAGTTACCCAATTCACAATGGATATTGTTAAATATACTGAAAAGATAACTCCATAATATCCTATCATATGAAGAATAATGGAAAATATAAAGTTAAAATCCATCATGAAGTTGTGCCCAAATGAAGAAATTCTGTTTCCAACATAATTGTACTTGAATGACATGAACATTTCCTTTTCTAATATACTAACAAAATACCAACCTCTTTTTCCAAGAATTTAACGAGATCTTCCACATTTCTGGATGACACAAGATCCAGAGCCAGATTCAAAGTTTTTTCACGGACCTCAAGATCAGGTGAGGAAAGAGCACGAAGAATGTCCATCACAAGTTCCTGAAAATAAAACAATTATTTTTCTTAACAAATTAAGAGACTTGAAAATTTGTTTAAAAATAAGTATAAAGAAGCAATTCTTAACACATTGTGAACACACGCCAATGCCAACAAATGTTTACAAATGAAGATTAATAAATGATATATTAGTGAGAAGGCTTTACATGAGGCATACAAGTCACGAAAAAGGCCAAGGACAAATGAAAAATCCTATTTGTCAGTGTCTTTCTGGGGAATGCAGGTTTAGAACAAATTATATGTTAGATTTAGACATTGTCGTTCATAAAGATTTTATGTCCATAGTCACACAATCAGGAAAATACTCTAGAATATAGGTTAGGACATACCTGAAGAACTTTTTCATGACTGGGGTGATCTCTCAATTCAATCAATCTATCCAGCACAATAAGTTTGACATTGTTGTCAGCTTCTTTCACAATTAGCTCAACGTAGCATTGGGCGGCAGCACTGAAATATAGTTTAAAAAATGGGGGATCAGCAACTAAAGAAAAATCAATGGAAGTCGTCCTTGTAATATAGTGCTGTTGATTTCTTAACCCATTGCCCCCTTTCTAAAACTCTAGACACTTGGGGATCCTGACGCCTAGACGCGATCAAAGCTTTGACCAAATCATAAGTTCAATTTAGTTTAAACCAATGTAGTCATGAGAAATGGTACTTTGTGATGGTCTTTTTCTGTAGTCTACAAAAAAACATCCTTGGCCTACTGCATTGGGCAATTTTCAGAAACACTGGCTCAAATATCATCATAAAAGTTTAAATTAATCATCGAAACCATCGCGTATCTGTAAAATTTTTCAACTAATGATATCAACATCGTTAAGATCATCATTCAACCACTAAACCATCACATTTTCTCATATATTAGTATTTAATAGTTCAATAGTATTTATTTAATCACAATTTATTAAAGTTCACAAACATTGATGGGTTGACATTTTATTTTTCATTTTAGATGCCCAGTTTATGTTTTACTCACCGGACAGCGGTTGGGGCACTGGACAAAGTGACCAAAGTTCCTGCAGCTTCATAACGAACAGCTGGGCTAGATGACTGCAATAGATTATATATGCATCGAATAAATCTTGCTCTTTCTCCTGGATTTGCATGACAAACTTTGTAAACAAGTTCAACGATAACAAGCTGCAGAATATCATTGAATGTATTCACCTAGAAAAAAATGGAAAACAATAGATTTTGAATATAGGTAATAAATTAAGATAGGATTGTCATATTCATCTTGTAAAGTGGAAAAAGTTAAAAAGATGGCTTAATCATTCAGCCAGCCCCCTTGTCCAGTTACAGGTCCATATGTGAGAGGACGGCAGTACCGATCAGTGGTAAGAGAACAACCCTACTGGAGATTGAAGGGTACAGCAATCAGCAAATGTCTCCCACATTTATTACCCATCGGATTTGAACCTACATAATTAAATTGAGTCATAGCGATATAATGGTAATCAAAAGAAGAGGAATTTACCTGTTTAGAAAACTACTATAGCAAGATTCACAATAAAGTTCATAACAGAAATACCAGTTTGCAAAATCATGAAATATATGCCAGGGATAGCCGATTAGCCGGTAACAAATAATTCACTATTCTAAATAGAGATTGGAGACTCCAACACCACTAAGCAATATTAGCATTCTATATCATGAAATGTGATATATTTTATAGAGAATACGCCTGAGGTCATTGCATAATAATAAAGTTTCAAGTTTTGTTATTTGGAAAAGTTGAATAAAACAAGTTTTGGATCATGAACTTGCCTAAGAGGCAAATTCTTGAAATGCCCACTTTTTCAAAGAAATCATTTCTAAATTCAATAAATTACAATATTGAAAATGAATATGTTTGGAAGTACGCAACTAACCATGCTTTTGGATAACTCTGATACAAGCATGCGACAAACACATTGCACTAAAATATATAAGTAAAAACTGAAACTGAGATACACACAATAATAACAGGCAATGTGTGTCATACTAAATACAAAACTCTTACTTGGTCAATACAAGTGCTCAAGTAATCCAAAGCTCGTTCTTGATCAGCATGAATCAACATCATGAATGCGTTTCGTTTACACGAAGCATCTTTTTCTCCTTCCAGAAACTCATGAATAAGTTCTGGAGCATCAGGAATCAAATTTTCAAATTTCCTGGAAGATAAATAATGTCTGTAAACAGATGTTGAGAAGAGAGACTGTTGTCAAAATCACATGAAAAGCAAAATCCCTAACTGCAGTGGTCTACAATTTTTCTCAATATATTCCTGCCTTTGTCTATTTTTAGATCCCCTTATTACTCCCTCACTATGCGGAAAACTGTTTCTGTTGTTTGTTTGAACTTTAAAGCATCCAATATATATATATATATCGAATATTAACTGAATAACCAAATAATATAAGCAAAACTGCATACAAAGAATAGTAAATGTTCTGTTTTTTCTGCCTGTTGGGTTGAGAAATGCTGCCCTAGTGTGACTGAAATAATTGCATTCCTTATAAGGATTGTTCATTTTTCAGGTCATGCTTGAGTAATTAATCATATTGATAGTGGTTGTGTTTTGGAATACATACCTGAATATAGTATAAATGGCAAGAACTGCATTTCTTCTTACATAGCTATGTCTGTGTTCAAGACAGGCACGAATAGCAGGCATTAGTGGTTCAAGCAGTTCTGCCTGACGAAGTTTACACAAGAAACGAAGTGTAGAACCTCGAATGAACTCATTGGGATGTTGCAAATCCTGCAATAAAAGTTAACTTTCAAGAACTGTAATACAGAACTGTATTTAATCAAAATGTCATACAGAATAAAAAAAAGATTAATTTTAAAACAACTTCATAGTCAATTTTCAACATAAGGATTTATCATTCAAACAGATGAAAAACAATGAAACAGTGTCAACAAAAAAATCTGTATCCAGTGCCTATTTGACTTTATCACTTAAAAGAGCAATTATCTCACAAATAATCGGTCTACAAGTACACCGACTGAAGCTGTGTCTCGTAGACATTATCGATGCTAAGATATTAATGGCATAGTACACATCACCAATGCTAAGATATTAATAGTTTTAAACATCTTCCACTCCAAACAAGCAGCCATTGCACTATATTTTAGAAGGACTGAAATTGTCCAATTGGCCTCATCTATCCAATATATTATACATTAGATCAGTTGGTGGGCATGGGATTAAAACTCAAGATTTTAATATAACCAACATATTTAAGTCCAACGCTGCCACCACTGAGTTGTTACACCCCTCAACTTGACTTGAAATTTGATCAATCAAGCTTTAATTTGGCTTACAATTTATAACCGTATGTATCAATTATTGAGTAAAATTTTGGGAACCCTCCATATTAAATGCTTATTCAGCATAATTTTAATATAATTCATGAACAAACAAGCAGCCCACCTTTCTATAAGCATCACAAACTAAAATCATCTCAGGCCTCAATTTTCCATCGTTGTCCGTCTTGGGCCATATTTCCCAAAATATCAACAATAATTTCTTGATAGTATGATCTTCAGAAGGCAGCAAGTATTTGATGATTGTCATCAATAATCCTTGTAATAAAGAATGCAATAATTTAAATTAATTGCATTGAATCGGATCACAAAAATGTAACTTCAATCCATGCTATTCAAAAGACATATTCATTATACTGTATAAAAATACTGTTGGATTCAAATCAGACTGTAAATGAACATCCCAGATCAAATTATCACAAAATAATTTATTCTATAATACAGTCAAATAATTTTACATTTCGATGTGGCTTATCTCCTTACTTATATAACTTGAATTTCTTTGGTGACTGTACATTTGAACCCATGTGTATATCCGCTGGTTCAATATATATGTGAGGGCTAAAACCCATGGGTTAGTGTTAGTATGGGTTCAAATATCCGTGTAAAAATAAAAAATCCTTAGATATGATAGTAAGCAGGTGCAATTGCCGTGGGTTCAAATGTACGGTAACCAATTTCTTTATCTTCCGAAGAAAGACATATGATACATATTACGCTATGCTATATACACAAGGTATTCATAAAGTCCTGTTACAATTTTAATTTCGTAATGAAGTCAATTCTCAATCTATCCTAACCAGGCTTGTTTTATTTTAATCGGTTTCCATTTTTTACCTCATATAAACCCGTAGAGGCAAACGAACTATAATATATATATTATATGGTATCGATAAAATCTATTCACAATTTAAAAAATTGTATGACTTCAGTTTCTGCTCAGCACTAAAGATTAATACTATGGATCCAATTATTTTGAAATATTTGTTCAATATTATTAAATTTTTATATTTTGGTATGCACTATTATATTACTCATGAATAACCCAAAATATGTTGAAAAAGAATGTGACATATTATAATCATAAACTATTCTATTTGAATACCAAAAAAAATCATACCATGAAGTTTTTCTCCATTCAATGTCATTAATATGACGCGCTTCAAAGCGTCTGTTTTAGTACGAATATCGCCATGTTCGATATCTGCTTTTAATTGTGATTCATTAGATGGCTCCGAATCAGTAACAGACGGTACATTGATTAGAGTGTGACAAATGCTTTCTGCTGATGTCATTCTGTAAGTCAAGCACTAGCACATCTAAATATCTATCAAATAAAACAAAAAATATTTGAACAAAATAATACATTGCATTTTAGAAACATGATAAAAAAAATTAAAAAACAGGAGTAATAGGGGGTATACTATTTTAAAGCTTGCGTTGGAAAGAAAGTTATGTTATATAGCAGATCGTAGCTTGTAAAGTGAGACATTTACAGCTTCACAAGAAATTGCGCAATTGTTGCTCTCTCATTCACCAAGAGCAGTTTTGTTAAGTTGATATGGCAAGACTAACATATCTTTACCAAATTAGGTTCATAGATAATTTACTAACACTCCTAAAGTTCTCAATGGTCGCTTGAGGCTTTGCTTTTGAGTCGGGTAAAATAGTATACTGCACAACACAGAAAAAATTAAATAAAAACAATAATTTTTCCAAAATTCATCCATATTCATCATCTGAGATATGAAATAGAATGCATGGAATGGCAATGGTATAATCCTATCAGAAAAATTTGCATTCTAAATAACATATTATGACAGGCAGTTTTCCATTCAAATAGAAACATACTATGAATGTCCCTTAAAAAAAACAAACTACTATTACATATAAAGACTATTGTTGGTTTGAAAAATGAAACAGATAACAACGGATTTTTCATATATCCACACAGCAATACAAAAAAAAGTTGCAAAATGAGTGAAAAATGACAAAAGATTACTGAAAAACTAAATATCTGAAGAATTTTTTTTCAGGCTCAAATAAAAAAATAATACAGTGCAACTCAGTCAAGTGAATGACATTTTGAGCACTGAAAATTGAGAAAACCAAATCAGGGCCAGTTTAAATTGGTATATTATTAGCTCAGCGGAACAACAGAAAACATATTAGTATGCAGTCAAATACAGGAGAATAACTTCAGAATGATATATTCTGACTAGTTACACTTAATAATTTTGACAAATTGGGTCATACTGGATTATTGCTTCTAAGAGGATCAATAGAAATAGCACAGTGTTAAATAAGAGTATACATATATCTGGATATAGTTACGATAATACAAAAACAGTCTAAAATTATCATTCAAGTTGTGGTTTAAAATAAGTTTCAGCATTTATAGAAATTTCCCGCAATCGGGGTCCATAGAGATCAATGACATAATTTGAACCATCGGCAGGAAGAACAACTTGCAATGCAATCAATAAAAAATCAAAAAATGCACCTAAGCCAAATATGCCACAGGTGCAAAACTTCAATAATCCCAGTGCTGGATAACCTAAATAAAATCTATCTATCCCTAACCAACCAAGAAAAATTGAAAGTCCAAGTGCTGTTGTATAAGAATATCCATTAGTATATGTACAGTTTATTGGTTTTTCAAAACCAATTTGGCTTCCATTAAACGATTTCCCATCACATGTTATACCATTAACAGGATAGCAGTCAATCTTCGACTTGCCAGCTGGTGTGCAGTTGGCAACAGCCTGAGTTTGCTCATCTATTTGAGGTTCAGCACAGCGGTATTGTCCTGGTAAAAGATCGGAACATGCATCTTGGGCATACGATGTACAGTAAAATACCGTCAGTAACGTCAAATAGACTGCTATTTTTGCGTCTTTCAGGCACATATCACAATACTAGCGGCGGAAAACACCAGCTACGACCAAAAAAATGCTGTTATCGGCGACGTGTCTCGGGAGAATTTTTTGCTTGACTGCGTCGGATATATTAAACAAACACTCAATTACGACATCGAGTGAAAGAGACAAAGAAGTGGACAATCATAAATTTATATTTAGAAGGATTTGATCAAAAAAAAAAAAAATTGATAGACTGTTTCAAAAAACGTGGAAAACGTAGATTATTGATTTTGAACTCCTGTAACTTTTTATTGGAATACTTCCTTGAATACTGCGTGCAAATTATTATGTGTTGCAATATTTTTGAATAATTTTGTTTTTTAAATGTCATTAGTGTACTTGCCTTTTTTATTGAAACCACCGATTTGTGGAAATATGGATGTTCATATTCTTATAACAATTCGGCCAGAAAAATACAATTTGCTTCGGTGCCGGTAATATGAATTCGATTCGTAAGTAAGCAATGGGGATGGGATACCGGGAAATCCGATCCCCAATTTCTATGATTTAGACATGATTTTTTTATCGGTTAAACAACAAACACGATAATATCAGTTTCATATACCAGACTTTTCAGCAAGCTTGAATGCACGTGCTTCAAACCAACGCAGCGTATTTTTTTGTATTTGGGTGTCGCTGCTCGATAACCAGCTTTGGTTCCTCTCGGCTTCTCTTCCCCAGAGGAAATGTGTGATTTTCTTTCTTCTTCTTATTTTGTGTAAAACTGATTTTTTTCTGGTTGAAAAAAAATAAAGTTTACTTGTAAGTAATTATTCTTGTTTGGGGTGTCGCGATTAAAATCTGTTACATCTTGAGTTAGATTTGGATCCCACTCCATCTTCGTCAGTTTCGCTTGCGTAGAGAAAACGTATAAATGTGAAACGTCTAAGAGACTTTTTTCGTATTGCCAAGATTTATTATTGTACAAAAAGTATTTTAAAAACAGATTTCTTCTTTCTTCTTCTTTCACTCAAAAAGTGCTATGTCTTCCTCTATGGCTGCATATGTAAAACAAAATAGTAATAAAAAACATTATTTTAATGTTTGCAATTAAGTGCTCTATAACAGACAAACATACAATCGAAAGCAAAACATAAAATCCTTCAAGTATTTTGACATGAATATTCATATGACAGGTGCAATGTGCAATAAAACATATATATAGCAAACTCGCCTTCCTGGTGTTGTATTTCTCTCTTTTTGCGTTTCCAGCCATCCAACGTTACGACGTGAGTTCGCCTTAAATATATGAGAAAAAGAAGTCCGAATAAAATAATATCTTTATTGAATACAGACCATTTTATAAACAAGGTTAAAGAATTATTTTAGTAGCCTATTTTAGTTTTCACTTCTACCGTGTTTCCCCGAAAATAAGACCTACCCTGAAAATAAGACCTAGTCAACAACACGATTTTTATTGACCTAGTCGATTGCAAGAAATCTCTCCTACACGTTTTAAATGATTAATAATCTATGTTTTGCAGTTATTTTGAATAAAAACGTAATATTTATAAGTGAATGGATATCGGCCCTCATATTTTGTATGTTTGAAAATCTCGTAATTGTCTACTTTGTAATTTTGTTTTTGATGAATGAAATAAATAAGACATTCCCGAAAATAAGCTCTAGTGTTATTTTTCGGAAGAAAATTAAAATAAGACCCAGTCTTATTTTCGGAGAAACATGGTATACATAACTGCAAAAAGTACAAGTCTCGCATGGCCAAACATCTTCTAGAAAAAAGAATTCAATTTTGATTATTAACAGGAAAAAACTCGAAGTGATATAACACAAGAATATTACAAAATGTTTTGTTGCTACTTTAGAAGGTTTATCCAACAGCATTTCAGATTTTATTTAACGAAATGTGATACGACATATACTCAGGGTTATAATAAATCTACGGAAATGAAGAAGTAGATATTGTTACAATATTATGCACATTCACCCACCTTCCATTCATCCGAGTAAATGCTCCGCGTATAAATGGAGGCCGCCTTGAAAAAGACATCGTGCCGTCTTCGTCATTTACTCCTTCCTCTACTTCGAACTTTGGCAAATTTATCAACAAAAAAGCGTAAGCACAGCTAAGGGCAATTAAGGTGCAAAATATCGTAGAGAGTACAAAACGCATTCTTATTACTTATTATAGCTATACACTGTCTAAAATACCTAGTGTCTTTAACAACTGAAAAACAAGAACGCGGGAATATGCTTCAATTTTTATATATATTCATGTTTTGCTTGGTTATTCCTTATGCCAAAACGGGGCTTTTCTTTCAATCAAAACAAGGCTATGATTAAATGTCACTGCTAGAAGCTACTATCGTTTGAAGGGACCGGGATCTTTCTAGGACACACGTTGACTACCCAATTTATCACATCCCAGGTAAGGATATGGTCATGTTATTTGAACCTGAGACTTTTACCCTGTAATGGTAACTTTAACCATCAAGCCATTGTAACCAAAGTTTTTTAGAAATATCAAAATGTAATATATATCGATTCTAATGATTGAACACAGCGTAACGTTTAAGAGACTGTAACATAGACCGTAAGAATGAAATACGCTAATTGGTTTTTGGAAATGTTGCCTGATCACGACTGTCCCGATTACCTTCACATTGCGGGAGATACCAAACGCAAACAATCTTATTCACCAGTAAAAGATAGATGAGCGGTGCCTGGCAACTTGTCCACTAGTGTAATGGTCACTTCTTAACAGCCAAATTGCCCATTAGTTCAATAGCCAATCGCAGAAGTTGTCACACCAAACTTTTGAGAGACAAATATTACCTTTCGCCGATCCTATTTATGGCATTTATGACAATGATCATTTCAACGAAAACATATGGTAAAACTAAACATTATCATAATGTTACCAAACACATTATAATGAATAGGTATTTACGTCTCACAAGATGCAATAATATATATCTAGATGAGTATATGTCATATTTATATCATTACATAATATGATACAAATTCACAGATCTTACGAATTAATAAAGAATACATACGCAAATCGATTTAAGAGATAATGAAAAGTGTTCTTGCATTGCATAAGATTGAATGTATTTATTACAGTGAGAAGGTTATAATATTTGACATACATAAAATTGGCACATTCCTCTATTTTAAACTGAATGTTTATTCGAAAGTAGTATATAATTTGTCTACTTGCGAATTTCACCAATGACAATTTTATACAAGTTACAAACACAAACTCATTCGATCTTGACATTTACCGCCCAAACAGCGACATAATTAAAGTCGAACCATATAAACTTCATTTAGCTATATCATATCGCATATTATATTGATCGTATCGCTCTTCTTGCCATGGCTCCCTGCTTAAGCACACTTAGGTTCTTTAATAAAATTCAGGTCTTCAACGCCAAGATGGTACCCCGTACCAGGCGCATACTGACTGCTGACTACACCAGTCAACTTCTTTTGGTGTAATCCACCTCAATGTGTATCTGATTCGATTTGAATCTGGGATCCTGAAAATAGAAAAAGAAATACATTTAAGGTTTACAATTATTTAGTGTTGACATGTTGGTGCATTTTACTCAGAAATATAAAAGGTTTTAAGTAACTGAAAAACGTAAGGTTTGAGAAAGTCTGACGTGGGTGCATTATGTTACATTCATATGCTCACAGTGACACGTGATCCCTTGTAGCAGTCTTTATTCTTCTTGCAGAATTTCCTATAAGGATGGATCTTCGCCAGACGAGAAGTCGTGATTCGATATTCTGCAATTCCGCCCAGGAAATCCAGTTCCATCCTATATTCTCTTTTCAATCTCTCCAAGCATCCAACTCATACATTCTGCCACCACCATCTAAAAATATTACAAAACATATTACATTATTAATCTTCCCCGTTTAATTCGTAGATGTAACAGACAGCCAACAATTATTCTAACTTAGTCTTACTTCAATATCTTCTTCCTCAACTTCATCCACAATTGTTGGATCAATCTGCAAAAGTAGAATTTTGTTGTAGAAAACTGGGTGTTCTTCATTCTCGTTTTCCACTTAGTTTTATCGATCATGAACAACTGATTTACCCAACCAAGCTCAAATAAAAAAAAATTTGGAACTGAACAAATGATAACATATATTTTTTATGGGTACATATATATAGAACATTCGGTTAATAGGCCGGGGTTTTAATAAAATACAGCAATTTAATTCTCGGCATACCGTGTCTGCATTGACTATTTCTTCAACTATTTCTTCAACTAGGTCGCATCGTGGTGCGATATCTTCCTCTTGAACAAGATTCGCTCCCTAGTATAAATCAGAAAGAATATATATAGAATGAAAAAAAAAATGACTTGTGTATGATTCAAGTAATTAAATTTTATGGAGAAATTCAGAATCTTTCTATAACTTTGAATTCTTGGTAAACTTCCTTGGGTAAATTAATAAATAGAATTTCCTTTGTTGAATGAATCCTTTAAAATGAGCTTCAAACTATATGTATATATATAACAAAGTAGAATTTGTATTCACCATCAAATCCGATTCTGTATCTCCGATTTCCCCAATGTTTTTCTCGACTTTCTTGAGCAACCAATCCATCAGTTGTTCAACTTCGGTCTGCAACAAGACAATATAACGATAATAGAAAGTTACATATATACCAATTCACCAAAATGATAATGAACTATTATATAAAATCTTGACCCACATTTACATTACCCGTCTCCTTTCTTTCAATAGAGACCGCATCGACCTGTAGATGAATGTCCAGATTATATATTTCATTTGAAAACAATTTTCCTATCATTTTTTCATCAATATTTATGATTTTATGAAACGAATGAATGCGCAATAGCAATATGAAGCATATAATAAATTATCAAAAATGATCCGTTGTATGCTGAGTGATACAGATGAATAGAAGATTCTGTATGCGCTTCTGTTTTGGACTGGCTGCTAACAATATTCTTTACTTAAGATACATACTTTTGAACAATGTTCTAGTAATTTGTATGTTGAGTACACAATAAAAAAAAACATTGCGCTAATATAATATATAGAACAATAGTAAACGAGACATCAACCTCATGGATTTTGTTTATTTCAACTTCAGAGTCTCCACTTCCAAATGAAGATGATGAAGGAGAAATAGGCCGGAAGAAAGTAGTTGAATTCTGTTCATATAAAAGGTTTGGTATCAGAAATAACTTTTAAAAGGCATGCATCATTATGTGACGTAAATAATTCCAACAACGATGGATATGTGAAACCTACTAGCAACTAGCATAGTGGAACAGTCTGCCATTCGTACAAAATTGCACAACAATGCAACATTGTAAACATGGATGAATAGTGGAAGAGAATTATAGCAGTTCGAATAATTATAAAAACCCATATTTTTTTCGAAATAATATCAATGCTCAATTATGTTGGTTTCACTCAAACTTGGGCAACAGGAGAAAACAACAAACCCTGAGCTCTGTGAACCCCTCCCATACACTTGGAGTACAGGAACCCGGAGGTGTTTGTCCTGGAAGCCGGATAAATGGATTCGGCTGAAACAAAATAAAAATATTATAGAAACGTAGGTGAATTACCTTTTCATCATCCAGCATTTGGAAAAATACACTATAACTGTAATATCCAAATGGGACAGCGATAAAGACCCAAAATCTTTTCTGGCTCAACTAGAGGTTTTGAAATAAAACTTGTTTATAATATAGAATGCATGAAAATGTATTTTTAAAAACAAAATTTCAAGACATTGTCTAAAAATTCTTAGGCTACTTAGTATTATTTCAACATTCAAAATATATTTAAGACGGAACATACCCCGTCCCATCCGGCAAAAAAGCTCATCTTTGGTTTATTCTGAAAAAAGAAAGTAAATTTTAGATTTATCTGTATAGGATTTACTATATATATATAATATATAAATCAGTCATTACGTCGCCTGGTCGTGGCAATGTCTCCATGAAATCTGGAGACTCGCATTGCTCTGTATCCTGTAAAATTATTAGTAAAATGTTAAATATTGCAACATCTTGCAAATAGTATTCACTGAAAAGCAAATCATTCATGGATCTCATCTTACCATAGAACGAATAATAGCGTATTCTATATCCATCTGAAAATAAAGAAATATAATTATTTAGTCCCCAAATTAGAACATAATTTTAATTCCTAATTAAAATACTTACTCTTTCTATATAATCGAGACTTAGCCTCTGTTCCACTATTTTAGCGAACGGTCGAGGAGTTGGTTCTGGGCTTGAGTCCTGAATTATAATATATTATTAAGACAAACGAAAAAATTTGGGAAGTAATATGAAAGCGTAAAATTTTACATCATCCGAATAGCTTGTGGGGATTCTATACCACAAGGATGATAGTTCAGAATCTTCCTTTCCTTCAAATGGATCTTTTGATGTCGAAGGTTTCGAATCTAAAAACTAAAATGAAATTCATAATAATAGCACTTGTGATGAATTAAAATATGTTTTGGGTAAATGATACATAATGCATATTTTTTTATGTAGATCAATTGCTCGTGTATATGATATTTAAAAGCCAACGAATAAACGTAATTTTTATGATATAAAGAGAGTTTGTCGTGTTACCTTTACTATCGGCACGGGTGCAGCCTCACTGGAACTTCCAGATAAGTCACTTGTTGTACAAACTGGGAGCTTGGAAATGAAAGATAATAAATGTGTATAAATAGAACTGAATTTTAAAACGTTGGAATTGAACACGACTGTATTATTCTGTATTTGGGCTATAATGTACACATGATTTTTTTTATAAACTTGGGAGCGGAAAATTAATATATGCTACATTAGTCAAGAAAAATAATTCAATTTGTAACGGAAACAAACTATAATATATATTCACCTTTTTTAGTGTGATTATACTGGCACTGTTTACTACCACGTTGATCGGTGAGCAAGCACATGCCTGAGAATAGACGGAAATGGTTACATTTAATCACGTCCTAATTAACCATACAGAACAGATATATTACTAATATTGCTAATGTAAGCAGAAGCAGGGGTCGGGTCTTACTCTTCAGTGTCGTGGTACTGGCGAGGTTTTAGCGTTTAGTGGCTGGTATATATCAGGATTTGGTTGTCGATATATTTATATATCTATTACTGGAAGCACTGCAACAGAATTCCATATCTCTGAAACACGCATACAAGGGTACATATCAGAGATCTCTGATATGAATACCACGGATAAAGTATACTCATTTAGACACCAACGATAATGAGCTGATAAAAAAACGTGAGAACAAGTTAAAATAATTTTTATCAAATAAGAATTACTTTTTCTTCCGAAACATCATTTGAGCTTTCAGATCGCTGTGCCGATGTGCAGACGCACAGCTGAAATGTTAGAAAGAGAATGGTTATCTTTTACTTTTCCGTTGTGAACTTTATTAGATTGACTTTTTTACGGACTTTAATCGTTCTAAGATTTTATGTGCAGTCAGGGACAATTGCAGGAATTGTGGAATTGGGTATAGATATCCGTGGATAAGTATTGATAGGGGCTAAAAGTGTAAGAGATTGGAGCATCCGTTCCTGAGACCATAGCAGAAATAAATTATTTAAATAAATATATATTGAAATATTTTATAAATAAGAATTAACTCGAACTAACTTTTTTACAATGCCGTCTGATCCATTTGGCTATCCTCCTCCATACGGAATCCGGTATCTGTGTTTCTGAAGGAACCTGTATAGATCCCGATCTCAATAATTAAAATACACCTATACATTCTTGGGATATTGAAAATTACGGTTTATATCATGATCTTTAGATAAAAAAAAACGAAACCGCAATCCTGCGTTGCCTTGTAAGCAGTAAATTAATTCATCGCCTCGGAGATCACAACTATTAGTCTATCACAATTTTCGATACAGCTGCGTTTTTCACTGAGCCGAAAATGTAAATTTGAATTCGAAAATCTTCTTTCAAACCCGATTTATTCAGGCGAGGCATCCGAATTAATCATATGCGGCGACGAAGCCCCATCAAGGACCGAAAAGTTGGCGCTCCGAAAGTATTCGTATCAAGATGACGCACAACCTGAAAAACCATAACCTGGTACACATACAATGCTCAGGTTGTGCGCCATCTTGATTTGAATACTTCCGGAGCGCCAACTACTAAGATGGCGCACAACCTGAACAACCCTAACCTGGTAGACATATAATGTTCAGGTTGTGCGCCATCTTGGTACGAATACTTCGGAAGCACCGAAAAGTTTGCGCTAATAGACTTGATTAGATGCAGACTATTTAATTAAATCAAAACCCCGAGTTCCCTAGCTAATGATGGAATAGGTTGTTCATCTGGGTCCATACGTTCGAACTCGGATGGACCAACACAATTTGGCAATTCCTGAATCATCATTCACGAACGTGAAAAATCCAGACAATATCGGGTAGCGTACATTTCTTACAATAATTAAAAAAGAAAGCATTGGAGATTAGACTATATATTTTAAGATCTGATTCGATTTTCTATTCTCATTCCAACCTTTCGAATCCAAGTGCTGAATTATTTCAACAAATAATCATAGCATTACCTCATAGCACTTTGCTTTGTTCTTTTGTGCAAAAATATTGCAACGATTTTTCAATATTTTGATAAGATTTCTGGTCGATTTTTTCCAACCATGTTCGCGGCGGAACAATCTAATCCTTCTTCCTTTGCCCATTTTCTATGAATGAGGAGAAAACGAGCCAAATGAAAGTGCTGTTTTTATGAAATATATAGAAAAAAGTGCCACTTACCATGGGTTTCGAAATCAGAATAAAATAGTATTTCACTCAATACTAATTTTGTCTAATTCTTCATTGTTGAACAACAATTAATTCAGTATTATTATGACGTCACAATAATATCACTAGTGGCTGCCGTTAAGATCCAGTCTCCCCGAGCGGCGACAGGAACAGGGCTGCCACTTTGGATGTTTTAGAGTTAGATCTAACGTTAGATGTTTTGTTCAAGATCTAGATGTAAAATTTGAAGTTTAGATGTTAGCTATAAAATCTAGATAAATTTTTTCAATGTTCTATATGTTGTCCAGTGGGTGATGTGTGTAATTGTAATGGTTTGGTAACGTTATTTGTTTTATAAAAGATTCGAGAGTACCAATATTTCTTGTTAATCTGCGTTTCAGTTTACTTTGGTTTTAAATGATTTTTACAACAAATAGTTTTTAGAATTAACGTTAGATGTAAGGTTGATAAAACTTAAATCATACACCTGATATTAAATCCAAGGGATTTTTACCACGAAACTGGAAAGAGCAATTTTACGGTATATAAAGTATATGCCAAATTTTTTTTAGATTCAGTATCTCACCTAAACAACTGAAACAGAGACTACCTACAAATTTGACTGTTTTAAAGAGCATGTCTTCGTTTTTTTTGCCAGCAACATACGAGATGCGACATACATTCTGTCAGCTGTCATAAAACATAGCTATCCTAAAAAACATTATCGGCAGGGCATAAAGTCAGCTACAAATTCTCAACCTTGGAAAGTCAGAGGGTGTAACAATAACACAGCAACAGCAATGTAAGCCAGCAATGTTACTGCATTATTTAAATGCTGTTGATGAAAAAAATTGAGTGCAATAAACTGTGAAAAAAAACAAACTAAGAAACAGCAGGAAGACAGGTTCACTGAACGCAATACTAATTATCATTAAATTTCACCCATTTCCAAATAAACAATGTTGCACGTCATATACGGAACAAAAGTGGCAGCGCTGGACAGAAAGATCTTTTTTACTAACGTGCGCGGAACCTGTCAAAGTTGTGTAAAATATTTGTGTGTACCCACAACCAGTGATGGGATTCAGCCGGTTCGCACCGGTTCTATAGAACCGTCTCACGGAATTACATGAGATCAGCGAACTGGTTAGCATTACTGGTCACTGTCATTGACTTTTTGTAACAGAACCGGGTGAAAAATATGACTTTTGTGATGGAACCGGCTGACAAAAAAATTTAATTCCACCACTGCCCACAACACATGTATTAATTACGCATATATCTGGGGTCCAGGTATATAAAGGCCTTGTATTTTATTTGAACAGTTTGAAATAACAATGTAATTCCAAGCAAAGTTATCCTGATCTGATAACTTGATTAAGGTTTTTGTTGGGTACAAATTCCCATTGGAGACACTCCGATGAAAATAAAATAACGAAATGTATTCAGTTACGGAACATTCAAAATACGTCTCAAGCAGAGTGATTATGTCGTTTACAATCAAATCTAGTGCTCTGAGTCCAATGTGCGATGACATACTCAGATTTGAATACAATTAACCAGTTGTGATACAATGAATGGTAGAGCTAAACTTTTTTTCGGCGACCCCAATTTTCGTAAAATCGAAGACTGCATATATATACTCGCGACCCCACAACGAGAAAAGTACAGTAATTTTAAAAATCGGTATTTTTTATGAGAACAATGTGCCTGTATGTAGATGTATACTGCAAGTTTGGGTGACGTTGTCGTAGACCTGCGTAAATGTTTAGTTCAGTGCATGGTTCCTAATAGCCTTTTTAACCCGGCGGTCCAGCAACATTAGTTAAAATGAGCTCGCGTACCGGTCACAAAATATCGAAATGAATGAAACAGAAAAGGCTTAGTATAATACTCCAATGTTTTAGCACAGAGCCACAAACTCGAACAAAGAAAATTACAAATCACTAAAAATCAGTTCAGAAAACAAACGACCAATTGGGGTCAAACAAATATCATTGGTCCACAATTTGAAAGCGTCAGACGATGCTCCGAAAAAACGCAGAACCCTCAGGAGATTTGATAACACATGACATTGTATGAAGACCACAACTTAGAATTCTCGGGATTCGGAATATTAACGAAACGGCGAGTTCTTTGGCGAAACATAGACAGACCTAATAAACCGTGATATCTTGCAAGGTAACGTACAATACTTTGGGAAATAGTAAGATTGCTTTTAACTACGAATCAATTCAAAATTTTACTCTGTTTATTCCAACAGCGTTTTTTGTATTACAGATTGCTCTATAATTAATTTAAAAGTCAAATTGAACATGAGAGTAAAATAGGTGGAAACGTGTACGGAGTCGGAGTGTATCTTTTATCTTGTTTTGTTGTGGTTTGTTTTTGACTGCGTGAAGCGTATGAAATACAACACGTTTTCTACTTTTGCTTTTTGTATTAGAAACATTATTTAGACATATAAATATAATAATATTACAATACTAAAATTGTTCACTTTTATACGGAAGCGATGTTAAGGTTGCCAACTATGAAAAGTTTCAATAAAGGACATAGATTATCGTCATCATTTATTTTGCAAATTGCAGGAAAGAACAATATAAAACAATGAAATAAAATTACATACAAACTAAAAATATATACTAAAACAAGATTCATGTGTTTTTCATTTAATGTTTATTTAACATTGACCCAAACAAGGTTAATAAAATTGTTATTTCTTTTGGCTATTTGAGCCACAGTTTGGGAACCAGATCATACGTTAGACAGAATTTTCCGAATTTAGTGTAGTGAAGAATTTACAGATTTAATTCTATAAAACTCGAGTCTAATTCGGGATTAATATATATATATATGTTATACTGTGTTTTAATGACCAACATTCAAAGCAGAGGTCGGCAACCTATACGGCCCGCGGAGTAATATAATCCGGACTCATATAATATAGAATTATGATAATAAAACAGTTGTTTTGACGATTTTATTCTTTAGGTAACAGAATTTATTGTGATACGCGTGTAGACTAAATTATAGTATACTCTAAGAAAGATAAAATTAACAATGACTCGTTTAATGAGCCTATAATTTAATTATATTTTGATAAATGGCAACAAAACACATTAAGGTTGATGCTAAGTGCAAAGGGTTCAATGGCGCCGAAAATATTCAAATGGAATTTTTTGAGATGCAATGCAATGAGGAAATAAATCTATATTTTATTCGAGAGATGTATCACTGCTTGATTTTTATTATAAAAAGTATCATCCGTTCGGTTTTAAACTTTCTAAAAATATGTGCGGCCCGCCAATGACTTGCAACCCTTAAATTTGACCAGCGAGCAACAAAAGGTTGCCGACCCCTGATTTACAGTATGAGAGCTTACTAATCCCATTATTTCCACTATATCCAATTTCGATTTAAAAGATAATATCTTGGATGGATATGACGTGAAGCGAAACCATTAGATTACCTTTTGTGCAAACGTGCAATGATAGAATGTAATATGAAGTAATGTTTTGAAAACAAAGGATAAAATGCAAATGAGAATTTATATTGAGGTCATTCCACTATGCTTCATGTGTATTTGACACGTTCAAATTGTGGATCGAACTTTCTTGTGGTAACACTTTGTTTTTGATGAAGTTGAAATTATCTTGGATATTTGAGAATCAGAACTAGTGCTTTCGGTACTTTTTAGAATCGGAAACTAATTGAACATAGACCGCAAATAGGGCCCAAGATGTATTAGCATTCTTATTTGAGATAATATTTAGTGATTGTGTACCTGCACGTCTTTATACCGAGCCATCGTTGCAGTAAAAATATGTGGACGTAACGAAAGTTGCAATAATGTATCGCCAAAAGGTTTATCATTTCGCTATCATGTGCATTTCTATACTTGAATGTTATTGTTGTATTCATGATAGCTCGGTTATGTCTGCTGTTACCAGTTGAGGACGTTGTGACTATGGTTTTGAGCAGGCCTGCACAACATACGGCCCGCTACTTAGTTCTGTGCGGCCCGCGGGTCATTTGGAAACACGCCACTTCTCGGGTCTAACAATCAAAGCCGGCATTGTTATGCAAGCGCGTCGCTACTCCGATCATATTCGAAATCGTGAGATTTATGTTTTGCACTAGTTTCAATAAATATCGAACTTTGTGTGAAATTGGTGTGCCCTTCGCGACCCCTAAAATTCGTCGCTCGACCCCTCGATCTATTGCTACTAAACGGATTGTTTGTCTAGCTAGCCTACAATGGAAATATCCAACAATGGTAAATATGACTCAATAAATTGGCATACATATATTTGGGACGATTTAACAAAACTGAAACTGAGTAAAATATTTTCCTGCAGTCAGTTTATACTGCAACACGCTATACCTAATTCTAATATAAAAAAAAAATAATGAAAATGAAGGGTGGGTTTTCAAGGTAGATGAACCCCTAAATACATATTTGCCATCTCATATGCAAAAACACTGTACCTTGTTTTTGCTCAAGAAAATAAGTAAGCTCCCCAGTAATGGAAGTGTTTCATTAAATTTAACTGATCCACAATATTATTTTGATTTGTAGTTCATCTTGTGAAATATGTATGTGGCAAAGTGTGCGGCCCGCCGGGCCTTCAGATTTTTGCTTGCGGCCCTCGTGGTAATTTGAGTTGTGCAGGCCTGTTTTTGAGTATGCCCATCTCAGTACACAGTAAATAGTCTCCTGTATTTTTCAAAACTAAGTTTTAGTAATAGCCATAAAACGAGTGAATACTTTGGTGGCATATTTCATCACTATGTCAAATGCAAACGAATGTAATACATCAGAAGAATATGCTTTACACTACCGATCTTCAACCATGATTTCCATTGGCAGGTTTGTCGATACTGTGCTCTGTTTATAATTGAAATGTTGGCGAAACGAAACTCTCGATACCTAATAAGCGTTAATGATTCAGCTAAATCGTATTTTCCCGCTTGCTTGTGTCATTTAATTCGCTCTTCCATCACTGTTGGTTAGAAAACATTATATATACATTGTATTCAGCTGAAAGTAGTTCTAATTTGATCTAAGAAATTTGTATTTGTTGTTTTCTAAATGCATTTTGTTTATTTGAGATCATAAGTTTACAAATTAAGATTTGAGCGAATAGCTATAAGTTATTTCAAACCAACTGTAAATTACACGCTAAAATTAAGAATAATGGTAACAAATAATAATAAATGAAAAAAAAATAGGTTACAATTTTGTTATGTTCTGCTCAGAAAAAGGTTTTTCAATCACATGGTACGCATAATGCTTATCATGAATAACATAATTGGTTTGTTATATGATATTATTATCCAAATGTTTTTTTCAAATTTAGTTTTAAAAGTGCAGTGATACTATGTGACGCTAAGATTCACGTTGGAGGTCAGGAAATACAAGCACATAGACTTGTTCTTGCATCAAGATCAAAATATTTCCAAGGTTTATTTTTACCTAAGGTAAAACAAGAAAAATTATTTGAATAAGATTACAGCTAAAACGAAATGTACGGAAATGGATACGCTATAAGCTCTTTAAAAGTATTTCTTCACTACATTTGTCTAAATTTAGGAGAGTGCACTTTTAAAAGAAGGAAGTATATTGCAAAATCTTTATATGTTTTTGATTGTATTTTACAAATTAGTCTTATTCAAAATACTCCAGATTTCTGCGGTATAAATGCGTATGAAACAATACCAATGGCAATCTCATTTTCCTCATGTATAGAATACCAATATTTCATTAGCATTTGGATTAAATTTCGGAATTTTACTATTTAATTGTGTGCAATCATTATTTTAATATAAAATTTTATTCAAATACTTTAGAATAACAATCCTTCTGCGACAAAAGTTGAACTGAAAGATTTGGACCCGAAAGCAGTGAAACAATGCATTGAATTTATATATAGTGGAGATATTTCAGTTTCTATGTCTTCTGTGGAGCCAGTTTTAAAAGCTGCTTGTTTTCTAGAACTGGATGGTTTGTAAAGTTTTATTTACTTCCTTGCTTGTTTAGTTTAATAGTTAAATATTGTGAATTCCTGAATATTCAAAATTAACCACAAAGAAACTTTACTGTTATTCTTCGTTCATTGTGTTTTGAGTGTGAATATTTCTCAATAAAATTTGGTTTCAGAGCTTAGTAAATGGATATTTTCGTTCTTACAAAGTCGCATTGATGGTAAAACTTGTCTCAGTACCAAAACATTGGCGAATACATACAAGAATCAAAAGCTGGAAGACGTTGCCGATGACTATGCTGTGACTCATTTCAAAGATATTGCATTAACGGAAGATTTCAAGAAAATTGATAAAGCTTATTTGACGTCACTTATATCAGCACACCAAGTCCAGGTAATTTATCAAATATAATTCATTCGAAATTGTCAAGGAAAAATGCGCGATAGGAAGGCGAAAAACAATATTGTGGAATTCGTGTATATCACAGCATGGTAGAAGAATTCGAGCATGTAAAATGTAGATTACCGTTGGCTTGATTTTAATTTACCAACAACTGTTATTTATATAATTTTCAGCAAACATTATCTCCAGCTGTGATTTATGAAGCAATAGTATATTGGGTAAAAGCAGATATCAAGAATCGTGAAGCAAGTTTTCCACAGTTACTTGCATTTATCAAACTACACAAGTTATCGTCTGAATATTTGAAAGAGACCGTTCAAAAAGAAGTAAGAAGTTTTCCATTGATTGGGATGTTTTTGTAATATCCAGCTGATGGAGCACTATTAATTTTAATAATATTGAAACAAACAGTGGCACGAATGAGATGACAAAGGTTCATTTGTGCACTGCATTATCCCGAAAATATGTTAACGAAATTACCAATATGAATAATGATTGCTGATCAAAGTCTTCTTAGACGCAATTAACGTATAATTTACAAATTTTAAAATATTGCGACTCGTTTGTAGGCGTTGGTTAAAGAATCGAAAGTCTGCTTGGAAATGCTGGTTAATGTCTTATTCGGACAAATATCTCATACCCCATCGCCACCTTTGTCATCAACGTTGAAGTCAAACTCGGGAAGTCAGCCATCAAAAGCAAGTAAACCGAGACATGAGACACCACAAGCAAATTCTCCATCAAATGGTAATAATTCTTTAAAGAGTGATATTTTTCGTTTAAAGTCTCTGTGCATTGGGTAGTGTCTTGGCATTTTGAACGAAATACAAAAGTGAAATTTCGTGACAATGGGAATATATAAACACTTGTCATCGCGTTGTCATTTGATTTTGGTTTATATAATTTAGTTCTCATAAGTCGTGATATGTTGCCTTGGTTGATTTGAGCTGAATAGGTCATTATTTTCTTTTAATTTTAGCTCTGATTATTTTTGATGAAAGCGTTGGAGCAATCAAGGCATACAAACCATCAACCAATCAATGGATGCAGATGCAGGTACCAGGAATGTTTATTTCAAACGTCGTTTTCGGAAAGAAAAATTTGTAATCTGCGTAACACTACATTTTGTATTACTGATACATGTAATACTGATGTACCTGACAAAAGCTTACAATACTTGATTTGACATATTACCTAATTATAATATTACAGAAATTGATGTACTTTCTACTATAGTTTTATCATTAATTTCAAGTCTCTACCCAAAGAATTGGACACCTTTTCTGCAGTGGTGTTGGACAAATACATCTACGTACTTGCAAGATCTAATCAATCATTGTATAAAATTGAATACGCAACAAAATCAGCAAGTTGGACTCAGGTTACAGGTAGAATCGTGAACGATGCCTGTTTGCTAAAACTTGTGGTAGAGACAGGTAGGTGTACAGCACTTCAAATGATATGTGAATCGGTGAAATTTTTGCCCAAATGTACGTTTTCATTCCTTACTAATGAAAAAAAAGCTTGAATTGCATATAAATCTGAAGTCCTACTAGTATCTCATATGTTACAATTTTTGCATATGTCACTCCTAACCCTCACGACATCTGACTACAGCATCCAAAAATTACGTCACAGTGACGTAATTTTTGGATGATCTAGCCATATGGAGGTTTGGAATGACATACACAAAAATATTTATGCCACGCACATTGGGAATACTTGTGGTATTATACTAAACCCAAAATGCAGGTGCAGATTATCTCTTTGCCAACTCACCTCATATAAAGTGAAATGAAAAAACAACAACTAAAGTCTATTATCTTAATACTTCCCTATTTCTGTTGAGGTCACATATTTATCATCGGTGATGTCAGTGCCACACGACGAAACTCCAACCAGTCAGGAGTGGTTAAATATGGACCTTCAGATAATTCATGGGAATATCTTTCAAGCTTGAAAACACCGAGACGAGGTCATTCAGTTGCAGCTGTAAACGGTAAGTTGAGATATAGCATATGACGATAGTTCGTTTTGCTTTTAAAATCTTGAATACGTTTGATATTTAATTGTTTCAGTGCTAAGATGTTAATAAATTGCATCTTATTTGTTTAGGAAGTCTTTATTGCATAGGCGGAAGTAACGGGCGTCAAGATTTGAACTCCGTAGAAAAGCTTGATCCTACAGTTGGAAAGTGGGCAACTGTGGCTTCTCTGCATCATGTCAGATACGAATCTTCATCGGTTGTTCACAACAGAAAAATATACGTGATGGGAGGTAAATAATGTATATAAGAGAGTCAGGAACTTATCGAACCACAGTACCGGTAGCCTATGCGAATAACTCCCATTAAGAAGTCCATTATCTGACCATTTAAAAGCTTCATAACATGATTGTAAATCGAGTTCCATAACCACCATTATTCACATATAGGTATTAGGTACCGGTAACACTGCAGCTGAGTAACCAGCGCCTACGTTGTCACAAAGATGTCAGCCTAGCCTGACGTCACTGTACTACCACGTGGTGACGCAATATTCGTAGAAATAGCAAAATTTCGGGTAACGTTTTATAGGACTCGGAGATAATATGGAAAAAAAAAATTTTCTTTCTAGCAGTTTCAACTTGCTTTGAGTACTGATAGATATTTGGCGTATTAGTTTCGGAGAATAGCAATTCTTTCCCAACAAATGTCACCACAACAAAAATTTAGCAAAACGATGTACATTTCGTGTCCATTAAATGTCTTTTTCGACGGATTTTGTTTGAAATGATTCATTGCAGGTGGGGTTTGTTGTTTATTTCTAGGTGGAAAATTCATGGATATGTTAGGTGGTGGGAAGAACTTAAGAACTGATGCAGAATATTATGATCCCTTTTCAAATCAATGGACAATGGTTACAAATATTAAATTTCCACGTAATATACGTTGCGCGTGTGTGGTAGATGGATGCATTGTTGTTCTTGCTTCAGAAGACAGGTATGATATAATAATTAGGTTATAGGTTTTAAGAATTTTATATTAACAGCTACATGAATATATGCGTTACGAAATTAAGTGAGACCCAAAATACTTGGGAACTTATTTACCCACAAACTTGTTTATAAGTAGTCAACCTATATATATTTAGAAATATCTTATATAAGAAAGCCAGATTTTCATTCAATTTCAAGCAACGGCCATTTCATTGCTCGCAAACAGCTTTACTCTTGGTTGGTGTATTCACTTTACCAAATTTCCAAAACCTTACAGTGTTTATACTTTAACAGCACTACCGGTAAAGGGACAGTGCATAATGTATCAATGGTGGATTTGAATCAAGCCCGAGTATCCGTGATTTCAAAAAGTCTGAAGATAAAGCCAACTTGTCTTGCTATATATGCTAGATGAAGGTTTTGATACCAAGAAGAGATGAAGGCAATTTATTTGGGAATCTGAAGCTATTATTATACCAACAAATTCGCTTAATCTATAATGTGAAGGATTGTCATTGATTGTCAAGAAATGAGTTTAACTACCGGTAAAAATTTGATGTTGAGAAGTAAATTTATTGCAGGCGGCCGGGTTCAACTTTGACCAATTCAGTGATTGGGTTCCCTGAATATTATTACCACGTAGGCCAGACCATCACCACATGTCATAAAGCACCGAAATGTATTATTTGACGTTGAATATAAATACACTTTGTATATACATTTATTTATATTTTACAATCTTTTCATTGCGCTCCTTTTACACGGTAAATCCTTATCGAGTTGATAAGATATCTTACTCCCTCTGAAATTAGTGCATAACGTTTGGCTATGTATTTACTATTTACGAAACAAGGAAAATAAATGTGATACTCATAACATTCTTCACTTCTGCAATTAAGGTTTAAGAAAATTAACATATCATTTCATATTTGAATATTTACACACACTCAAGTATATGCCAATAATGAAGAGTGAAATTGGACAGTATTATTATGTATATATCATAATTATTGAAGAACGGCACAATTCAATATTAACAGTATATTCGAGTTCATAAATTTGTCTATTCATGAACTGCAATGAAATACTATATAAACTGACATAAATGAGAAAAATGTAAAATGCCGACGTTATTCATGGGATAAGTCTACTTCATGAAGTTATCATAAATGGTAGTTTGGTAACTCTACGGCATGGCATTTAGAATGAGTTAGGCTGGAATCGGTAATACTCTACTGATCCGTTTCAAATCATAGAAGAAAATTGAAAGCTTCTACTGGTAACGTGATAACTTCTGCAATTCAGGTGAATGCGAGCAAGCAAGTACAAAGAACCTGTAGTATTGAACTTGAAAACAAACAAATAGCTTGTAATAAAAGGGAGTTAAACATCTCTAGTTCATTACCGCTTAGATATTACAGTTATAGTTTAAATGTCGAAAATGCAACGAATTTTGTAGGAGATTGCCTATATCGCAGCCCCAATACCGCGATACAATCTCGTTCAGCGTAGGTTATGAATTGTGTTGTTTTGTTCTCAAAAGAAAATTCCGATATTTCCAACTAACTCGATTGCTTTTGCCTTCATTGGCCATATATATGTAGTTTCGCTTACACGATTTTTAATCCCTATTTGAAAAAATCATCTTGTTTAAAAACTTCTAGACCTCTAAATAGGAAACTCGAGATATTTTTATTCTTTCTTAGTGATGTTATAGAATTTTTTCATCTAATTCTAAGATAATGATACGTATGATTTGGCGTGAAAGAAAAACAGAAAAATACTGCTATGACAACAATGAATCGTTTATCCTGATAGCACACTTAAATTTGATTTAGTCTTAAGATACCGTAACGTACGATGTCCATCATTTCATTTCTTTGGGGGGCGTAACTGATCTTGGCGCTCCTAAAATTAAATTATAAAAATTAGATTCCATTGAAGTCCATTGAAATTCGAATTCATTCGGAAATAGATTCCGCACGGATGTGTGTAGTGATGAAGGAAGTATTAATTTTGAAGATTAAACTGCTCCTACGATATTGTAGCTTCATGTTGCTCTATAATCCGTTAAGCATTTAGAGGAAATTTAGTTTCAAATTCTAATATCGGAGATCAGTTTTTGGCAGAAAATAATTAAGACAAAAGCTCCCATAGCTAGCATAAATTTTAATAATTTTTTTTATTTAATTTACTCAAGTAATCATACTGTAGAAAATTTTTGCAGTTGAATTGAGTTGATAATAATTTAGTTCTGAATTTTGTATTTCGAGGAGAAGATATGCCTTATCTTGTTGCTATCCTATTTGGGGCACTTTTCGTTCATGTAAGCTATTTTCTTTTTGTTTTGTTTCTTTTTGTTTGCTTTCAATTTCAATAATTATTTTTTATGTCTTGTCTTTTATGTACAGGTTCTTCAAGCAGAAGTAAGTGAATGTTATTTTTATAAGAAACTATAGTTAAGTAGCATGTGTTTAAGTGGTTCCATTACATTTGAACCCATGTACATTTGAACCCGTAATTTGAACCCACGACAATTGCACCTGCATACTATTGCACCTATGGACATTGATCGTGTAGGCTTACCGAAATAAAATAATATATTTCCTTTGTTATTGATACGCACATCAATGTGACTTCTTGAATATAGACTTGTCCAGAGCTAAAGGTTAAAAAGCGTAAGGTCATTGACCGAATAACGAGATTTTTTTTGACCACCGTCGATCATTTTGATCAAACATAATCACGGTAAATATATTTTGATTGATAAAGGTTTTAATATATTTGTTTAAAATTTATTTCAGGACGTTATGGACATGAAACGAGCTATTCCGGTAAATCTGCTTTTCAAAAATTAGATTTAGGTTTTCAAATTAGTTTTGTTTATGATATTTGATTTAAATCTGTTTCAGAGCAACAACTGGTACACACCTCCATTGTATTTCCCAATAAAGGTAATTTTATTTTCTGCGTCCATTTGAACATTTTATTTTTTGCAGTTGAGTTATTTGATTTACGTTCTTCGCACTTGCGACTTATGTTCTTTTATTTCATTTTCTTCAGAATCTTCCACTAGATTTACAATATTACGACGTGAAGGTAAAATAAACATTTTCAATGTTAATTTTTCATGGTAACCATCTGAAAGAGTGTAAGATTTACGTAAGTATGAAATGTATGAGGGCATATGCTTTCCAACAAAATGAGCCGTGTTCCATATGGAATCACACCCGGCGTAGGAGTTAAATAATTATGAGATTATCAAAGAATCATAAAAATGGTATGTGGTAAATGTGTTTATAGTAAAATTTAGTAAATATACAGGAGTGATAACAATTGATCCAAGATTCGAATTTATCCGGTGTTTTTTGTTATTGTAGGAAAACGTGCATATTTGAATGTCGTCACAGTTATATATGATATGGTTTATTATAAGCTTTTTATGTACATTGGCTTGAAGAATAAGTGCATTTTTGAATATCTATTTTCAGTGCTCGATAATAGAAAGCTTCGTGAAGTACAAGATCCAAGATTGGCGTTACAACGATTTTTTGTCCGCAGAGGAAGAAGAAAAAGCTATCGAATCATTCAATAATTGTAAATTTACGATATGTAGCAACAACGCGTTTGTTGAAAAACTCAGCAACGACTATATGGCAATGACGGAACTGGCAACGGCGATGATGAGTGTATCGAAGAAGTTTTGGCCACGTGAGAACTTGATGATATATCAACCCATATTATGACCAATACATATATATATGTATATATTTACTACATTTAGGACTGTTCCTTTTTCATTTAATACTGTTTGCAAACTGCCATGAAAATGATAAAATTTTTGGCATGCATACAGCATACCTACCAATGATAAGTTAATTCATTTGATTTAAATGGCAATCTGACAGAAGAAACAGAAAAAAAGGTATGGTTAAAAATATTGGTAAAAAATTATCAACGATTTGGAAATTTAAAATACTTTAAAAAATATCAAAAATATTGTATTGCGTTTCAACTGCATGATTTATATTTTTTATTTTTTTTATTTTCACAGTTTATGACGTCTTCAAATTTGTTGTGGACCCGATCTTCTGGGATATTGTTTTAAGTATGTTAACGTGTTAGATACGAATTCAGTAAAAATTGTTCGAAAAGATTTTGCGATATGTTATTAAATTTTCAAGCAATATTGCACGTGTACAAATATTGTATGTGTACAAAAAAGATACGAAAAAAAAAATTAATTTGGTATTCTGACTCTTACTTCTGACAATGTGTCTTAGTTTATATTTTTTGTATTGAATTATTGGACACTATGAGTCGAATCATTTAGAATTTTAAATCATGTTGGCACCCCACGCATGAATCATCATTGTCACAAGACCTGGTAAAGCTTTTCACAGTTTCAGCTTTGTCCAGGATATTGTTGTATTGTGGGGAAAATATTTCGATTTAGTTGTCGTGTCCATATATTTGAGGATTGTTCTCTTGTTAATCATTTTTTGATTTGGTTGGTAAAAATCTTTTTCTAGACGTTCCTTATCCTGTTGTCGAACAAGAATACTATCTTGATCAAAACAATGCAGCTTATGAAATCATTACAAAAGTATGCGGATCCCAGAACTTAACATGTAAGTATATATTTATATTTCATGAACCAATTGCCAAAAATACATGTCAGGATACACACAAGAAAGCACAAAATTGTGTGTCAATACAGAAAACACTTTCTTTTATGATTAAAAATGATTTATTTACCAATTTTTTCGGTAGAAAAGATAGATTTGTGATCAATAGTTTTAATTTTTTTTCAGTGAAATCGAAATTGATTCCCGAAACTGTCAACAGACTATTTTTGGATATTTTAGTGGATGCCTATGTTCCAAGTTCATTCCACGGTTAGTACCATAGTTTATTTTAATTCTGATAAATTATTATTAATTTAGAAAAATGGATTTGTCTAAAAAGGGCTAAATATTTTGAAGATAATGAATTTCGAAGTTACATTTCCATTGAATTTTTGAACTGTCTTGAACTATTCATTTCAGACAGCGACAAGGACAGTATAGCTGCTGAAATAGACCCAGATAAATTGAAGGAACTTTGGAATCTTGGTGCTGAACGCAGAGACACAGGTGAGCGAATATTGTTTTTTCATTGTTATGCAAACTTTACCTTCAGAACTAATAAATAAGTAGTTTATGTAGGTCATAACTGGTGGTATCACCTAACTAGAAATATGTAGTGATATTGTGTGATCCAATGTGCAAGTAACAACAAAAACACTTAAAAAGCCCGATCCAAATAGACCAGTCAACCTTTGTTGCATTGACTTTATTACAGTAATAAACATCAGAGGATCAGTTTATTCCGGCAGTTACACACAATTTAATCTATTCATATATATCACCAACACCTCATATAATAGCTGAATAAATAAAACAAAAATGAAAAATAGAACTTACAAATAACAAAATATCAGAGCACTTAGAAAAGAGCGACTTGCGGGAGAACTCACAGATGCCAGATTATTGGTCGGAATAAACAGCCAAGTGTCCATAATAAACACGACATTTCTTACAGTTTAATCTAAACACGAGTTCAAAGTACATATAGAAATTGCTATATATATATATATCATTCAAAAAAACTTCTTCGTAACATGCTTTATATTTTTACACCAATAAAGTCCCTGATGCGGCGACTTAAGTATAAAGAATGTAAAGAGTGATATCACCGGCTCGATTCCTATAGCCTAGCCCTGCACTGATTTGAAGCTTGTGCCATTGTGTCATACTATTTCTTGGACATATTCTAAAGAAGATTTTATTAAACTAATTTGTCAAATGTATTTTCAACGCAGGGGGGATATGCTTTGATTCAGCTCTTACAGATATGACAGAGAGAACATCAATCAGCAGAGTGAGAGAAACTGCAAAAGAATTAGGTAAATTAAGATTTCTTTGTATTTCAAAATCAAACGAATATCATTTTCTTGTTCTGTCTACATAACTCAGTTAAAAGGAATCTAGTCGTAGTTTGTCAGAGTACACTCGCCGGTTGTTAAAAATTGGACACATTTTTCCAATGTGAATAAAATGAATTTTGGATTCACACATTTTTACAAACCTACGCAGGGATTGACTGTGGAGGGGAAGAAGATGAAGGATCGGATTTTGAATATGGGGATTTTGCAAGTGCTCCCGCATCTCCAGGATCTTCTAGCGGAGGCGCTGCACCGACTTCAAGAGGAAGTTCAGCACGTTGGGCCAGCGGACCTCCTAGTAGTCGCGGCGGCTCCTCTGGGTTTGCACCTGGAACCTAATTTGTTGTAATGTTTTTGACATAATATTTGTAAATGAGCTAAAATGTAATAAACACAGTTAGAGGATACTTGTGATAATTTAGTCGCAATGACAGTGAGATAGTAGCAAATGTCAAAATCAGATGCTACAGAATTCTGAGAAACCGGATGTGATGTTTAGCGTTTTTTCGGTAATATAAGAAGAATATTATGTTTGTGTTGCGTAAAATGATGTTTATGAAGGGAAGGAATTTTTTTATTCTGTCGTGGCGATAGAGATAGAATAAAATATCGATATTGGGTGGTTCTTTTTATATAATGTGGCATTTTATATACTTGTTGGTTACAAGTCTACATCAGCTGTAGGAGTAGCCAGGTAATAGAATATTCATTCTCATTTTTGGTTTTGCAAGAAACTTTGTGTAATTGAAAAAAATAAAAACCTAAAAAAAATTGGTGAAACGGACATCAACATTTCAACCTCAATTGACGAGAGGTCGCAAATTCCTATCAAGTCATTGTGTCAGTCACACTATCATTCATTGAGTCAAAAGCAGATTACGTAAACAACGTCAGAGACTTATCTTCAGTTGAATGGATACTACACATTTCGAAAACAAAAATATAACATCAATCGACAGATACAATGAGTAAAGAAATTTCTAAATTTGTCGAGTTTTACGTCATAATGTCGGCAAGGGCAATCACAGTAAAATAATGCTCAATAAAATAAAATAATGTCGTTGAAAAACGTCCGTAACTGATTGTGAATTCCGTGCAACCCCAGAAAATAGAATAAGATTATGACTTTACGTGAACCAACCAACCATCTAGGGTTAGGGATTTAGATTCGGGTTTTTATTTCAGACATTTACAACGAAGAAGGATAGCTAATAAAACAACTCAACCACATGTCGTGGCACGGGCTTACGGAATTTTGTCTCATTAATATTCTCCATCGAGTATTTTAAATTTTTACGTGCCTGTGATGTCTCGGTGTATTTAAAAGTGTTTGTAAACGTAATGTGTTATTGAGTCAATCAAGTGAATGCCTTCAACAACGCCCACAACGGTTGTGTTGTTATAGGAAGTTTGACTCATAAGAAACCTCCACAGTCACAGTGTTCTTATTAAGAATATTCTGATATTTCACTATCGCGTTGAGTAGGAGGTAGCACATATTTGAGCATACATAAAAACTTCGAATAAATAACCATTGCAGAACCCGTTTGATAGGTCGCGAGGAATCCATTTTCACGCAAAAATAGGACCAATGTAGAGTAAACGCCCAAGAGACGGGAGTCGTATTCAGATTAATCAGACCGTTTTATGTTATTGAGGTTGAGCAATAATCTGTCACAGTCCATGCTGGGCCAGACAAAGCGCGGTGGTAATATGATTATGATTTTACTTAATCTTCAGCTTACCCCACGAGGACAAAAAGAAACAGGACATTTTATTAAGGAGTGTGTTGCTTATGTATGCAATTTACGGCGCTTCAGAAGTGTGTGTACCGATATGGAGGTAACTAATTTTGTTCACCTACTTTTCATCAAGTTGTAAAAGAACGGAAGCCTATAGACAGGGGATATATTCACTTGGCTAACACAGTCAGTTCCCGAACTCGTAATAGAACTAAAATAAGGAAAATCGGAATATAATTATGGCCTAACCCTAACTTAGTTTACATACCAGAAAGTACCCAATCTTTTTTATATTTAAAATATTTGGGCTCTTGTATAAAAGATATACATATATATCTAAGTTATGCTTTAATCCATAGATTCTTAAACCAAAAATATTTAGATTTTTCTTTAAAAACTTAGCTGTGATTAGGAAAATCAGATCAATTTTTTATGCTCGAGTAGCTAATATTCACTGAAATCGTATCCGCAGATATTACAGACAAGATGTCTAGCATCCAAGTGACAGAAAGTGAAACTGAATTAGGTAAGAGAATTTGTTTATTCTCACATGTTTGGGCACGGGAAAGAATCCATACGGATAAATTTAATCGATGAACAGAACTTGAACCTCAGAGACATAAACTGTATACAAGTAGCCAACATTCCATTGATGCTTAGGTCATTGTGAATAATGAGGGAATATTTTTTCTTGGTTATTTTAATACAGTGATTTATTTGTTTTTGTAATATTTGTACTATATTCTCATTGAAATACGCGTTCATAGGTAATGATCGCATAAAAGAAGAAGCAAGAGATGGAAAATATATTAATTCTGAAAGAGGAGGATCTTCAATAGGAGGTGCTCCTACGTCTTCAAGATCTTCCAGTAAAAGCGGTGCACCGTATCCGGTTTCAAGAAAAAGTCCATCTCATGAGCCCCCGCCAAGTCGTGGGAGATCCTCCGGTCCCGCCCCGGGAACCTAAATATTTTTATTATCAATTTTCATGGAATCGGTTAATTTAAAACGCAATAAAAATATGTTCCTTGCTTTCGAATTTTAATAAATATTAGAGAGCTGATTTATTAGTTTCATACTTACTCATGACCTATATCCAACCATCTACCTAGAGCCAAAAATAAGCACGGGTGTCAAAAGGTTATTTTGGGGGAGTACTAGACAACGGCAAAAACGCAAAAAAAGGAATCACACACTAGTCTTTTCGAACTCCAATTTTTACCTCAAGTCACAGCCACACATAACCTCTAAAATGTTCGAAGCTACAAAGAAAGGTACACACACTAAACATCCAGCATTCGTCATCTTGAACGGGAACAGCAACCCAAAATGTGGATACAACATATTATTTATTGCGTAACATAAACACATAAGTTTAAATATTACCTTTACTGCGCCAAAACATAGATAAAATTTATCAATCATATTTATCGTTACCAACAATTTGCTTCAGCAGTCTTTGGTCATTGGAAATCATTATCGAAATAGAATCAGCGAGCATAGCCCTTACTCCCTCGACTTTGACATTAGAAAATTCCTTTTATATTCGTAACGAACTCGTGCTTACGCTTACTCATTGTCTTAATTATAGTTAGTAGCAACTATTGTAACTGTGTCACAGTTTGCCTGGAAACACCACAAACCCTACCGTTAACAGAATCAAAATAAACTTATACTTATAACAGTTCGCGCTGAGAGGGAGCGAGACCGAGACATGGGGATACGGCGGAATGTAGTTCATTGGTACGTCAAAATAATAAGGCAGCTATGTGTGAATACGCGTTGCATATTATTAAAAAAAACATCGTCCCTCGTTTCCAAAGTAGCTTTGTACGCAAAACATGAACGAAGCATCTATCTAAGACAAAATAAGTACGCAACTCAAACCAACCACCATTTTAATTAAAGGGACAAATACGAGAACGGCTCAACAAATGCTGCATCAAGTAAATTCTGGTGATGTTATTGGTGATGTGATGGGACGTTCCACGGGATCACCGATTCTTCATTTGTTATCCAGAAAAAATTATTTGTTCATCTTAATGAGAGAGACTTGATGTATTCCGAGAATTAAATCGTTGCTGAAACCAATTATCCTTCATTTTATTTTCTGAAAAAAAGTTGTATGAAACCGAGTATACAAGGCAAGGTTGATTCCATTTAGACTCATGTAGGGAATTGGTTTTCAAATCATCATAATTTCTACATTTACCAATTAAACAAAGGAGGTTAAAATATTGAGGTTAGTCCTGATAGAGTTTGTTCACAATCTTTAAATATTTCTTGTTGTGTTTTTAACTCAACTGTGCTTCTGGCCATAGATGTCGAAAAGGGCTCTTTGACACTTTGGGATAGAAATATGGGACTTGTGAAACATGTTGTCTCGATCTGCAACAATGTTGCAATCACAAGCATAAGCTTTTTAAACATGATAGATAATGGTGTAACTGTAAATAATAATCAACATGTGGCAGATAATGTACAATTCTTGTGTGATTATTTTTGAAGAAATTGTACATTATAAATATGATATGTAACCGAGATGTCAGTTAACGACTGAAATAAATCGTAACCGTTAACCATCTAAAATCGATTGACCGGTTAACCATTCCCAGCCCTAACCAGTGGTCAGTGAATGATTGTACAGAACCGCAACTGGAAAGAGGTGAAAAATATGCTACCTTACAATAGGCCCCGGTATTCCACAAAATAGCTCTCAAAGTAGAAGAGTTTCAACGTTCATCCTATATGGGTATATCCCTATTAAGTGGATTAACAGGGCTAAATAAAATTTGTTGAACCAAATAATATATATATATACTATATAATGAATGAAAATTAAAATTGAATATTTCTTGCCTTCCAACATTTTGGAAAAATATGTGTTCTTTAAATGAAAAAAAGGGTCAAATAATACAAGAAATAAATAGATGTCGCATTATTTGAACAAACGAGACCATTTTGCTGCATATATTCAACATTTTCGAAATGCAAGGCTAAATAGGAATTCATAAACCCATTTCCCACTTGACCTTTTTTAACAAAAATATTAATTCATTTTTTATATCAAAAAGGTAGGGATAAATGCAACAGAAATTTCATTGGATTGCTCATTTAGTGGTAAACACGAATATGCATTAGTCAACCTAGTGAATTTAAATATTAATTTCAAGATTCATGGTTACATTTTTAATAATAAAAAAAAATATAGGGACCTCCTGAGGTATGCGCACCAAGATGGCGCACAACCTGAACTCAGGTGGTATACCAGGTCAGGGTTCAGGTTGTGCGACATCTTGATGCGCATACTTCAGGAGTACCAAATAAAGTTATATTAAAATGCATTTTTTCACCTGTTATTTACATCCCAATGCTTTATAGTCGATCTATTCCTCACAACTTTAAATACTTTATGAAAAGATATGACAGACTCAATGATTAATCCTTGTTTCTATATTCAATTATTCGGTTTTAGAATTCAAAACATGATAAACCTTACAATTGCTATAGAGTTCAATTCATGCTAAGTCGCTTGGAAAATTGTTGTCAGAACAGTGATATAAATATATTTATTGACGAGACTGAGTACCAGACTAAGTATATATTTAATCGTGTTGAACCATGTCGGAAGGGATCTGGGTGGAGCGCGGTAGCTTTGCACGCGAAGGTTTAGTAAACCGGCGCCGAACAAAGTGATATAAGATGCGCTAAAATTATTTTCAAATTTTTAGGTACATATGAATAAACGTCAGCAACTGAAATATATTTTCTGAATATTTAGCAGTGAGAAATTTTGCTTAGATTCGGACCTCAGACATATCTTAACGTTAGAGTATTTTTAACAGGTTCGATTGAATGTGTTGATTTTATTATTAAACTAAAATTCACTTCGAAGCGGGTTCATATTTTAGTGATTGCATTACAAAAATTGATTATTGGTTTCCGCAATTGTATTTTTTTTTTTCAATCTTTTTTATTATGTATTATCGATGAAAAGCAGTTCTAATTTCTTCCCTACTTTTGTAAAGTGATAGCTGTTTGCGAATGATTTGATTGAAATTTCATGAATAAAAATCATTTAATTCAGTTGCGACGCCCAATAAAATTAATTTCCACCCAGAGGAGTAAACATCTTACTTATCTTTGAAAAATAATAAAAGATACTTTGGGTACTTGACAAAACATGACATGACAAAAAAGCTTTATTAATTTGCGTCTCTTAAGATAATATCAGGTAAACGCCCAGAATACCGGAATTATATTTACCTTAATATTATTCAGAATAATCGGAGCAAATCATATCACTTGAGTTGAAAGCAAATAGGGTGGATGGTTTGTACTTTTTTTTTAATCTGACCAGACACATTAGGAATAATATTACATTGTAATAAAATAAATACGACAACAATACTTGATTTTTCTAATTGTGAAAAGGTTTTTGATATTTGGTAATACTCAAGCATGAGGCAGGCATTTTAATCTAGCCGGATTGAGTTGAGAATGTGTACGTTTTACCAAAGTAATTAGCGAAACTTAAAATGAGGTTGAGCTAGGCACTGTAGGCAGACAATTTATTTTGGAAAGCTTGCGACTTACCCAATTTTCTGCCGGGTTGTTATTAGTAAATTCAGCTATGATACCTGTTACAGGCAGAAGTACAAAATATAAATGGATGTACGGGCTTGAGTATATGCTAGTATGAAAATGGTTCACTAATTTTGCATTTTTGTGAAGTAATTATTCTAAAATTTACATAATTTTAAAGTTTGTTCTTGAAACTTTGCTACTAATTAATTACTGTTTCATTTTATGATATGTACGTATTTGTTTACAGAATTTTCATAGTTTCAAAAAATTTGCAGAAAAAATTCACGATGATCTTGATACTGTACTTGACTTTGCTCCTTGGTGCAAACTCAATGGTAAATAATGGAATTATATATTTCGATTAAAAATACAAAAATTGTTTTGTAATTTTTGTATTTGCAAAATTTTAAACGCAGCACAAATGTAAGAAACTAAACGGATTTGTTTTTAATTTTTACAGGCACAAGAAAAAACTGAGGTAAAATTTTTCATGATATTTTAGTAGAGTCCGCAGAGTTCTGTTTCAATGTAAAAAGATTCTTTGTAGTCGGCCCATTCAGACCTCATTCAGCATTATTGTTAGACAAATATATAATATTTTTTTTTGCTAAACAAGATTTTAATATCTGTCCTATTTCTATTCAAGGAAGAAGAACCCATTGGCATTAGATTATCGGTGAGTGATATTTATTCGGCAACCACATTTTTATAAATTAAATTGCTGAACGTAGGAAAAAATTCTAGTCTGAATTAAAAGACATTGCTGCTTTGTGCCTTCATGAACGCACTTCAAGAATTCAGTTCTAAGTTTAATACATTGAATGAATCCATAACCATCATCTACCCTTCGCAATTCGGCTAAACACAATTGCCGACAGTCGGTTAGGATCCAAACTGTCTTTAGTGAAAAATACCGGTAACTCAGCTTCTCTTCAAATAATTTACCAAAATATTGAATTCACAAAACATCTGTTGCTAATTTAAGTCGTTTTTATTGTTAATTGAAATAATTTACTTGTTTCTTATTGAAATAATTCATCATTACATTTTTAATTTTAGGCTACTGAATGGTATCCGAATTCTTATTCATTAGAGGTAAGTAAGATGTTTCTTCGTATTCGGCGTTTAGCTTGTTTAATTGGTATTCATAACTTTCTATTTATTACAAATATTTGTACACCCGCGAAAATCAATGTTTTATGTCCTATTTCAGGTCGCTGAACAGCTTAAGCAGTTTGAAGACATCCGGGTAAGCGTATAGTTAACAACTGGGGCCATCACCCAACTAAGTTTTACAGTTACACGCAACTTAATCTATTCACATGACCACCTCTCTGAATATTAGCTAAATAAATAAAAACAAACATGAAAAATGAACTTATAAATAACAAGATTCTAGAGCTTAAGGCAGGGGCGCGCTCACTAAAAACACAGAAAGAAGAGAGCAACCTGTGGGATAACTCACGGATGCCATATTATTGGTCAGAATATACAGCCAAGTTGGCTCAATAAAATATATTCGGGACTCGCATAGGAATAATAAATTGAATTATTTATTGGTATCAAATTTCGGATAAGAAATCAGTTAATTCAACCAATTATGAATCCACTGCGGCTATAAATTGAATGGTATCGCAAGAATGGCACGACTACGAAAAATAAATATTGAGAAAGACTTACTTGAACACAACGTAGTGTCCACAATTAAAATGATGAAACATTTCATCCAGTAAGTTATATATAATTTATACTTCGCAAATATCGTATTTTGTCTCCATATCCTCATGTATATATCACTCATATCGACAATATTTAACGAGCTGGTGAGTTCGCATTAAATGTACTTTATTATTAGATGGAACTATACATTAAAAAATCCCATTCTTTATAGTGCAAACTCGTAACATCAGCTGTTAAGTCAGCCCTGTTTATGAAGAGACTCGGTAAAACCCTGACCGAAGATGAAATGCAAAAAGCCTTGCGCAATTTTGAATCCTGCAAGGCATCGTTGTGTCAAAATACCGCCATGTTGGATCAATTTATGAAACCTGAAACATTTCAAGAGCAAATAGATATTTTAATCGTACAAGTCAAAATGCCAACAATATCGAAGGAAGGTGAGTCAGAGAGTAAAATGATGTATATATATATATATATATGTCAACCGTATCTTCGTAAACTGAACTTTGTGTAAAATAACTACCGTACCTTTCAGTTATATTTCTAGTTACCATAGTGTTCGAGAGGTCGATCAAACTTTTAAGGGTGCTCCCGAAGTATGTGTACCAAGATGGCGCACAACCTGAACATAGTATGTGTACCAGGTTAGGGTTCAGGTTGTGTGCCATCTTGGTGCACATACTTTGGGAGATCTCTTTGGTGCTAGGTATTTGAGCTTCGCATTCGATTTCGTCTGACCCAAATTTCATTTAATTTCAATAGATAGAAGACATCTTTTGAGAGGACTTGTCAATGCAAAGTATTGGAGCGATGTTAACGGTAGGTTTGCAGTTTCTTAATCACTGTTTTTGCAGTTTCTTAATCACTGAAAATTACTAAAAAACAAAATAGGTGTGTTCTTTAAATGTATTTCATTTTAGGCTCACTCCCAGACACGTACGTCAGAGTACACCTACATTCGAATAAATATCAATAAGGCTTGATTGAATGTTGTATAAAACTAACTAATATTTTTTTCTTTTCCCAGTGTAATTAATGCGCTATCGATTTATGTATTTTTATTACTCAGGACCATTTCCTGGATATGAAGTTGAATCTAAAGTACATCAGCAGGACATGGTTCGCGGTATCATTGAAACTACTTGTGGAACGCAATCAGATGATTGTAAGAACATTTTTCTATTTGATTACGCAATAGTTGATACATTCGAACTGGTTTTACATATTATCTTGAAATTATTTGTACAAGAGAGTTTTATTCGCGCTTTAAAAAAAAACGGGTTCAGATTGTCTTATTCCTTAGCTGTTTCATGATTACGGCCTCATATTGCGGATTATTTTCTTTAAAGCAAATTATGAACCATTAACTAATATATTAACAAATGTACATACATTCTACAGTGGCCAACTACATTCGACAAAATGACATCACCACAGTATTTTTATTTTCGTTGGTGGATCGTTACACTTCTGGTACAGTCACTGGTAAGTTTAGACGACGATTCAGTGGTACATTCTGTCATCCCTTGATAATGAGTGATCACCAACTGCTGGCAATCACCCCGTTATCTTCCCACCTCGTTATTCCCAGAATACATTCTATTGTATATGCATTGTCGTGTCCCAAATATCGTTAATTTAACTCGATGTTTGGGTTTGGGTATGGTACCAAGCGCCAGGAACACACATGTCATCTCATTGCTAATTACGCTTTATGGAATCGCAGGGCATTATTACGTAGTTTTATGTAAAAGGCATTCCTGACTTCTTTGCCGCCTCGGGTGCTTTACATAACTGCTGAACGGTTGCGGCTTTCTTCCCATCCAATTCGATGTGTTCGGAACAATAAACTGCTCAATTGTTCTTATTCCCGTGCCAAAATTTGCAATATTTTGAACAAAACGTGAATTGATTTTAACTGTGTCTCCCGACAGTAGAATATTTATACTTCCGTGAGATTGTGACAACAGTCGCGCTAATCGAAACTAGAGATCAGATATACTATTATGAATTTGTTGGACACGTAGTGGACATAACGATCGTTTCAAAATGTTGTTGTTATTGTTATTATTTGTCTCCGTCAACACGTTTTGAAGAAATCGCTTTTCTCTTCGAATACTGGACCAATTGCTTTGAAATTTTCAGTGGTTAAAGATAAAACTTTTCTCCAGAAGGCTATTACTTTTTTTTTCGCTGTGACTTCATCAAAATTATGTGACCTTACGTGTCCATATATTTGAGCATAGCTCTCTTGTTATCCCATATGATTCAAAAGTCTTGCTGCACACCAACACAAATATATTTCTGTAACGTGTCGTCTGACCAAGGTCAAACTTTTTCAGCCAAACACGATTCAACTACAACAAGAATACCGCTTACGAATTTCAGACAAAACGTCACAGAAATATATTTGTGGTACCTTGCAGCGAGACTTTTGGATCACTTAGAATAGTTATTTTCACTTTTGCTACAGAATCCTTGCATTATATATATGCATACGGATTCACCGGTAAATTTGGCTAACAAATTTGCTGTAAAGTTTATTCAAAAACAACAATAATCTCTTGCAATTTACACATGTTTCGCGAGGTGAATTGTAATGCGACATATGAATTCGTTTACTGCCAGTTTATCATTTTGAATAAACTTTTACATCAAACATCGATTGAAAAAAATTGTGGCTTTGAATTATCTATTACTGAGCTGTTTCCAATTACATTGTCTTGAACGTCTTTAAATTCTGCCAGCCGTATATTGTTGAATGAATGATAGAAACGCAGTGAGTGGTATATATTAGAACTATAGAGTGAATGAATATTTTACATAAAACAACAGAAATACCGTAAATTTATATTCTAACACATTCTCGTTTTGCAGAGCAAGACGCTAAGGACCTAATCTACGGTGGAACTGACTTTGACAAAAACGACATTTGGGGGAAAATTGCTGATCGAATATTTTCTGGTATGAAAGTACTTAGTTATAATCCTATATTTGAATTTGAGCGTTTTTATGCTCTTTTTGAGGATATAGAATGATTTTGCAGAATTGAACATTTGAGCTCTGAAGGCCAGGGATACCATTCTTTGTGTTGATAATGGCAGAAATTGTTTTTAAACGCCAAAATATTAGGAACTTTTTCAACTTTGGTGGATTACTAATGCGGAAATAACAATCCATCATTGTGGTATGCAATGAGGTATTGTGGCGTTCATGTACGATATTCTTTTCGGGCAGTGTAAGTATATATATTATGATATTCTTTTACAGTGGATTCAAACTTTGCATCCACCTGCCTTGACCCGGCACTTGGATTCTATGATGTTGAAAGACCATCGGTGACAAGAATTAGAAAATTTGCCGAAGATATGAGTAAGTCAATTTCATTCAAAGTATTCCATAATTTTTTTTTTGAACGTGGCATTGTATAAGCATCCGCATAAACATTGGGAGGCTACTAAATTGAAAAATTCCGGTTCGGCAGAGTTTTTGTCTGGTATTGTATATATACTCTGTATGTAGCAATAGACTTTGTACAGAAACAGACTGTGGAGCATAGATATAAAACCAGCCATGCAAACATAACAAACAACTGTATTCAGTATGCCGTGTTTTCAACCATAAATTTTGTGACTGCGTTTCAAACTAAACAACACGAACAAGATTTTTCACAGCATAGGTTAAGTCACAATTTCCACAACGGATGGTTTAGTAATTCAATAAACGGTGAAAACATGTTAGATGAAAAATAAGATTAACAAACGTGAATTTTTATTTCAGATATCTACTGTGAGAAACCAGAACCACCTGTTATATCAAAGTCAGAAGCGTTTGAAGAAGAAGAAATAATCATGAGTGCCGGGCCGCCATCATCAAACAACCGCCCGTCGGGTAGCGCCCCAGGTTCACCAGGATCATCTGGTTCGTCCACTGGAGGGGCACCAGGATCTCCCGGTTCTAGCGGTAGCAGTTGGAGACCCTAAAATCATTTTTTTTTTGTGTATTACCGGTTTTTGATCCATCTAGTTTTAGACTTTCAAATTATTTTTCCTCGTGTAGTTTAGATTAGCTATAGTGATAATCAAATGTGTTTAATTTAAAATCAATTACATTTTGGCACCAACTAAAGCAAAGTTGGATGAGAAATTTGAGTTTTTTTCAATCAGACGCTCTGTAACTTTTTTAAAACAAAAATTCTTATAAAAAGCCACTGAGCCTATCTATATTGTTTACGATTGCCAATGTATTTATCACTATATTCTGATAATTTGCATTCAAATTGCATTGCATGGTACGTTGCTGAACAACATATGGAGCCTGTAGCCACGGAATTTTCTACCTATTAGACGCAAGAGCAGAGTAAAATTTGTATAGCTCCATTGTGCTAAATTACAGATGAAAACTTGACATCCAACGTTCTTATTCCTAAACTTTCATATTGACTTCAGCAATTTTCAATTTATCTGCAGCACGTTTGAGCAAAACACATTATATTGCTACGGCCGAAACCCTGACCAACAGAGTTTGATTGTGGGGTAAAAAGAAAATGATATTGCACACTTAACTGAATAAATTCGACTGGTTGTAGAACTGTACATTTAGTGTTTTTTTTTTCACAAAAGCTGCGCAGATTCCAGATAATTTCAAAGAAATTAAGCGTTCAGGGAAGTTCAAATTGGAATATATATCCAGCAAGCGGGCACACGCAAATTCGGCGCATAATTTAAGAACCTAGGAGTCAAAACCGATATATTGTAATTGTATATATTTAGCCTCACAGATATTTACACCCGTTAAAATTACATGGCTGCTAATGCTAACGTTGTGCGTAACAAGGCATGCTAGGACAATTTTGTCATTATTTACTGTTAGCCTCCAACTGACCGTTTACCTAGTATGATGATAGTTTTGGGTAATAATAGTATTTTTCTAACAGTTTTTAATTTTTTTTGTAAATTTAACTGCAATTCTTCACCGAAACATAGCTGCGAGCGATTTCTAATTTTCTGAAATGTTTTATGCCTGCACGATTGTGCAACGCGCTTCTAGAACATGCCTGCAGGTAAATTGAACCCCAAACCCTTGTGTCAGGAGGCCTACTTCTGGTCGTCAAACTGACTTAATTCAAAGAGAGAGATCATTATTATTCAAAGTGTATTACTTGCTAGAAAATAGGTAAAGTATAAAAATAACGCAAGAAGTAAACTACAGCATATCAGTTGTATAAAACAGTAAATGAAACTGCTGGTATTAGCAACAATAATACGTAGGGATCCACCAGAGTAATGACTTAGACGAGGAGTAGTTGACACACAGAAATATATTTCTTTACATGCGGGCATATGAGTTTACTTCGAATCAATAATTTGCAAATACTATGCCAATGCCAACTAGAGAGAAATATTTCTAGAAATCCACTACGCCAATGATAATGTGTATCTGTATAATATGCAAGTGATTTTCTGACACTGGCTGGTGGAATGGAAGTGCGGGAGTCATACCCGGTGGTCTGTCGGATACAAAATCTCCAGTGTCAGCTGATTCGAGTTGTTGACTGTTAAAATTCGGTCTTATTTTCACGTTGATCTCAGTTGTCAGCATTTGATAAAATAAAAACAATTGGCTTGATAATCGATAGTGACGACATAGCATGTCACGTGTTTGCGTAACAATCAATTAAAAACTGCGTCATAAGTTTGTATAAGTGCCTGTGTGTCCACTTTGGCTGGCTGTTCAACGAATGTGTTTCATCTGTGTATACCTGTGCATAAATTTTGTTAACCTAAGAAATGGCTATATAGTAAAAGAGATAACACAAACAACATAGGCAGTGATTTCATTAGCCTCTTTTGGGGGTGAAAACTCTCCCTAAAATATCAAAGATGCCTTTATTTTAAGGGGTGACACCACAGTTTCGATTCCTAACTCAAAAATAATTATATCTGAATACTCAGAAGTGGCACATATCAGTGCAAATAGATTGTCAAATACATAACACATTTTCATCAGTTACGAGTCAGTTTCAAGAGTACTAAATTTAGAAACATTTCACTAAAACGAAAGCCGAGGAGCATACTGGACACAGGGTGTCTGTCTGAAGATAATTTTTCTGTCAAACTCAACACGTGGAACTAAGGCTTTGCTAATTCAGTGGGTTAAATCCAAAATTTTATTTAAACCTATATTTTTCTTTTGTACATTTCATTAACGGTACCGAATTACGAATTACGATTAAGAAATCAACTCAATTATACACACCTGAAACTATCTTCAAAATTTGAGCCACCTAACCATTATGATGCAAAGAACTAGTATGGCCATTTTTCAGTAACAAGATCCAAACAACCACACACAATTATTCTTGCGAAATATTAAATTTCTATTCCGGTAGTACATTATGGTCGACCAAATGGTTCAAACAGTTATGATAAACTATAACAATGATAACAATATTTGCTCAGTTACCTGATACCTATGTACAATTCCAGCTCGAACTAGTTCATTCTCAAGAACAGCAGAATTTTGAAAATGTACGTTATCATCTCTTGTACCGTGAATTAAAAGATATTTGAAGAATTTGAACGATTCTGCTCTTGGTAGTAAACTTGATTCCTGAAATGAAACATAAAATTCACGATACAAAAGTTTGACGGTGATATAAATGCATGAGAATGTTATATTTTGTAAATGATGAAAGGCAGAATAAGGAAGAATATTCATAATTTACAGAAAAACGAAAAATGGCTCAATCATGTGCCTCATAGCCCATCTCTCACTTACCGACCCAGGCCATATTTGAGAATAGTTATTCAACTGGAAGTCACCTATTCGCATAAGTGAAGAGCGGAAAAAACCTCCCCAGGTAATCCGCCTGTTATGAAAATCACCACCCCCTGATTGCACCACATTCTAGAATTTGTTTTAACTAGTGTTGACTAGAGAAATAACTTTACTGCCATTACTAGACACCAGCCAAATTAGTGGAGCATTTTCAATAGGAAAAATGGTTTATAATAAAAATGACGAAAACTCAAACTATAGCATCAATTATACAACCACACAAAAAAGATTTTGTAAATTATTCAGCATGTTATATTGATAATAGTATACTTACCATATATCTCTTAAAATTGTGATCTCGTGATCCCATAAACCTTTCAGTATATATCGTGTCGTATAAATGCCAATCTGTTACAGGTGCAACCGAAATAGCGCATTTCGTCAAATTTTCAGAAAGAGACATAGGATGAGTCGCCAACATAGCAGAGGCATAACCCCCGTAGGACCAACCCCACACCGCAACTTTATCTCTGTTCAAATAGTGATGCTTTTCCAAAACTTTTCTAAATTTGAAGAAAAGTATGACTTTTTGCATTAAAACGTATAGTGACGGCAATATTTTATATTAAAAAATAATGTAATAAGCCTAATATATTGGTTATTATGATTATAATTATGGAAAGTTCACAGTCAACAAAAGCATTCTCTCCAGTTCAATTCGTTTAAAATGAGTTCAAGACGAATAGATACAGTTTTACTATTCTAAATTTGCATATTCTACATTGAACACGCTTACATGGTAAACGAAATATATTGCTAAAAGCGTACGGAATATTTACTATGATTTCATAGTATAATAAATCATGTATTGCTTACTTGATAGCTGTTATTTGGTCTTCTATTTCATAGACTCCGAGCCTCCTATTTACTTCTTTTAGTACATTCGAACCTCTGAAACCAGAACCTCTTCCATCAAAAGTCATCACAGCGATGTCTTTGTTTGTTGCCAAAAAGGTTTTCCAGTCTAAGGAAAATTTTGAGTTGACTGTTTGACTCCCGGGACCCGCATATCTGTGGCATTGATTATGAAGAGAAAAAAAATCTATTATAACACTTCCCCAGCAGGCATCTCAAATCAATGCACCAAGATTCAAGAACATTAAACTCCTTAGGTAATTCCATAGCTAAGTACTGAATCTCTGACAAGTGGAGTCTGAGTTAATTTCATGAACAACAGTAAATTGATAACTAAATAGTTGCGTTAGGACTTCAACGGAACTTAAAACCAATGTTATCTTGGTAATTAAACTAAAGTTTAGTTTGATACTGACAACATTTACTTTGGTATCTACAAGGCTTATTCGGGTAAAATATTTCAATTTCAAAATTTGCCCAAAATGATCTTCGAGTTTCAAGTCAATTCTCTCTGCTGTTTCTTCGTGTCAGAATAATGATGATAATGATATTTTGCTATAAACAGTCGATTGCTATATCAGGTACATCTATATCTAAATATTCAGTATTTTCAAAGGCGGATGAAGGCAAGGTTTTTAAGTTAAGCTTAACAATTAGTTAAAAAATAGAAAGGGGGGAACTCACATGTCCAAAAGTAAAGGTATATGCTTCTTCAGTTGAGCGTTTGGTGGCAGAAATAGTTTTGCTTGAAAATCTGAAAATACAACATGATGTTATAAATTTTGTTCATTCCTTCACAAATACTGTTTTAGTCGATGAGATTTACTCACAAGATTTTTACAGTGAATACCAATGTTACTTCTGACTTTTAAAATAACTAGAAAAATTAGGGGTGAAATAGAGGGTGACCCCAAAAACAGAACACAGGTTATTTCGAACATAGTCTATTTGTTCCTTTTTCGTGGGTAACTCTTGTAGTAATATTCAAGTCTCCTGTTGTGACTGAGCAAATTCGTATTAGTCTATCTAGACTAGAGCACAATAAGCCAAACGGGGAAGTTATAAGAGCCATTGTTATACCAGGATCACTCATACAGTATTATGCTACAGCAATATATACAAGTTAAGAGGACAATGGTTTAAAAAGCGACCGAATGGAAATTGTGTCAGTTAGAGTAGATAGGCTAGCCCCGAGCTTGTGATTGACGCCAGTAATGAGCCGTTTTACAAGTTACGATAAAACAATATTTAAATATACCGTAATTGCCGCTTTCGCCTGAAATTGGTATTGTTTCAACGATTATATCTGGCTTTATTGTATTTTTATATTTTTCTCGCAACTCTTTGTTCCCCTCGATGATGTTTGCTTCTAATAAGAGAAATTAATAATTTCATTATTCCAGTTTATGAAGAGTATGTGTTCAATACAAAATAATTCAGACCTATAATTACATAGAAGGAAATTAAAATTGAATGAAATTGTCTTGCACATTTTGCTATTGTTACGGACAAACGAGTCCAGCTTATTTTGAACCATTTTATTGTGTTATATAGGGGTAATCATGTTTGAAAGATATCACTATCGTTCTACAAACTATACGGATAGAGATTACCTTGATTTGTAACATTAAAATATGTTGCGAATGGGACACCAGGTCCAAGACATTGTATAATAGCACCAGTTGCATCAGAGGACATTTGTGTTGATGTGTATTTACAAGAGCTATCACATGTGTGGCAGAAGGGAGTTGGTCGGTCTTCGTTTATATCAACTGAATATAAATGCCTATCCATAGGTGATTTTTCAGTGCTAATGAAAAACCTGAATAAAGGTATGGAATGAAGTAGTGGGTAAGACGGATAACCTCAATAATTTATTGCCTCGACTAAGTTTTTGTCCATTAGATCAATTTTTTACCCAAAATACACATGACTGAAGCCTTTAGAAAGGTTGCATGTATTGAAAATTAAATATCCGATAAAATTAATTTATCCGAGTACGAAAAATATTGCGGCAAAACTACTCTGAACTCTGAGTTAAAGCTGACATAAGTTTATTACTTTTACCGTAAAAATTAATTAACAAATTATGATGCTTACACTTTATTTAGTTGCTCGTTATATCCTGATATATCTGTGACCTCCCAGTTGCCAGAAGTGAGAAAGCGCGTCGTCACGAAATCCTGAACAAGGGGAAATGCAAACATAGTTTGAATAAACTATTTTGGGAATAAAAATGTCGTTTTCTTTTTTACTATGTTCAAAATGATACAATATCAATAACGTGTTGGAGCACATTACTGCCCGAGTTGTACTTCGTTTTTATCATTTCCTTCAAATCGTCAGTTGTTTTTCGTAGATTCTTAGCAGAAATATGCAACGCGAATTGGTTAATGGTAATACTTTTGTTGAATGACGAGCAATAGGGACGAATAATTCGATAAAAATTATTTTTGGTGTGCTGAATACATAATATCCAAGAATCAAATGGAGACACTTACTTTAGAATAATCCACCATCATCAAATGAGTAAATTTTCCTAAACCCCCAATGGATTTTTCTTCTCTCTGAAAATACGTTTTACCAGGACCTGGTTGGGGAGCAGAACGACCCTAAATAGAACAAAAAAATTGAATTAGGAAAGTAGATATAAAGTTTTTTATTACTTAACTACTGTGTATGCCGTGCGTTTGACTCTTCTGGGATACAAATTCATGACTTGTGATATTTGACACAATACCTAAAGATATGGGAAGATGAAGAGGGAAGTGAGGTCATAGTCAGGTTGGCGAAGCTCTGGTGCTCTGCATTTTCTGTCTTGCTAAATGCCCTCTTTAACATATAAATTTGAGTATTCTTAAAATGTAACAACAATTATTGAAATTGCTTGATTATAGCTCATTTAACATACAAAATATATGATTTGTTGATACTTCAATTTCAGCTTTTACGTTGATCGCCTGCGGTTGTCCCCTCACTTCCCCCAAACCATACTATGGTCCAGCCACGAACGTGTAAGAAGTTGTCTATATGCATTTATAAATACCGAAATAATTCTGTCTCAACGGAACACATTCAAAGTATCACCCCCTGGTACATTGGGCTTGACTAATCAAACTGTGCTATTTAATTGAAATCTTACATTTTGTGAATTGGTTAGTGTTTCCAACCATCCTTCTGAATGTTGTTCGTAAATATCCCTACACGAAATCGTCATATTTTTTGGATTGGAAGAAGATGAAAGCGAACAATATGAAGTTACTGAAATATTTTGATATCGATTCATCCATGTTATAAGAACAGATTCATCGGACGCCCAAACGAGACTATTGAACAGCGGTTGTCTAAAATAAAAGTTAAATAGTTTTATAGTGATTTTCCTGTAAAAAAAATTTTCATGAAGAATGTATACGGATAAAAGATAATACCAAATTATAGGTCCGTTTCCCAACCGTAGAGAAATTTCTCCAATAAAAGAATTGTGTCATTTCTGAGAAGAAATTTTGCTTTGTATTTGCTATAGTATTACTAATATTTTATAGCTTTTTATTGTTACTATAACTCTTATTTATACACACATTATAAACTCTTTCAACTGTACAAAAGCGCGCGCGGAGTGTGACTAGCACATAACACTATAGCCAAGGATTCATTAATCATTGAATAATTACTTTTTATTCTTAAAGATGGAGGAAAAAGGAGTTAAAAAAATAGGTGAAGGGTGAAATTGAACGAAAAAAGATTGGCACTTCAAATTAATGAAGTTTTGCTTTTTCAACAATGATAACTTACAATTCTTCAACTGACTCTGGAATTGGTACTTCAACGTTCTTATTCGTTCCTAAATTGTGAATAAATAACTTGACAATCGGATTTTTGTAGCCGGTTTTGGGGTAATTGATCTTTTCAATCTGTAAAAACATAAACTCGTTTTGTTGCATAACTACCGGTTTCATCTATTTAATTTGTAGACCAAATTACACATACCGTCGGATACGGGGTGTTATAAATAATGATGTCCACTTGAGGCACTAAAGTATCATCAAACGACGCGTATGCAAGATACGATCCATCTTTTGAAAACCAATGAGCCTTTGATCCCGATAGAACTTCCTCTGTGAATATAGGAATAAAAATATAGTCTATCAAAATTGTAGAACGGTTCAGTTAAGATGAGAATCTTCTGTCAGAATTTCTTTGCCAATATGAATAGGAATATAATGAAATCGATCGTTCTAGACCTTCTTAATATCTAATTGGAAAATTTCGTTCCTAAAAGTACTAACAGAAATATACATAAAGAATATCAGGAATTTGCATATACTGGTATTCTGATTTAATTGTTTATTCATGATATTCTAGCAGATGGAATGTTCATTTCTCATCTTGTAATCTAGCTATACTTGGCATCGTTTAGAGTTGTTTTGCGACCAAGGTAGTTATTTCTCAAGGCCAAAAATTAATGAACTAAAAAATACATTCAATTTACCTTCATAAATCCAATCCGCTATCCCGTTAATAACTTTTTGTTTCGATTTTTTTCCAGTTGTAGTAATTTGATGCGGATTATCTTCTGCGCTGCTTTTATAATAAACATCGGAGTTTATCACGTAAGCTAGTTGACTTCCAACCATCCCCCAACCAGCATATTGTAAGCTTTTATCGTGTAGACTAACGTGAGATCTGAAGAGAAAAAATCGTGAATTTCAACTAAATAAACTTATAGAAACAGAAATGCGAATCGACAGAAATCACTCACGTGATTTGGGGGGAAATACCTTGAACATACAATGAAAACAGTACACAGAACAAACCATTGATGAACAGTGCAGAACTTTAGTCCGGATGCGAAGATGGCTCATAATATTGCACCTCGGTTCGCGACTCATTCTCTAGGTACTTTAGTGTAATCATAATAGCATTTGCTAAGAGATAAATTTACCTAATTCTGATTAGACAGATTGAATGATAAATGGTGTATATCAATCGTGAATCTAAATCATGTCGGAGAAATTGATCATTCTAGTTCTATATTACTCTAATTTCCCATTTTTGGTTAGCAATATGATATAACTGTAACATCGTTTTATTGCCGAAGATTGACTTCGGTTTACTTTTATTAATAGAATATCCACGGATTAGCCTCGGCTATTATTTTTTTGCTTTATATTATACGATGGAAAACGATTTTGTTCGAGTACAAAAATCAAGGATTTAACAAAAATAAAATTCTATTTATGATAGATGGGTCAACTTAAAAAGCACTTGAGACGACACTTCTCATTTAAGTGACAATTCGTGAATTTGGACTCATAATCTGACAAAGAATTTTCGTTGAGCTAGAGACCTTGGTACGAAAGACTGTAGCCACTTATGGCACAGTTAAGGATTATTCGTAAATACTCTTCTTATTTTTTCCGATTATCACTGCTGATTTTAATTTAAAAAATACAACGGACAGGGCGTTCTTTAGGTCTGCTTATAAGTACTTACTTTGTGTCTATTGTGTAGATGAAATACTTTGCCGTCGTCGAGTATCTGTAAACCTACATGTAATAAAATGATATTGTTTATCTAACACTCATATAAAACGCACGAGAAGGAGGAATTTACCGAAGGAGAACGTACTTTCACTTTCATTTTATTATTCACTGGGAAATTTGAAACATGATGATAGCTTTACGATCATTTGTGATGAAAATAATGAAAACCTAATGCTTGATTTGATTCGATAATATAAACGTTCTGCTGCAAATCTTAACCACTTTATCAATCGGAACATTCAAGGTATTCAGCATGCACTAACAGTGCAGTGCGTATGTTGGGGAAATATGAAGAAATTGACGCTAGCATGTTTGATCAATATTACTTCCATCAAAGAAAATGGTTGGTGGTATAAAAAATCGAGTTGTAACTCATAACACCAGTGCGCTTATAACGATCATTAAATAAAATTTTAATCAGAATTCAGGTTTTTTGATAAATAGCTTATTGTGAAATAGTATCGTAAATACAAATTTGTCGTCCATTTCAACTCTTCGACTGGTAAGTCGGTTTCCGCCCCTTTTGTGTTTGAAAGGGAAATATTGTCGAGTAAATTCAAATTTTTTAATTGGAAGGTTTCGGAAAAGCACTCGCTGCCATCTCCATTATGGGCCGATCAAAATTTTTTAATTGTTATTCAAGTTCACCGACGATGAATGACGCCACAGCGGAAGTAATAATTGGGATGTAATATTGGATCAAAAGTTTGTAAAATATATGTATATTTTTATGTCATATGTTCAAAAAGTAAAATAAATTTTATTTCAAAATTCAGTCCAATCTATCAAATCAGACGATTAGGGAGTTTTTCATGATATCTATAAATCTATTTACACATAAACATTATTCAACATCAAAATACCTTCTGAATATCTGAAGATAGGAGAGCATACTTGAAATCAGGCGATATGCTGGCTTTGTAAATTCCAAGCGATTGCTGAAAATATAAATAAAAGCTGTTGAACTGCAGAAGGCGCAATTTTAGTCTGTGAATATTTAACGCTTTCAAAAAGATGACTCACATTGTCACGAAAGCAAAATTTTAAATATTTATACATCACAGTTTATGTTTATAAATTTAATCATCTGATGATGTAATTTTAATAGTCCAAAACAAAACAATTAAATTTTTGAACTCGTTAATGAGGCTCATGCCCCACAAAATCGCTAAACATGACGAATTAATTACTAGTTTTTTCTTAATTTTCCCTTTTTCGAAAATATTGTTTGGTTTTAAAAAAATCAAACGTGTGTGTGTAAAACAGCAATCTGGTGTATTACGAATTTATTTTAATTTAACTCAAAAAAGCTTGGCCAAAAGGATAATTTATGAGCGATGGCGGATGATAGTATGGGACGTTTTATGAATCTAGATCCTATATCGTGAACGTTCAGTTGTATAAGTTAGAACAACAGCAGTCAAACATTCACTAACCATAGTTTCATTTGAAATTAGTATTTCAACTTCTCTTCCTTTGGTTTTTAGAATATTCGAATATCTGTCTCGGTATACAAATGAATCTGTAACAGAAAACGATATGTTTCTTAATTTGACAAGTGTATCGAACAAACTGATTAACTTCTTGTAAACCTATCGTGAATACCCAGAAGTAGTTATATGTAAGTAGCCTTGTTCCAGGGGAAAATATGAGTTTGGGCTACGCTTGATTTACTAGATTAAAATTGCAGTTTTCTCCGGGTGTGATGACTTTGATTTTACTTTTGTGTTCACAATACATATCTAATATCATTGTCTTTGTATATATATTTTATGTTTAATTTTTCACTTCCAATGCACTATTAATATGGCATAAATTACAACACGTTGGTTCTCAATTTGTTCGCTTTCAGTACGAAATATAAGGAAAAGTTATATATACATGTCGAAGGAAAGGTCACTCTCCATATTACACTGACCGGAAATCAAAAACAATGTAATTCCTTCACAATTGCAAACTATATAGGCCAGTAAACTCATTTCTGGATTCAACTCATGTGATTTGGCCTATTTCTGCCAAATATAGAAACAGGGATATATGTAATAATAGGTATGGAGAGGTTTATGCCGAGTGTAACTAAAATTTAGATGAGGCCAAGCATGATCATGGTCAACATACAAGAAATATGCTGATTAAGCAAACTCATACTGAACTCTGACGGAAGTTATTTGGAACCACTCAAGGGTACTGGGAGCTAATTGGCGATGGGATTTTCACACATAATACAGGCAGTTTGAACTAATCGCCAGTTGGTTGTTGTGTCACCGCGTCAGATTAACCATGATGGATGAATGCATTGCAATTTACAAAGCCGATCTTTCTTTGCCCTTAGATATTTAGTTTAGAGTCTGGAAATAATTTTGATATGAATCTTTGTCTCGGTAATCAGATTTAAAATCAAGATGTCTAGAGACGTTTTGAACAATTATTTTGAATTCTGATTTAAACTTCAATTTTGGAAACTATTGCCAAAAACTCCATCGTTGGTTTATTTCAACAAATAATGATCATTTAAATGGATCAGCAAAATGAGTGGTGGAAAAATGAAACAATAGTCAGGTTTGAAAATCAAAGTTTTTAATTGAAATTGAACTTTTTGTACTTGTTAGTCATTACTGTATGATTCAGTGGGGTTACTTGAAAATTTCAAGCCCAAATTTGAAACAGGCAACTTCAAAAAATTCCACAGTTGTAGTTGTCTAGAAATTAACCTAAAAGTTCATATTGATAATACCGATACAGCCCACACACTCTACGTTACTCCCGTGCTGTAACTGCATTATACACTAAACAAAATTTGGCGTATTATGTGATTCACCTCCTATCCATTCTCCTGTAGTTGTGTATGGTTTCCATTCCATATCAAACATTGCGTCGAAGTCATATACATAATTGTAATCAGAAACGGATTCAGCTAAAAAAATAACAATAAAACTCATATTAAATTATTCTACAACACAAAATCATTTACACTATCCGTAAAAATATTTATGCAATGCAAGAAACAGAATCAGATTCGAGCAGTTCTTCTTTTCATGTCCTATTTTGATGGATAGTTTAAGTTATGATCGAATTATCATTGGATCAGATTTTAAGGTTTTCCTAATAATCCCGAACGAGAAGAAGAAGCTACCACGCCATAATTATATAGCAAATAGTAGACCAACATGTACTGATCCCAAATTGTGAATGTTCATAGCCATAGAAAAGGCAAGCCAACTTTTTGAAGAATACGTCGGTCATGGATCAGATACATTTAGAATATAAATGGGAAGGTGTCCATATCACTGTGATAGAAAAATTCCGATTTATGTCAATATAACTTAGGACACTCTGGTATCAGTATTTGGGACTCGGTCGGAATATTAGTTATTTATCTTTTATATAAAGGGTGGTGCAAAAATAGAGTGACAGTTTAAATTAATTAAATTAATAAGAGCCACCCTGCTTTTAGCCAAAATATATAGTGCACCTATGATAACAGAGCTTATAAAATTCTGTATCAGTTTTACTACAGTTGAGGAAAATTGTAAACAAGTTCAACCATGTCTCAACATGCTGATCAATGGAAAGAAATTAAAATTTTGGTATGTGTTCTAAATCTGTCATTTTCGACAGAACGAGTAGATATTTTGATATATAGAGAATGACTTTTCTATTTCAAGAATGCGATAATTCCATATTTAATCATTGGATAATCTGTAGCGTGACCCTTGGAGAAATTTGAGTATTGCAAGTTCGATATAATTTATCGATTTTACATCAGTTGAGAATATATTACTTGATATGATCCAGCGTAAAGTATAAAGTTCGCAACAATATAAACGAGTACAAATGATTCACTAAATGAATGCTTGTATTGTCCCAGATTTATATCTTGATTTTTCAGTTGGGGTGAGATCGGACTTGACTTCAAAATAAGCAAAGTTTGATCACGCTTTTCTGTTTGGTGAAAAGATAGTCACATTTTAAAGAATATCAAAATTATTCAAGTGCTAGGGTAATTTTAACTCGTGGTCAAAACTTGGTTGGAAGTTGGACGAAGGATTAAAATAAGTTTTATTAAAAGCTGACGATGGTCAAGCTCTACTATGTAACTCAAAGACTAGAAAGTTCTTGTTCCAGTGTTACCTATCTACGGTGTCGGTTGAAGTTATAGTTGTAAAATTAAAAAGTACTCACGAGGCTGCAAAAGCCATGCTGATATTCCGACTATGACACAGACGATTGTGATAACAACGACGGATAAAAATATTCCTTTCCAATTTCTTTCTTGGGGAATGACTGCAAGTTCCTGAAACAGAAAATGGAATCATTTTAATACATTATATATCAAATTAACGTTATTATTTTATCACGATTGGATCAATTAACCACCAAACGCATAGTAGCTGCAAATATTAGGTCATTGAGAGCAAATTAATTATATGATTTTACATTCCTGACGAAAGATCGATATCGAAAGGCGTGGTTGGATCTTTTGACTTGGATTTCACAAATCGAAATCATGTTATATTTGCTTACCAATTAAAGAATATTGATGGGCTCAAAAAAAATTGCATGGAAAGATAGTGTGGGTAAAGAATCACCGAACTCCACGGCGAGAACATTGGTCGAGCCTCAAAAATTCTGACGGAAAAGTTAAAAAAAAATTGAAAATAACTTTGTCCCCAATATTCCATAACACTAATTATAAGTTGGACAGTATTAAAGAAAGACTTTAATTCAAGTGTATTAACGTCTCGTCTAGAATTTTCAGCACCATTTCTATGATTACTCGCTGCCTTAGCAAAACCAACTTTCTGATTCATGAATAATGCAAGATGTGAAATCCCTTTTAAAAGCAGAAAACTAGATTCGAAAGTAGATTCAATCATGTTATTATGTGATAACTCACAAGTTAATAACAGAAAATTTAGGAACGTGTACATAAAAAGTTGAGACACCGATGGCTCAAAACATAAATAATTAACTACGTCTGGTGGGAAAAGACGCGGTGTGATTATTTTATGAATTTCAGCCAACTGAATTTACGTTCAACGATTATACAAAGAATCATATAACCGATGACATCAGTGTCGTCAAATTTTTGTATCCTATACACGGTCTGGTTGATGTAAGACTAATTCATTTTATATGACGAAGCACTCGTAGAGAGTTTTGATGTAACTCAGACACTCGAATCGAGCGATCATATGTTAGGTTGATATTTTTCCAAAATCTGCTCCTTCGAGTGATCAGTCATGAGTTTATGATAATTTTGATCTTCGACAATCATGTCCAAGAGTAGTTAAAGAAACAATGGAACTCATTTTTGACCTTTGACATGGATCGAACGGTGTCACGTGACTCATTGTCAAGTTGTGATTCGTCCAAATCTCGACGCTCTAGAAACTTTTCGGTTGGCCCTGTCCCGTTATCATCCACATTATCAGAAATATCCATAATCAAACTAAATATACTCGACACAAGAATAAAATACAGGATACAAATACAAATACAAATGATCTCAATTGAAAAGTATTTTGGAAGCAAGAGCCGCATGGTAATACATGAGCATATGCAGAAATGTTTTTACATAAAAAATATATTTTTCGATAAATTCCACTAAATGTTATTGTTTTTCAACTGGAAATAATGAGTGGGTAATCGACTCTGTGAAACGAGCCCTGTGGTGTCGAAATTGCACAGCCAACACACTGACGAACGGACCACTGCGTGCAAAAAGCTCAATTATCTACTTATTTCAAATTAGATTACAATAGGTCTATATAATCTATATATTACTTTTGTGTTTATCTTGAGATACTACGCACTGCCTATGAATTATTACCATATATCAACAATTAATTTGCAACGATGTAACAATTCTTTAGGTTTGCCCAAAGCACTGTGCAAAACCGGTTAGAAGTCAGGAAAAATGATAATGAAAATTAAACTTTGATGATCTATTTTTAGGCAACCCTAACGTCACGTAAACAAATTTATGGTTGACATAAAGAGAATTGTAAAGTGGTTGTACTTCAAATGAAAATCGGATGAATCACAAGCTAATATAAATACAAATATTACCCCCGAAATAGCCTAAACAAACTACAAATTTAAAAATTATATTTCAAGTCGTCTGAAGGTACTAAACTGTTGAAAATCAAATTAAATGCTATATATTTGGTCTACTCTGATCACACAGGCCTCACTGACTTAATAGCATAGGACGGCGAGAAAATCGCTATCTTTACATAAGCCAATGCTTCTTTATATTAATACTATGTTTATGTTTCAAGATCCCAAAGGCATGACTTGGTCGCTAATCGTATACAACCATATTCTCGTAGGAATATTAAATTGGGCCTATTCCAAAATCTTTATCAAGCAAAGGCGAAAAACTTGATTCAACACTGACTTCAACCTTATATATATATTTATGACTTTATGGCTCTGATGCAGTCGATATTCTAGTTTAATTAGTAAGTTTGGGTAAATTATTGGTGATAATTTTATAATTCTGTGAAAAATTTATTCATGCATCCGCTTTTTATTTTCACGTTTGATGTTGTATAAAAACAAAAACAATAGCTAATCTCACACTTTCGAGGTTGAAAAAGTATAATTAGAAGCATTTCAATCGAAATGTTGAGGCTAAAGCCAAGCAATGAAAAGCGTATAGCCTAATAAGCAGAAGACGATTTTTTTAACAGTAAAGCGGATTCCACTGGGAATACGAAGCGTGTTGCGAGATTGGTCGAATGACGACGCGAAAATTCGATGAGCTCGACGGAAAATTAATTGAGATTTTATGGTCCCTGAAGGTGTTTTGGGCGGCGTGCGATTATGCCGAAAAATGTATGTATAATTATGATCTAATTCAATCGAGCAATGTGATTACTTGATGTATTAACTAAGCGAGAAGGGCGTTTCGGAGACTTATTGAGTCTGGTTAGAGTTTGGGAGGTATTCGGTTTGAATTGAGCTATATTATTTAAAATTAAAAACTCATTGGAGTCATCACGTTTGTATAACATATTATCATTCATATTTAGATTTTCTCGAATAACAATTTTGTTAGTTTTGAGTAAATTTCTGGCGAAGCAAACATTTAACCTAATATTTTAGGCATAGGAAAATAAGACAAAGTTTCAAACCACGATTAGTGTTGCAACCTGATGCTAAAATATATCTAAATGGCATCATTTAATATCACAATTCACAACACTTTGATTTAAGTAGTAATGCTTTCATAATAAATCCCCATCGACCACCATTCTTTGCCAACTCAATGTCTTTACATTAATCTTCACTCATTGAGTTAAATCTGCCTTATACTAGTGCAACAAAAATTTAAATAAATGAATACAGACAAAAAACTTAGATAGCGTGCGATTAACTAAATCTCTGCAAAACGTCGAGCTTTCGAATACAAATTGACCTTGACTTACACAGAAGATGACAATTTTCGGTCGGCCAGACAACAATGCCTCTGGGCTTTTCCGTCTATGGAAATAATACAATAACAATTTTCAAATTATCGAAGAATATTGTTGAAATGTGAATCGGACTTTAAGAACAAACAGCACTAGAAGTAAAATGAAAGGAAACCGATTTCAATATACATGTAGTCAGAAAATCTCTCTGGGGCGTTGCAGTTAATTCGTGTATTAGCAAATACATAATTTTCATTGTTGAATAAATATATTTTCTCTTGCTCTAGCTTTCAAGTAATAAAATCCGGGATACTCATATAATTTAACAGAATCTGTCTTTGAATTCTTACTGTCTTACTGTGAATTCTACTTTTCTGCATAGAACCAGAATTTTTTTAAACGCCGATACAGACTGAAATATTTAGATCAGCAACCTATTTTTATTATTTTTCTTTTACCCCATTTGAGAAAGATATATTTTTATAGAATATATATTTTTGTGAGATTCAAGTGCCAAAAAATGTTGGTAGCTTTGTTTTTCCACGCTTAGATAAATATAGGTGCAAGGTTATGACATTTGTCAGTGAAGCGGTTCAACAACTCAACGTGAAGTGTTGTCAAAGCATAATTAAGACTATGAAGATGCAGTCAAATAATCAGAAGAACACGCATAAATTGTGCTAAACATGTGGATTTACGTACGGCCCAGAATTAAAAAAAATGTATGGTTTAATAAATTTGATACCAAACTGAAGAGAAAGCAAAATTTTCCATTTGTGCATCTGAAATCTGAGACTCGACTAAAATTACTTCTGCAAATTGGCACGTATTTTGCCATTCCACAATATTTACTCCTTCAGATCAAAACGTTTTAATAAATTTTTCTCAACTAAATTTCTATACCGTGGTAACAAGTATTATTTCTCTGTTACCAATGGCAATGAGTCAATGACAACATATACAACATTGAATGCCGAGACGCGTTGCAAAAAATAAGTCATATTGACTTGAACAACATTGCAAACTTAGAAAAGAGTTTTTATTTCATCAAAAGGTTAAAAATGAAACGGGACCAACTACAAATTATATCCTAATTTAGGGAGCTTCCTCGCAATAACTTTAGCTAAGATGTCAACCTTATATCTTGGAACTACTTCTATCTGGGAATGTTACTAAAAACCGAAAGGAATGGTAATAGTTTCTACTTTCTTCGATGCGTATAACTTTGTTTGTCACTCCAGAGCTAACCTGATGTTCAAATGTACTAGGGAATTTTGCCGTAGGAAATCTCGCCGCAGGAAATTTGGCCCTCATAGGAAAAATTGCCACATGAAAAATCGCCGCCGAAGCATATTGCAGTTAGGTTTTTGAAGTACCTTTTTATTTCAAAATGATTCGTTATTTAAGAGCATACCATAACCCTATAAAACTAATTGTTTTTATCACAAATACTTGTTTTACAGCAAAATGCTCTTGCGGCGATTTTTCATGCTATCAAAAATACTTGTTTTACAGCAAAATACTCTTGCGGCGATTTTTCATGCGGCGAATTTTCCTAAGCGGCAAAATTTCCAGCGGCGAGATTTCCTACGGCGAAATTCCCTGTGGCGAATTTTCCGGACACGGTTCAAAACAGCCTTATGATTATGTTTATAACTCACACTCTAAGTTCCTTTTCTACATCTTGATTAAGCTACATCACTTCCAATTTACTCTTTTGTAATAGTAAATCTAACCACCTTTCTAAGTCAAAGTGCGGAGCGTCACTCAAATCGTTAGTTATTGTTTTCAAAATATTCTATTTTTGAAACTTCAAACTCCAGGTATAGGGTATTACTTAATATATGACTGTACAGCGCAATACGAATGACTT